TCAGCATCAGCACCACCACCACATCAGCATCAGCACCACCACCACATCAGCATCAGCACCACCACCACATCAGCATCAGCACCACCACCAGCATTAAGACTTATTTTTGTTTCAAATTATGTACGTTGTGCTGGCAAGCATTCTGTCAACTTGCACACATACTAGATTCATTTGAGTAAACCTCAACTGAGAAAAGTGCCCCCAGTACACTGGTCTGTGGGCAAGCCTGTAGAGCATCTTCTTGATTAATGACTGATGGGAGTGTGCCCAGCTCACTGCAGGTGGTGCCACCCCTTGGCTAGAGTTACCTAAAAAAGCAAGCTATGTAGAACAAGCCAGTGAACCGTGTTCCTGCATCACTCCTTGCCCTGCTTTGACTTCCTTTGATGATGGACTGTGAGCCACCCAACACTGGTGCTGTGGAACGAAGCAGGGACCTCTGGGGAAACAGTGCTCGTTCATAACTGCCTAGCCATCTCTCTAGCCCCACCCACCCAGGACTATTTTTAAAGCCAGAGATTCTTACATGGTCACCAGTAGCTCCAGCTCTAAGGGTTCAGACACATTCTGGCCTCTGTGAGCACCTACACACATGTACGCACACATATACAGACATACATACACGTCTTAGTTACACTTTCTATTGCTGTGATAAAGCTCCACGACCAAGTGAGGCCCATGTGGCTTCGACTTCAGATTCTGTATGAGGCTTTTGCTGATTTAATGGCTACAACAGACATGTAAACTTGGAAAGAGGTGGTGGCAATAGCTCCTTGACCCATCTGCCACCTCCTTCTTCAAACCACATATGTTCCACTTGCCCTGTGCCCTGTCGGATTACTTCTTTGTCCCTCCCTGGTCCAGGCTGTTTTGTGGGTGTGGCTTAGCTTTCTCCTCCAGGCTTTGCACTTACCTTTATGTCCTTCAGGGCCCGTGGCAAGATGTCTGCCAGGTTGTTTGCAGACATATTGGTGTTGGCAAGCTGTTCGAACTTTGCTTCCTGCTGTTGCAGCCAGGATGCTGCTTCTGCATGAGCGTTGTGAGGAGCCTTCCAGAGCTGCAGCTGACCGCGGGCTTCCTGCAACTGGTCTGCCAGGTCTTGGTTCGCCTGAGTCCACCTGGCAGGGTAATGGTAACAGCAGACCCCTCGTCCCACCCTGTCCTTGTAACAAAATTATTCACATGCTCTACCGGGAAGTTAATTAAAAGTAGAGAGATCTATTTTGATTCTTTTGAGACAGGGACTCACTATGTAGCTCTGACTATCCTGGAACTCACTATGTAGACCAGGCTAGCCTCAAACTCACAAGAGAGCCTCTTGTCTCTGCCTCGCAGTTGCTGGGATTAAAGGCTTGTGGAGCCACACCTGGCTTTTTAAATAGGTCTTATTTATATTTTGCTTGTATCAAATACATTTACTGTGCACTTATAAAACAAACAAAATATTCTTTATTTTCAAGTTAAAATAAATGAAGAAAAATTATTCCATTTATAGATTTTTATCTTGCTTTTCATTTTCTCTCACTCTCTCTTTTTTTTTTTTAACTTTTCCAAGTTACAAAAAACAAACAAAAAAAAGCTAGACAGGTATAGGTTCCTGATTGTAATCTTATCACTTACTTAGGAGGGTGAGTTGAGTAAGGAAGATCATCTCAAGTTTGAGGCCGGCTGGGACTACACAGTGACTTTTAGGCCAATCAATAACTCAATGAGATTCCGGCAGAGGATGAAGAGAGGAAGAGGGGGGAGAAGAGGAGGGAAAAGGAAGATGGAGGAGGAAGAGGGAAGAAGAGGGGGAGAAAGTAGAGGGTAGAGGAGGGGAGGAAGGAGGGGGAAGAGGAAGGAGGACGAGGGAGGAACAACCATTTTCAATGGCTGTACAGAACGTTCTGCAGATTAACTGTTGCGCCTGCATGAACAGCGCTGGAGATGAAGTTCAGTGGTAGAGCATTTGAGTAGCATGCGTCAAGGCCTGCACTCAATCTGCAGCAACTCAAACAACAAACAGAAAACACCGACGAAACGAGTGAGCTTGTATGTGCAGCAGTGAGCTGGCTCCTTCAACAGCAACAGTTCCTTCCGCCAATGAAGTGGGGGGCACTGAGGACAAATGTGGAGCTAGATACTCTACTGTCATCCCTTCAGCGAAGACTCAATGGAGACCTGAGGGCGGCCTGCCAGGGCAGGCAGTTTCCTGTCCTATACTTAACTGAACACTGGTTTGCTTTTGAAGCACAGGAGTCTTCTTCATGCAGAAGACTCAAAGGCAACCAAACTTCTCCACATTGTCTTGGGCTTTGGGCCACTTTCCAAGAGCTGTTTTGAGCACATCCATCCCATTGTATCCTACAGACCCCCCCCCCAATTCCTCAGTGTTTCTGTTGCTGATTTGGGGTTCCCAGGACCAAGCCTGACTTTTAGAGGACACACTCTGGAAGTCCTCTTCCAGAGTGCATTTCTAGCTTGATTATCCCCAGAAACTGAGACACATGGATGCCCTCATGACACTGAGCCTTATACAGTGAACTACATCCTTCAAAGAAGAGCCACAATCACCATGAAGCCTGTCACCATGAAGCCTGTCACCGTGAACGAGGGAGAAGCTTTAGGAGGCCTAAGGGTCACGCTTTCAGACTGCATTCTGGGTGTACCTCGAATGAGCATCCTGGCATTTCTCTTCGATTATGCCAGCGATGGAGGGGCAGGAATCTTTGAGTCGGCCAATGACCTCCTGCAGTTTCTCCCAGCTCTGTTCCCCATTCTCAGCTTCATCCTGAAGGGCCTGAGGACACAGAAAAAGGTAAAAGCAGATGGCTTGGCCATCCCACCCCAGAAAAGGCTGCACATCAATGACACACAACCAAGAACAGGCGACTAACAAGGCAGTCCTTTCCCAAGTTGAACTTAGCAGTATTAAGTTGCTAAACGTACAACACTTGTCCACACACACAATTCCATAAACCATGAAATGAAAGACACAGAACATTCAAGATACACTTAAAACTTCCTATGGCTCATGTGACTAACTTTAAAATCCCAAGTCGTGCCTTTGATACCTCTAGTTAAAGCACTGCTTTTTTGCTTCACTGCAAATAGCACAAAAGCACCTGCATTCATTAATGCTTGCTTCAACCTTTAACTTTTACCCACAATACCTTTGGCCACACTGGCTAACTTACCTCAAGGTTCTGCACCTGGCAGTCCAAGGCCTGCAGTGATAAAACCGCAGGCTTGCTGTGCTCCATGGAATATGTGAGTTGGGTTGTCTTCATGCTGGCCTCATCATAGAGCTTGTCACAGGCCTTCCACTCCTGCAGCACTGACTGCACAGAGGCTCTGAGCTGGTGGACCTGCAGGAAAGCGGAACTCTAACTTAGACTTCCTAAGACAGTCTCTCATTTTATTCCCTCTCAAGGAATCTATTATTGTATCCAATTTAGGCATGTCAATCGAAAGTACTGGAGATCTCCACTAACCTCCTGAAGGTGGGAAGGCTAGGCTAAGGAGCACACAGATCTCAAAGGAAGCTGTTTTAGCATGGACTAGTGGGAAAGAGCCCCAACATCATGAGACTTATGACAGGCACGGGGCAAGATACCAGGGAAGAAAGAGCATCTGAGCAATGGGTTCAATCACTCTGTCAGCCTTCTGGCTTTGGGCAAATTACTTAACTCAGTCAATTGGTTTCTTCATACACACACACACACACACACACCAATAAGGTGTGTAAGATGCTAATGCTGAGGAGATGCCTGGGCTTAGGTGTGGCTTCTGCAAAGCCATCACAAGCCGGAGAGAAGCACGCAGTGCACTCATGTTGGGCAGGCATGAAGGGCAGGCAGATTTTACCCACTGGTACATTTTGGCAACAAGAGTTGAGCATTTTGTTCCTTAGTGAGCACAATCAACAAAGCTACACGTGGGTACATGCCTGCAACCCCAACACTTGGCAGGCTGGTGCAGGAGAGCATATGCTGAGGCCTAAGTGACATGATGAATTCCAGGCCAGCATGAAGTATTTATGATATACAGGGCCATGAGATGGCCTAGCAGGTAAAAGTGCTTGCATATAGCTCAGGCAGGCATGGGACATGGACTCCTCCTGACTCAGTCCTGCCCATCCCCCCAGTGCTAAGATCATAGGTATGCACCACCACACCCAGCTTTGATCCCAAAAGACACCACACATATGGTCTGAGGGAAAAGAGAAGGAACTCACTAAGGGAGCCTTAACAGAGTAGAAAGAGAGGCAGGAAGGTGTGTATATGTCACCGAGCACCGTGATAGGCGTCGGTCACTATTAAGGTAGTAAAGGGTCAGTTTGTGTTCTCATTCCTGTTTGCTAGACCAGAAAACAGGCTTGGAGGAGTGACTGCCCGTGGGCAGAGACAGGAAAGGGTGGCAGTCATTCCTGCTGGAATCATAACTGTGTGTCTTCATGAGCAGCTTCTCTTGATGTGGGTTCTGGGGATCAAACTTGGGTCCTGATGTCTGTCCCTCACCAACTGAGCTAGCTCCCCAGCCTACCTCCTGCATTTTTAAAACTGACACTTTACTGAGATAAGATTTACCCCTCATATCATTTAAATTCGCTTCTACTTAAAGATTAAAATCTTACAATTTTAGAACACATTCTCTACTCCAAAAAGAAACCGCATATCCATTTAAAAGTCACGTGTATCCTCCAATTACAAATTCTGTCTCCAAAGGTTTGCTTGTACTAAATATTTCATATAAATGGATTCATACATGGTCTTTTTATGAGTACTGGCTTCAACTTATCAGGTTTTAAAGTCCATGGATACAGAATACATTTCTGCTTTAGACAGATGAATAATATCCCACAATACAGTTATACCTGTTACATGTTACTAAGACATCCATAGCTAGATAGACAACAGGTTGTTACCATTTCAGGGTTATTATGATTAGCTGGCTATAAGCACTCACCACCTAGATGAATGGCAAGTCATGTCAGATCCATGTTTAACCTCAAGGAACTGACATGCAACTTTTCGATGCAGCGTATGAACACATCCTTGCTATAACAACGGCAATTGCCTGTCTTTAATGCCGCCATCTTCATGGGTATGACTGGCATTTCACTGTGGTTTTGATTTTAATTCCCTTGATAGCTAGTGCTTATTAGCCATCCGAGACATCTTCTGTGGAGACATCCTTTCAAGCAACCCTCCATGTTTGCTCCTCCAGTTCCTGCTCTGTAACTTGTTATACTGTACACACAAGCCCCTTCGCAAAGACACAGCTTGGATTCCACTGTTTTCTATCTTCCCTTACTCCTGGTGAGAAGTCACATAAGCAGGGTTAACAGCTGAGTGCGAGCCCTCCTCCCTGTCCCTCCCCATCCTGTAGCTTCTCTTTGCAGTTCTTTGCTATGTTCAAGAACAAAGTGCTCAATTCTGATGAAGCTCAGCTCTCATAGTCCCCTCCTCTGGCTGCTTACGCTTCTAGTGTCTCTAGGAAAACAGTTATGAACATTTATGTTGCCTTTTTAAAGAGTCTACAGTTTTAACTCTTACGTTTACGTCTGATTCAAGTTAAGTTTTGGACGTGGCATTGAGTTAGTGGGTGTCATTCTTTTTCATGTTAATATCCAGGTGACCCAGTGTCATACTGTGAAAAAAAAATCCCCCTTTTCATGTGAATTATTGTCCTATCTTTATTGAAAATCAACTGAAAATTTACTTCACTTTTGGACCCTTCTACTTACTTGTGTGTCTCTCTTACGATCTTATTATCTGTACCATCTTAATTTAATCCCCCTCTATTCTTTTATTCCATTGTATATTCATTGTATCACTCTTATCTGTTCACGTGTACTTCCTGCACTGCGTGAACTCCTCGAGGCTCTGGCTCCAGTATTGTCTCCTTTCTCTGACTCCTGGTCGTGAGCAGAGTTAACGTAAACAGATATGACTGACAAATGACTGATGGACTTGTCCCCGTTTCCCCAGAGTCAGAGGGCGGGAAGGGCTGAGGCTGAGGCTGCCTAGGGATTTCAATGACACAGCTCGTTCTCACTCCCCACTAGGAACATGAGGTCGATGGCAGATCTCAGTGACATATTTAACTCCCAGAGAGGATGCTGGAGGAAACACAGCAAACACATTATCACTGGCTAACCTTCAGAGCATCCTCCCTGGGTGGGAAGTAAACACTCTTGGTATGTCTCAGCTTTCTCTCCAAGTGGCCTCTTTTGGGGGCATCCTGCACACTCCTTCCACCCCCACCCATCTCTCTTTCCACCTCTGGAGTTCCCCCAATGTTGACCCTGCTCCCAGCTCCCTGAGGCTATGTGATACAGATCCCCCCACTCACTGCTGCATCTCCCACAGGCTTGGGGCTCTTTCCTAACTGCGGCTGTGGAGCTGACCTGGAAACAAAGCCAGAGGCTCTGCCGTTCTGAGAGGAGGAGACATTTATGCTTGCCTGAATATGTTAGATAAAACAAAGATAACCAAGCGGATTTCCTGCCTGCCGGGGCCACCACTTTGCTTTCAGTTATTTAGGACATAAAATGAGACTTGAAATACTTCTTTTCACTTCAGGATGCCTCTCAGCAGCTCTCTGGCTTTTTAACATGGGGTAAATCTCCGCGATAAAAGAACAGTCACAACAACAAATGGAAGGCCATATGAGGAGAGACAGCAGACTGAGGGCTGCCTTGTACCTGGCTGGTCACATTCTTCTTCTTTTCAAGCAGCTCATCAATTCCAGACACCATGTCTTCTAACAATGGCATGTCTCCCCCATCCATTGTCAGGGAACTTTGTCTCACCTCATCCAGAGCTTTAGATTTCATGGCAAGCTGATTTTCTATATCCTAGACAGACAAGACAAAAAAGTGTGTAATACTACAGAACATTAGTTAACAGGAGTTTATTCCTTTCCAGTAAAACATGCCAACGGGGCATACAGATGCCAAAGGAGATGTACAGCAGTGACAGCATGTTAACCAGTTTACTTTTTTATAACTGTGGAGAACTCCTGTCCCCTTCAAATTTCTAATAATCACCCAGAGAGGCTCATTTAACTAGAGAGTTCTAAAAGTACTTACTCACCAGTAAATACTGTCATATTTCCTCTACTGTGAAAGGAAATGTTTTAAAAGGACTATTTAACTATTAGCAATACCAACACACACACACACACACACACACACACACACACACACACACACACGAACACATACATGCACACAGGCATGCCAGACCAAAAACATGATAGTGTATATGATAAGCTTGGTGTTACTAGAACATGCCCCCTCCCCCATAACTGTCTGCTCTATGTGTCCTTCTTCTATGACTCGGACTGGGCCCAGGGTCCTGTGGCCCGCCCTTGCCACACTGGGCCTTCCAGCACTTTCCAAGCACGCCACCCCCCACCTCATATTAATTATCTTCCTTTAAATTCCGACTTGCAGCACAAAACATGAACTGGAATGAAGAGACTTGCTGATTACATAGGCCCGTCAGAAGCTAACCTGCTTGTCTGTGAGGAACAGTGTCGAGTTCTGTTTAAATATTTCAATCCCAGGGATGGAGAGATGGCTCTGATGTCAACAGCATTTATCTAGTGCTCTTGCAAAGGACCCCAGTTCAACTCTCAGCACTCAGGTAAAATGGCTCAAGGCCACCTGTAACTCCAGCTCCGGGGGTACCGGATGCCACTGGCCTCCTCAGGTGCTAGCATTCATACAACCACAGACACAGATATCACAGACACATATAATTAAAAATCATAAAATAAATCTTTTTAAAAAAAAGTCCCAATTCTTCTAAGATGATTACGGACTCATTTCTGTTAACAATCCTTGCTTAAGCCGGGTGGTGGTGGCACACGGCTTTAATCCCAGCACTTGGGAGGCTGAGGCAGGTGGATTTCTGAGTTAGAGGCCAGCCTGGTCTACAGAGTGAGTTCCAGGACAGCCAGGGCTACACAGAGAAACCCTGTCTCGGAAAAAAAAATAATAATAAATAAAAAAATAAAAATAAAATAAAATAAAAAACAATCCTTGCTTACAGTAGAGCATCAAACTTACTTAGCCTTCCCCATTTAAGGCAACTACACATTTCTTTGTTAACTGTCCTTGCTTTTGGTGTTTATAGCTTTTAACTCACAATACTAAGTGTTTCTACGTCAGATGGTCTGGTCTGTCAGTCAGTCTGTCAGTCTCAGTCAATCAGTCAGTTTGTCTGTCTGTCTGTCTGTCTGTCTGTGGATAGAAACCAAGGCTAGGCAAGTAGAGTACTTAAGCCTTTAGCTCTTGTATTTGTAAAGTTACAGGTTGGTAATGAGACTGAGGAGGGCAGGTAGCTAAAATGAACCCATTTCAAGCGTGTTTGGAGGGTAGAGCCATCAGAAGGAAACTTGCCACTAAGCCTACAGAGGCTGCGGAAGACTCGTTTAGGTTAGGCTTATATGCAACTCTTTGCAGCCCCCCCGCCCAGTCAAATGCTGAGCCCTAGGTGGACACTAAGGTAGACAGGAGAGTGGGAGTTGGGACCAGAAGTGGCTGCCAGAAAGGACATTCTTGCTGTTGTTTTTACTTTTTGACCAGTGCTGTCTGCAATCTCAGGAGAACAGGATTTTGACACACACTAACTCCAGCAGTGGCTAGTGCTATGCTTTCATACAGAAGCAGTATGTGTGTCCTCTGTAGCCATGGCGATAGGTGATGTACAACTGGGGCATGACCAGCTATGGCCCTGCTTATCAGTACGGATGCACACATTGTCGAGAGTTTCAAGGACTGTGTGACCCAGGCAATGGATAACACCCTTACACCCAAGTGTGACTTAGACCAGCTCCAAGGGACAAGTGGTCCTTCTAGAACACTGTACACAACAGGTGGCAGAAAATTATCTCCTTCAGGTAAAGTGCAGGATGCAACACTAAGAACAATGGAAAAATCTGAGTAACATCACTATGCTGTACAAAGTAGTAATTAAAAAAAATACAGTTGGGAAACCTTGGAAGCAGAAGTCCCTGAAAATATTTCTGCTTCTTTTTTTTTTTTTTTTTTTTGGTTTCTCCGAGACAGGGGTTTCTCTGTGTATCTCTGGCTATTCTGGAACTCACTCTGTAGACCAGGCTGGCCTCAAACTCAGAAATCCGCCTGCCTCTGCCTCCCAAGTGCTGGGATTAAAGGTGTGTGCCACCACTGCCCGGCTTGAAGTAATTTTCAAACCTCATAAAAGACCACAAAAGAGCCTTCTGTCTATGATCACTTTACAATTATTTAATACCCAGGATATTTGGCTAGTGTATATGAGAAAGTAAGTACAGTCAAGCACCACATGCATACTGACAATTCCATATGCCCTGGGTGTGTAGTAGGCAACTCCATTCTAGGTTTGTGTAAGTACAGTCTGATACAGTGTTCACTAACCATGAACCTCTCAGACTCATCCTTGTTACATTGCATGGTGGGTATCATGTGTTACACCATATGGTGGGCGGGATGCTGCCATTCCTCACCTGGCAGTCCAGGAGCAGCTTCTCCATGGAGACGGCACTTTCGGGTTTTTGTAGCATCTTTAGCCTTTCTTCCTGCGCCTCCAACCAGCTGTTCAAATTCTGTATTTTGTTTTCGTTCTCAGTGATACTTTCCAAAAGTTGTTCCAAATGTTGTATCTATACGTGATGGAGTAAAAAAAAAATAATATTACAAAGAATAATTTCTTACTTTCATTTCTCGTCTTAAAAATGTGTGACAGTTTGACCAGGAATGTCCCCCATGGACAAGAGCATTTGAACACTTGGTCCGCAGTTAGTGGCGCTGTTTTGGGAGATTTGGAAGGGATGGCCTTGCTGGAGGAAGTCTGTTACTGGGAGCGGCCTTTGAGAATAGATAGTCAAACTCTACATCTACTTTGCTCTCTGTACTTTTAGCTGTTAAAGATGTGACAGTCCTTCAGCTTCCAGCTCAGACCACCACGCCTTCCTGCCACGCCAGACTCTTAGCTCTCTGGAACAACAAGCCCAAATAAATTCTTCCTTCTGTTCGTTGCTTTGGGCATTGTATTTTATATCATGAAACAGAAAAGTAACTAATACAGAGAGTCAATAGCATTATGTGGGTTTTTAAAAATATTTATCTATTTGCTTATCCTTGCTATGGTATCTGTATCCTTTTGAAATTAAAAGATAATCTGGCTTCTTTTAAAAGTTTAATATTTTACATAACAAAATTCACTGGTCATTTTGTAATAAAGATTTGTAAGTAAAGAAATAAGCTTATAACTTTTCTCAGTTAAAACAACAAAAAAAAGTAAAAAGTAAAACATAATCTGTTGGGCTGGTGAGATGGCTCAGCGGTTAAGAGCACTGACTGCTCTTCTAGAGGTCATGAGTTCAAATCCCAGCAACCACATGGTGGCTCACAACCATCTGCAATGAGATCTGATGCCCTCATATGGGTGTCTGAAGACAGCGACAGTGTACTTACAAATAATAAATAAATAAATCTTAAAAACAAAAAAAACAAAAAAAACATAATCTGTTGCAATGGTGGCTCGGGCATTGCATATTAGCTATACCAAATACAATTATGCTTCTAAATTTCAATATTTTTCATTGTATCCTTCATTACTACTGATATAAAGAGAATTTTCTTTTTCTTTTAATTAATTAATAAATTAATACCCAAAGTGCTGTTCCCCCCTCAGCCTCCCCTCACTGAGACCCCCCCCCTTCTCCTCTTCTGACTCTTTTAGAGTTCCCTAGCCATTTCTTTAATTTGTATGTGTGTGTGTGGGATACCTTGGTGGTGGTGACACATGCCTTTAATCCCAGCACTTGGGAGGCAGAGGTGGGCTGATTTCTAAATTTGAGGCCAGCCTGGTCTACAGAGTCCTGGTCTTCCAGGACAGCCAGGGCTACACAGAGAAACTGTGTTTTAAAAAACTAAATCTATATGTACATGATTTTTTTAAACAAGTTTCTTGTTTTTTTTTGTTGTTGTTGTTGCTTTTTGTTTGTTTGTTTTGTTTTTTTCTAGACAGGGTTTCTCTTTATAGCCCGGGCTGTCCTGGAACTCACTCTGTAGACCAGGCTGGCCTCGAACTCAGAAATCTGCCTGCCTCTGCCCCCCAAGTGCTGGGATTAAAGGGGTGAGCCACCACAGCCTGGCATGTACATGATTTATTGATTTATTTTATGTGTATGGATGTTTAGCCTGCATGTATATATGCACCATGTGCATGCCTGTGTGGTGACTATGGAGGTCAGAAGAGGGCACCATATTCCCCTGAAACTAGAGTCACAGACAGTTGTAAGGCACCATGTGGGTACTGGGAACCAAACCTTGGTCCTCCGTAAGAGCAGCCACTGTTTTTAATGATTCCATCCCTGCTTAGCAATTTCTTAAGACACTGATATGCCAACAATATCTCAAAGCACAGTTTCATAAGGCAAATCAATTTCTAATTCTGATTCTTATTTGTATATAATTTTATTAGGTAGTGATGGTATATACAAGGTTTACTCTTCCTTGTCAGTCTGCATGTTCACTGTGTTGAGGCATGCTGATAATGGTTGCCCAGCCAGGAGTGTCCTTAATCCCTGTATTCAGCAGAGGCTAGTGGATCTCTGTGAGTTCAAGGCCAACCTGGTCTACATAGCAAGTCCCTGTGTCAAACAAACATACAAACAAACAAACAAACAAACGGTCTTTTCTCAGATGGATATAGTATCACTTGATTAGTTGTTTTTCTAAAGTTGGAAGTTAAGGCACTGTACATTTTTGCAAGTGCAAGTAATATTGAGCATATTATACATAATTCTTTTTGGAAGGACCATCTAGCCATTTTTAGATAACTGTCTAAGAACTGGACTGTATGGTTAAGGGAACCAAATGAAATTTTGGATTCTTTCAATGTTCCTGATATTTTCCAACGAAATTTTAAGTCATTCTGCCATTAGATGTGTATGAATGTGGTAGCTTTGGGTTTTATTCTGCTAAAACATTTCTAACTTACTAACTATATGCTCCATAGTGTTTGCTTGGATATGGGCTAATACAAATAAATGTATTTCCATTTTATCTATTAAAACTAGAATTTCTAGCTTTGAGAAACATCCTCTTCAAGTTATCTGTCCATTCATGTACTTGAAAAATTAAATATGACTCTCCAGTAAGTGAATAACTTTGTGTATGTTTTTTTTTTAAGTACAGAAAAGGAATGAGATGTTTGTTACTGTCAATATTAAATACTTTTCATCACAAGTATATTTTCTTCATGTTCCAAGACAGTGGAAACCTTCCACTTTCTTTTGTTCTGTCTTCTCAAAGTGAAATTGCTTTGTCTTTTTGAACGTGTTTTCACAGGAAATGTCAAAACCTCTGACCTTCTGGTAGCCTGATATATTCCTCTTCACTGGCTTAACTCGATTTCCCAAAGAAATTCCAACATAAATATAAGTATTACTTTCATTATCTGTTGTGTGCACCCACAGAAAATGCTAAGACATAAGATTTTCCAAAGGAACTGTAATTGGGATGATTAGCAGGCTTAAGACTGTAAATCAGCTTTTAGAATAGCTTTTAAGAGTTTTCAGTAAGAGGCATATTGCAAGGACAAAACCATGCATCTAAAGTGTAAAACCATGCATCCAAGTGCAAAAGCAGGCATCCAGTGCAACACCATGCACTCAAGTGCAACACCATGTACCCAAGTGCAACAACCATGCACCCAAGTGCAACACCATGTACCCAAGTGCAATAACCATGCACCCAAGTGCAACACATTGCATCCAAGTGCAACAACCATGCATCCAGGTACAACACCATGCACCCAAGTGCAAAACCATGCAACTAAGTACAAAAGCATGCACCCAAGTACAAAAAGCATGCATCCAGATGCAACACTATGCATCCAGGTACAAAACTATGCACTCAAGTGCAACACCATGCACTCAAGTATGACTACAGGACGCACCTTTCTATTCAGGGTTCCATGCACTCGCTGCCACTGGCGATTCATCTCGCCCAGGTGCTCTGCAAACTCCGTCCTTTCATAGCGCTTGCTCTCTACGTCACAGGTGCTTAGCTGAAGCAGGGACTGGTTAACAAAGTCAACTACCCACTGCTTGTAGTCCATTTCCATTCTGAACGCCTAAAACACACCAACAAGGGAAAAGTTAAACACCACCATCAGGATGGAAGCCCATCACACGAGCTGGATTTTCCTTATGGCTGGACTCCAGAGGCAGCCAAGTGTCTATCCATTAATCCTGCTGTCAGGTGTACCTTCCATGGGACAGGGTGGTTGTTTTATCTGGAAGGAGACTCTTTGAGAGAATGATACATTCTTAGGGAAAGCATGACTCACTTCCTTGTGGGCTCACTGGAAACTCTGAGGAAACCACATGATGATACCTGCTGTCTATGAAGGGCTAGCAGGACCCTGGTCTGACAAAAGGGGTCCTGTGAGATTGAGCCATGTGATAAAGGAAACAGGAGATATGAGTCTGTCACAAAACTTATGGCACCTTTGGGAACCTGGTCAACTTAGGTAGCTCTTCTGTCCTGTGGAGACAGAGGCCTCTTAGGGCAATTTGGATGAATTTAGGTTCTACCATGGTCCTAAACCTACTAGGGGTAATGATGCTTCTCTCAAGCCTGTGACCTGTTAGGTTGTAGCACTGCTAATGGAGACATCCAGGAGGAACCCAGTGGAATGTGCTAGTAACCGTAGCTGAGGTAGACATTTTGAAGATGCTACCAGGCACTCAAGATAGGATCAGGCCAAAAATCAACCCAGGCATGGCGGCATACACTTTTAATCTCAGTACTCAGGAGACAGAATCAGGCGGATCTATTTGAGTTTGAGGCCAGCCTGGTTTACATAAGCAAGTTCCAGGCCAGAGCTAAATAGTGAGGCCTAGCTTTGCAAAGGAAAAAAAAATCAGAATCTTCTGCTGCAGTCATACTTAGTCATGAAGCCATTATCTTCTGCCTACAAGAGTCTAGCTCCATCAGCCTGCTCTCTGAAGGTCATGCCCAGGCTCATTACCTGCCTACCACATAATATGTGTTTGCAACGTGTTATATGCTAATGAAGTCTATTCGAAAGGCATAACTAGTGTAGCAGGACATCAGCTTTTTTCTTCCTCAAGGACATTTATTAATAACTACTGCAGGCCAACCACTAGACTATCTTGTTTCAGGAGAGAGTCCCAGTCAAGGAAGGGAGACAGGCAAGTACTAAATGTCACGTGATGATGTTTGCCTAGGAACTAGAGAGGGAATCTCAGAGACAGCAAGTTTGGCATAGTTGTCTAATACGGCAGGGAGACTTTGGGTGGAAGAGCCATCGAAGACATGCTTGGGCTGACCCCTGAAAGGTGGCTCAGAGTATGTGTAAAGCGGGCACTGCAGACAGACAGTGCGGCATGCACACTGCCTGTGGGTTCGGTGTTGATGGGGCGAGTAAAAAGATGTCAGGGAGGCTCAGCCCAGCCCGAGTCCATTAAAGGCCTGGGCTGCCCACTCCAGAATAACTGCCACCTCTTCCCCTTCCTATGTCCCTCCAGTTCATTTCTCTTGATTGTATCACACGTGTCTCTTGGTTCAGCCTTTCCCCTCTAAGTGATTTGCTTCTGTATTCAGTGAAAAGACTTTGGCCCCTTCCGTATATAATTACCTTGAGCTTCTGCAGAAGATGTTTCACCTGAGCTACAGAACTCAGCGAGAGCTCAGCAACCTCACCCACTGCCTGAGGCTCCACAGCCTTCATCCAGCTGATCGTCTCCGAGATTGCTTCTCGGGACGGCAATTTCTCCATCTGAAGCTGTAAGGACAGAATGCTTTCCACTTAATTACAGGCAGTTAACCAAATGAATCAGAGCATCGCTGAGGATGCTACCTGCTTTGATAAAAGGTCTTGCTACATGATTAGGCAGGTCAGCCACAAAAACAAGCCCAATATTAAAGCTTCAAATAAGTGACCTCCAAACAATGATAAAGACCTTCATAGAAGCAAACCCAGTGGAACAGAGACAACCAAGAAATAAAGCAATTAAGCTTGATTTCTCTCTTAAGAAAGATCTCACTGGAAGAGAGTCTAGTAATTAAGACCTATATTCAGTGGTGCGCGCACACACACACACACACACACACACACACACACATTGGGGGCTGCCTACGAAGTGTCAAAGAAAACTATTGAGTTAGAAAGATAATTTTAAGAGTTGTGAACTCACAAGTATATGTTAAGTTAAATGCTGAGTCTTTACACACTTACCTGGTGAAGTTTCTCTTGAATGTCTGGAAGCTGAGTTATGAGCACTGTCCACTTCTGTTCAAATTGTGCTAAAGAGGCTCTCAGTGTGGCCGTGTCTGCCTCTTTCAGGTGGAGAAGTCGGTTGCCGGTACTCATGACTGCGGACTTCAGGGAGGACTTCTCATCAACTTCCTTGGAAAATTTCTAGAGGAAATAGTTCCTGAGATTAGACACTTTCAAAACTTAAGGGAAGTCAGAATTACTGTCTAGACTACAAAACTAAAGAGAGTAAATATATCTACACCCCCCTGCTCACACCCACATACACACTTTGCCTACAGAGCATCAGACTCCACCCCAGGCATTACATATGTCCTGGAAAATAAAGCACATGGGAATCCCTAGCTCCTTTTAACCTAGAGGATTCATATTTTTAAAAATATACAAGTCTGGCCTGGAGAGATGTCTCAGTGATTTAAAAGGACTTAGTACTTGTTCAGAGGACCAAGGTTTAGTTCCCAGCACACACATGGTAGCTAGCAACCATTTGTAATGGTTACTACATTACAATGGAATGATAGCTAGTAACCATTCTAGTTCTAGGGCATTTGATGTCTTCTTCTGACTTTCAAAGTACCAGGCACACATGTGGTACATGTACATACATGCAGGGAAAACATTCATACAGATAAAATAAAGTCAGAGAAGCCATATTCAATGGTCAACTTTTCAAGAAACTAGAATCCAATGCAGTCTATATTAAATGAATTACTTGGAAAAATTTTCAAATAAAATTGAAGTCTTTCCTATGTATAGGTTTGAAGTGCATTGAAAAAGAACCTAAAAAAAAAAGGTACCTGTATTTTAATATTAAACTGAGTAACCATATATAAAACAGAAGAGAGTAAAGACCAAGGAAAAATATTTCGTTAGTACCTAGCAAAATTAATATGGATTCTATGTATGGCTCTCCGGGCTAGGTGTTGGACCCCAGTGCCTACACACTTGTTAGGCAAGTGTTCCATCACTGAACTACATCCCTGATCAATAAGCTCATTTTGTTATGAAAGAAAAGCTTCCACCCTGCAATCAAAATAATAAAACCAAAACATGAGCAGAGAATTCTCACAAGAACTTAAAATCACATATCTGCTAACCCCATGAAATAATATTCCTATAAAGCATGAGGTTTGGCTGGTTATTTTTTACTATTCACAAATTATGCCCATATCTGAGCAAGCTTTATATTCATATATATATATATATACTGCAGAGTTCGTCAACAGTATAAGCAAATAGCTCTAAGGACACATCTGCTACCTGCCCATGCACTACCCATCACACACAAACGGAAGCAGAAACCATCCCAGAAACCCGGATTCCTTTATTCTTGATATTTATTTTTGACCAGCAGTGTGAACGACTTACAAAAAATCTGTCTATGTTGCTTCTGATCGTATTCAGGTCCTGGGACACGTTGAGGGATTGTTCTTTCCAGTAATTCAACGTTTGCTGAGAAGCCTCCAGCCACCGGGTTAGCTCGTCTGAATCTCTGCTGTAACTGATGGGAGGAAAGCGGGAGTGGGAATCACCCCGAGGACAACACACACCCGGGTGCGTTGCTCTTATTGTAGTCTTTATAAAATAAATGGCGCTCAACAGCACACTGTCATTGGCCGAATGCTATCATATTATCTTATGTGACGGAAACAGCAATCAGGGCTATTGTTCAGAAATTCGAGGCATTTGTAAGGACTCTATCATGTCTTACACCATGCCTCAAGCCCAGTGGTTTTACCATTTTCTTTATTTCTTTGTTTTTTTTTTTTTGGTTTTTCAAGACAGGGTTTCTCTGTGTAGCCCTGGCTGTCCTGGAACTCACTCTGTAGACCAGGCTGGCCTCGAACTCAGAAATCTGCCTGCCTCTGCCTCCCAAGTGCTGGGATTAAAGACGTGCGCCACCACTGCCCGGCTGGTTTTACCATTTTCTAGAACTCTCTCCATTAGGGATAATCAAGGAGGAAGAGGCATTTTAAAAGTACAGAGCATTCTTATTACAGCTATACCAAAGTCTACCTGCCAACCATGGCAGAGATCACCCAGGTCATGTGTTCTCCTGTATTGTATTTACGGTGAATATAGAGCTAGCATTTGTACACGGAGTCAATGGCACACTGCCTGCCATTGGCTTCATGTGATGGAAATAGCCAACAGAACACCCTCTTCCTTGTAGCTTTTCTACTTGTTTAGCTCAAATAGTCTCTGAGAGGCAGGGATGAAATTAAGGCTTAAACGTTCTCTGTTTTCGCCATTGTCCTCAATGGTTAAGATGTTCCACATGAACACAACACATCCTCCTAAGAGTCAAAACACTTTCTCAAACCACCCTACTCTGTGTAGCCCTGGCTGCCCTTGGACTCAGAAATCCACCTGCCTCTACCTCCTAAAATAAACACTGGGATTAAAGGCGTGCACCACCACCACCCAGCCTTTTTAAACTTTTTAAATATTTGGAAGAAGGTGAGAGATTGTGACATCCCAGGCATGAAAGTATCCCAGGAGTTGCATCTATCCAATCCCTTATGCTTGTAGAAATGTGCAAAGGCCCCAGGAGACTGCTGGCACAGGATCCCGAGTGTAGTGAGCCAGGATCAGAAAGAACTCAGCACAATGTGGAGGACCACGCACAACCTTGAGTTGACTACAGACTCTCCCTGGGGTCTTTCTCTACAGAAGACTGTGGTGTCGATCAGTCTCTAAGGCGGTGTACCTGAGAAGATGCTTAAGCAGGGTTTGCAGTCGGTGGAGCTCCTGGTCGATTCTCTTGTTGAGGGACAGCCACTGCTCCTCCAGCTTCGTGATCTGGCCCTCTGGCTCAGGACAGCTCACAGATGCTGCCAGCTGTTTGCCTTCATTCAAGGTTTGGCAAAGCCGAGCATGCTTTCCATCAAGGTTTCTTTTTATTTGCTAAAAAAAAAAAAAAAAAAAAGTCACAGAATGAATTATTTTAAGTAAAATGTGCCGATCTAGTCTCTCTCTTTTTCATTTCTTTTTAATAAGATAGGCTCTTATTATATAGTGCAAGCAGACCTGAAAACTCACCATATAGCCCAAACATGTAAAACTCCTGCCTCAGCCTTCCAAGTACTGAGATTACAGGGTAGCTTCAAACAGCTGGACTAAGGGATCTTCTGGTTCAGCCTCCTCAACAGTGGGACCATTGGCGTGGCTTACCATTCCTCGTGTCAGGCAGCTTTGACTTGACATGCAGATAAATTTTTCTAATTTATTTAATCTTTAATAATAATAACTAATTATTATGTGTATGGATGTTTTGGCTCCATATATATTTGTGCTGTACATATATGCCTGATGCCAGAAGAGGGCATTGGCTCCCCTGGAACTGGAGTTACAGCTGGTTGTGAGCTGCCATGTGGGTGCTGGAAATCGAACCCAGGTTGTCAGGGGGGAACATCCAGTGCTCCTAACCACTGAGCCATCTTTCCAATCGACACAAAAATTATTTTGAAAATCAGGAAATTTGTTTCCAGTGCCTCTGGGAACACCAGGAGATGTCCCAATTAAGGGTCTATGTTCTCATGTGCACGGCCTTCTTAACAAGGGCCCACACCTTGCAGTCCCGCCCACCTCAGCCCCTCCCCCAGCTGCTGAGCCTCACAGACTGACACCTACATATGAGAGGAATAAGTTAGAAGATAATTATCTATTATCCACAAGACACAGAGACCCGGCAGAGAACTCATTTGTAGACGCCTCTGAATATTAAGGAATAAGAGGGAGAAAATAACTTTCAAATAAATTAAAACAGCAGATTATTAGGCCAGCTTCACACACACATCAAATGAAATCCTTCAAAACTGCAAATGCAATGACCCCCCTGAGGAGAACTCTGCCTAACAGCAATTGTCTCCACAGCTCGGTTCAGCTAATGTTGCTTACCTGGTGGCTGTTTACTCTTTAAAAGTAAATTACTATCAAAATAGAACTTTTGCTATTTCTCAATTAAGCCTTCTTGAAAACTTAACAGCTTTTTTTTTTCTTTTACTCCTAGGTCTCTTCTTCCCACTCCCACCCACAATCCCATCCCTTCCCTGGCTGAACCTACAGCTAGGATAAAATATCCAAAACCAATTACAAAATAAATTGTCATTTTCTAAGCCTTAAGGTTTGCTTTGCCATTATAACACCTGGGAAGGAGGCGGTTTTTTGCTGTGTTTTTTTTATGTGTATATGTATACATACTACATATACATACTACTCACGTATCATAAGTTAACGTATACCATCTACTCCTTCAGAGAAGGGAGATCAAGACTCATCTCTGCAGGTTGACCTTGATCTTATGATCTCCTGCTTCTACTTCTCAAGTGCTAAGGACACAAGCATGCACTACCATGCCCAGCTGATGTGGCAGTAGGATCGAACCCTGGGTAGGCTTCATGAATGGCAGGCAATGAACTGGACCAACTGTGCTACATCTCCCAGTCCCCTCTGAGGGAGACTGATACTGCCATTCTAGAGAGAAAAGAGACTGCATGCTGGTCAGTGGGAGCTTTATAGTCCCAAGCAGCATCTGAATATGAGTTCGTTCCAGTATAGAGGCTGCACAACTAACGTCTGCATTCCACGGCCCAGACTCCCAGCCAAGGACACCACCACACTGGCTGGACACACACAAACCTCTGTGACTCCAAGGGATTGTGAAGAAGAATACAGTGAAATGGGCTTGGAGGGATACAGTATGAAGAATTTGTTCAGAAGTCTTAGAACAATTGTTTCTTTGACAAAAGCTTTCAAGGCTGGAGAGGAAACTCATTTGTAGTGTACACATGGGGACCTGAGTTTGGATCCCCAATATCCATGCAAAAGTCTGTGTGGGAGGGGCTGGACAGATGGCTCAGTGGTTGAAAACACCTGCTGCTCTTCCAGAAGACTCAGGTTCAATTCCCAGCACCCACATGGCAGCTCACAACTGTAATTCCAGTTTCAGAAGATCCGACACCCTCACACAGACATACACGAAGCCAAATCACCAATGTACACAAAATAAACATGAATAAGTCTTTAAAAAAAAAAAAGACCCAGTAGGTGTGGAGGATGCACCTGTAGCCCTAGCACTGGAGCAGTGGAGACGGGAAGATGCCTGGGCTCACGGGCCAGCCAGCATCACTGAAATGGTCAGGGCTACAGGATCCAAATATAAGGGTGTTAGTATTCTGTCTAAACTCCACCTCCACAGTTATCTGGCAACACCCAGGTATGCTCCTCCCCACAGTTACCTGGCAACAGCCAGGTAGGCCTGCCCACTATAAAAGGGGCTGCTTGCCCCCTCCTCTCTCTCTCTCTCTTGTTCTCTTGCCTCTAGCTTCTCCCTCTGTCCCCTAGCCCCTCCCCCTTCCCTCCTCCCTCTCTCCACGTGGTCATGGCCAGCCTCCACTTCTCTCCTCTCCTCTCTCTCTCTCTCTCTCTCTCTCTCTGTCTTCCTCCGCCATCTTCTTCTATTTCTCTCCCCCCACCTTTGCCCTCTTCCCTGAATAACCCCCCCACCCCCCGGCCCTGGAACCATTTGGTTTGGTGTTGTCTGTTCTAAGCTGCACGCGGACATCTAACAAAGGGTCTCTCAGGCGTGGTGGCATGTATTTTATTAAAAATGTATTTTATGTATATGAATGTTTTGTCTGTCTGTCTCTCTGTCTGTGCACCATGTACATAACTGATGTCTGCAGAGCCCAGAAGAGCACACATCAGTTACTTGAGTTACAGATGGCTGTAAGCTGGGAATATAACCCGGGTCCTCTGTAAGAGCAGCCAGGGCTTTTAAGTGATGAACCATATCTTCAGCTCCAAGTAATGTACACCTTTAATCCCAAAATTCAGGATGCAGAGGCAGGTGGATCTCTGATTGTAAAGCCCAGGGAGTGGCACTATTAAGAGGATGTGTGGCCTTGTTGGAGTAGGTGTTTCACTGTGGGTGTGAGCTTTAATACCTTAGTCCTAGCTGCCTGGAAGTGAGTATTCTGCTGGCAGCCTTCAGATGAAAATGCAGAGCTCTCAGCTCCTCCTGCACCATGACTGCCTGAGCACTGCTATACTCTCCCACCTTGATGATAATGAACTGAACCTCTGAACCTGTAAGCCAGCTTCAATTAAATGTTATCCTTATAAGAGTTGCCTTGGTCATGGTGTCTGTTCACAGCGGTAAAACCCTAACTAAGACACTAGCCTGTTTTACATAGTGAGTTCCAGGTTAACCAGGACTACACAGTGAGACCCCATCTTAAAATAAGGTATAGGATACAACAGAAGGAGGTGACATTCTGCTCTGGTACACACACATGTGTTCACACATGCATGTATCATTCATACACACACACACACACACACACACACACACAAATTAAAGGTTTCAACTTTACTAGAATAATACTCTTTTGAAAGGAATAGTCAGGGGCAGGTGACATTGGCTAGTGTTAGATTGTTTCCTTTTTTGTTGCTTGCTTTTTGAGACAAACACTCATGCTTTAGCCCAAACTGAGATCAAGTTTACAGAGATTCTCCTGCTTTCGCCTCCTAAGTGCTGGGTTTGTAGACAAAGTAGATTGTTTCTTGATATACTGTGGCTAACTTTTCAATGTATTCAATTCATGTAGGTGATTGGATGGCACATCCTGTAACTCTTATGTCCCACCTCACCCCAACGATTCCAGAATGCAGATCTATCTAATTGCGGGTCTATACCAAGTAGAAATGCAGTGTTCAACCCCAAGAAAATATCATTCTCTTAACTCCCTCCCCTTTTGGTTTTGAAATCTCACTGTGCATCCCAGGCAGTCTTCAAAGTCACAGTCCTCCTGTGTCAACTTCTGGAATGCTGGTATTACAGGGGTGTGTGTCAACAAACCCAGCCTGAAGACTTTCTATAATTCTGGAGGCAGGTGACAGATCTTTCGCATCTCATGGGCTATGTTCAGTCAGAATTACACTGTAAGATATGCTTTCTATTCTCATCTTATTTCTAACAGAGAAGGACTAAGTGACTGTGAGTACTCAGTCACAGATGGGACAGTCCCTATTCCCATTCCAAGGCTCAGAGAACACAGCGCAGGCGTGGGCAGGAGGACTGTAAAAGATGAGGGATACAGAGGAGTTCTGTGGAGTGCTGCCCAGTGAACTCACACCACTGTGATCACCTGCATAAAACCTGCACAAGAGCGAGCCAGTTAAAAACTATAGCTTGGGATCTGATGAGTCTTTGAATTTCCTCAGTTTCTGATGTTATGTCTCCCTTTCAGTTCTGATTTTGTTAATTTGGATACTGTCTCTGTGCCCTCTGGTTACCTAGGCTAAGTGTTGATCTATCTTGTTGATTTTCTCAAAGAACCACCTCCTGGTTTTGTTAACTACCAATCAAGGAGTGTACAGGGAGAGATCCATGGCCTCAGCTACATATGCAGCAGAGGACTGCCTTATCTGTCATCAATGGGAGGGTAGGCCCTTAGTCTTGTGAAGGCTTGATGTCCCAGCATAGAAGGATGCTAGAGGAGGTGGGAGTGGGTGAATGGGTGGAGGAGCACCCTTATAGAGGCAAAGAGGAGGGGGGAGGGGAGATGGGATAGGATAGAGGGTTGTGGAGGGGTTAACTGGGAAGGGGGATATCATTTGGAATATAAACAAATAAAATGATCAATTAAAAAATTTAATAGCTTGGGGCTGGAGAAACAGCTCAGTGGTTAAGAGTGGGCACTGCTTTTAAACAAGATCAGGGCTCAGTTCCTGACACCAATTTCAGAGAGATTACAACTGCCTGTAAATTCAGACCCAGGGGATATGACACCATCTTTTGGACCCCACAGGCACTGCACATTCACATGCATAAACACACACACACACACACACACACACACACACACACACACACACAAATATACACTTAATTAAAAACAAAATCTAAAATGTTTTTTCAGCATGGAGAAGGGAGGGGCTCCCAGGTCCTGCCCCTGACCATGGTGCTATTAGCAGTTAGTGGCTCCGGGAGAGGGAAGAGTTGCTGCTCTCCACCAGCAGGATGAGCCCATATCAACAAATCAGGACTGTTGGAAAGGGATACACTAGGGTAGTTGAAGGAGGGACTCCACACCCTCCTGAACATATCTGTCAGTGAGCCCTGTGATAAGTAACCTTGAGTTTCAATGAAACCATTCAGTCTCAAACCCCAGCAGCCTACCCAGCTCACCAGGCACTGTGGACCAGGCTTGTCATGGACCAGGCTTGTTATAAACTGAGAAGCATGGTACCTGGTAAAATGAAATCCTTTCCAGCAATCTTTCCTCCGTCTCTTCCACCAAACTCACAGAGGGCAGCGAAGAGACAAGAACTTCCAGGTCCTTCTCAAGAGATACATAGCTTTCATCAAATTCTTCCCATTTCTAGAGAATAAACAGTGGGAACAAGTTCCATGTAACGATGTTCATAAAGCCAAAGACAAACACTGAGATCAGAAGAAACTGAACCGTGGATGCCACGTGGTCTCCAGGTGCACCTGAGAGGTTATATACACACACTATCAGGCAGAACTCAGTCCCCAGTGGGATACGATCCCTTTGCTTTTGAAAGGTGCTGTATGTGTGTGTGTTTGTGTGTGTTTTAATCCCACTGGTATTAGAATGTGTTCATTTCCTTGCAGTGCTGGGGCTCAAACCCAGGGTTACACATGTGGCTGTACCATACTGATGTATGCCTCCTGTCTGGCACCGATGCTTTACGCTGGCACTGTAAAACTGGGTGATGGGATTAAGAGAAAAGGCCGATGAGTTGAGGCGCTATTGTGAGCACCCCGGTAAAAAGCTAACAATGTAAGAGTCTTGTTCCTACTGGGAAAGGCAGAGTGCTAATTTTGAAGAGCTTTTCTAAAATAGAAATTTCCTTCAGGTTATGCTTGTCTCTCTGATAGAACCCTAAAATTTAGTGGGCACAGTTCTACTGAGCTACCTGAAGCATACTTGGCAGACTCCCTGAGCTCATGGTCGGGGGTAGGAGGGGCAGGGTGCGCTTGTGCCCCTCCCTCACTATCTCCTTACCATTCGTGTCACCTTGTCCTACTTGTGGTGTTCAGAATATATTGTCCTACCTCCTCATACTGCTATGGTAGCCCACTGGCTAGAGTTCCTAAGCACTAAAGAACTAAGTTATTGACATTAAAAACTGTCTTTTAGAAAAATAACCTTAGTAATTTTCCTTTCAAAATAACAGTCACTTGACTTACAGAGCACTCACCGGGTCCATAAAACCTTTTAAAATCACCATTACTATAAAACCAATTTGTGGTGGTTTGAATATGCTTGGCCCAGGGAGTGGCACTATTTGGAGGTATGACCTTCTTGGAGGAAGTGTGTCACTGTGGGCACGGGCTTTAAGACCCTTATCCTAGTTGCCTGGTAGCCAGTCTTCTCCTGTTTGCCTTCTAAACGAAATATTGAACTCTCTTCTCCTGCACCAACTGGATGCTGCCATGGTCTCACCTTGATGATAATGTACTGAACTTCTGAACCTGTAAGCCAGCCTCAATTAAATGTTGTCATTTATAAGAGTTGCCTTGGTCGTGTTTACTGTTCACAGCAGTAAAACCCGAACTAAGACACAATTTGACAATGTAACTTGAAAATAAATATTGTCATCAAGAAATAACACTGTATTCATAACATAAAGCTGAACATCTCCTTTTCCAGATGTCCTTTCTGGGTGCACATCTGTTGTAAATGGTTTAGGGGGTTAAGGGGAAAGCTTTTAGGCTGAACAGGATTTTTCTTTGAACTGAGGCAGGATTGTCACAGAAGCATTTTCTGACCATGTTCTCAGTATCCCCAATGGCTTGTGAAGGAACCTAGACTGGCACCCATGAACTGCTTTATCCAAACCATCTCATCCGGTTCTCACGTGCCTTCAATGCTACCCATCCACAGACAAACCTACACCGTTCCATATGACAAGTCTCAGCTGACCTTTCATGAAGTGGGAAGGAGTCCAGGCTAGAACCAGGTCCACCTTCCTCAACTGTGATGCTCACACACACGCCTGCCACCTGTGGTGGGTGAAACCAGGCAGTCCAGCCAACAGGTGGTACAATGTGCATACCTGTAGCATGCTCTGAAGCTGGGCACCGCGCAGGCAGGCCTCTTCCTCCAGGGCTCTCACTTCCGCCACTTGCTCTGCTCCAAATCCCTCTCCCTTTTGTAATGAGGGAGGAAACATTGTTGCCGAATAGGTTTGAATCAACAACATGTCAGCCACAAGCTTCTGGAAAAATCCCTGTGCCATGGAAAAGGTTTCTAATATTTATTGTTGAATTAGGAAAATTATAAAGGCCAAATATTTTAATTCTTCACTCCAGTTCCTTTGACCAGCCTTCCTTTGGTACTAGTGGTGGGGGTGGTGTGTGTGTGTGTGTGTGTGTGTGTGTGTGTGTGTGTGTGAACCTAAGGCCTCAGGCATGCTAGCAAGGGCTCTTTGGCTGAGACATACTCCTCTTGCCTTAGTTTCTCAAAGCAGATGATGTTACAGAACTATGCTACCAAGCCTGACTTAATTTTGTTTTTTAATCCCTTATCTCAAGAGTTCATATATAGAATTATATGTATACATGTATATATGCATATATATGTACATAGACTCAAATGTATAAGCAAAGAAAATGAGAATTAAAGTGGACCAACCCCGTAGTCTATGAAAAACAGATGGAATTTTAACAACTTATAAAGAAATATTATCCTCAAGTAGTATTTCCACCAAATAATCTATTTTAAGCAGCAGCCATTAGTGTTAGTAAATTTCAGTTTCTGCTGTGGTCTAATTTAAGTTCTTCAAGTTTTAGAATGTTAGGAGGTGGCTAATAAATCTGAAGACAGGCTGGCTTCAAACAATGTTCAGTGTGTGAATCCGAGCAACCCACAGTCGACAGACAGGCTCCTCATTCTCAGCTCCCACTGAGACTCAACAAAATGGCCAAGCGAGTGGGATTTGCTGAGAGGCAGACAGGGCAGCTTTAGGATTGGGAGGTCATATTTCCATGGTGTCTGCATTTACCCAGCTGCTAATTCTAGCTGTTTGGAAGGGCCCCTTTATTATGTGAATCCCTCCTTCCACCCCCACAGATGGACAAATACGTAGAAGGTTTGTCAAAGCATCAGACAGGGCCCAGCACATGGCATGTCCAACCCGTGATCTATGAGCCCCATGTGGCAGGGGATAGGTACAAATACATCCCAACACAAAATCTAAGCTTATTTAAAACACATGACTTTGTGTGGGTGTGGGTGTGGGGTGTTGCTCTATTGCCTGGTTCCTGAGTACGAACTTGGCCAATGACAATGTCACCACAATGTCAAAAGGTTGGACACCACCGTGAGGGTGTTTCCACTCTTCCCTGGACGCTAGCAGAGTATTCCTCTTCTAAATTTTCTTAGATTAAGGTCTATTTACCAAAGGTCTAAGCTAAAACAGGGACTACGCTCTGTGTGTGTGTGGGGTGGGGAGGAGGGAGAGAGGGAGGGAGGAAGGGAAGAAGGGAGGAAGGGAGGGAGGGAGGGAGGGAAGGAGGGAGGGAGGGACAAACAAGCTCTTAGAATGTAGTCCTGGCTGGCCTGGAATTTGCTAGTAGACCAGGCTGCCTTTGAACAGAGATCTTCTGTTCAAAGTGTTCAGCACCATGCTAGGTTGATGGAAATTGGGAATACTAACTAAAGCATTAGTCTATAAACCTTCCTTTTGATTCCTGTTCTCAGGAACACTTTTCCTAACCCTCCTGAGTCAGTTTCTCCTATTACATGTTCTCAGAGGATGAATATACATTTAGTTATAGATTTGCTTAAAGACTTGTTGGTGAAATGACTGTTTTCTCAACAGAAAGGTCCACAGAGATAAGAAACAGAGTCTGTTTTTATCCATAACCTCATTCCTAGAAGTTCCCAGGTGAGATTTTGAAAGAGCTTGTAATTGGTGAAATGTTATGTTCTTCATCAGAGGGGTCACTAGGAAATTTCTCATCTTCGGGGACAACTGGAGGCAAGGGTCTTGAGGGGCTCTTACCTTGTGATCTTGTAATTGAGCTTTTAAAGCAGCCTTACTCCTGGCATGTTGTAAGGGGTCAGTCGCAAGCTTTTCTTTTCCGATTCTGACTAGCTCTGCCATGCCTTGAAGCAAGGCCTGCTGGCTCTTGGAGAAGAAGCGGCTGCTGAGTTCTAAGTATCTGGCCCTCAGGATTCCCCACATACTGTCAAGAACATCCTGAAAGGGAGAGAGCAGATCTCAGCTATGGAAATAAATCAGACAAAGAACACATCTAAATTCTTGGGAGGAAGACCCAAGTCCTTCTGCCCACACACACCTCTAACTTGTAAACATCCTGGAGTAAGACATGAGGGAAACGGAGCCTCTCCCCTTCGCTTCTTAGTTTGGCGACTTGCCTCTCGGAGTTCTGCAGCTCTGCTGTATGCATATCTGCTTTCTAAGGGAGAAACCAGACAAGAGAGAAGAGCCCTCAATAGATCAGGAAGCACACGGAGTTTCTAGCTAAAACAGAAACAAATGAAAGTGACAACTTCAGTTCCTACCACAGTCCCTGCCACCACCAATGTGCAGTTCTTTGTTGGTTTTCCCGGAAGTGCCAGGGTTGAATTTGTTCTCAGCACATTCTAAGCCTATACTGAACGAGGCATATGTGTCTATGGGGGTGGGAGGTGGGGGGTGGGGGGGTGGAGGGTGGGGTTCAGGGTCTCTTATCAGCGCCTCAGCGCTTCTCAAAACTACTACACCATTACCTTTCAAAAAAGTAATTAGCTTGGGCCGGAGGTGGTAGTGCATGCCTTTAATCCCAAATAATATCAAAATAATAATAATAATAATAATAATAATAATAATAGCAGCATGGCATGGTGGCTAAGGCAAAAGAGATTGCCAAATACAAGACCAGCCCAGGTAGATACTTCCCAAAAAATCAAAAATGAAAATCCAAAGAAAGAAAGAACAGAAAAACATCCAATCATCCATTTTCATGCCTCTGGAGATTAAACCCAGGTGTTCTGCCATGTGCTCACCCCAGCTCTCTCACTCCTTGGAACATGGTACGTCATCCTAAGGGTACATGCTGCTTTAATCACTGACAACTGTTTAAATCAAAGAGCTTTGGGCCATTTTCAGCTTCTGTAGCACGTACTGCTGCAGGGTCCATCCTTAAACAGCTCTGATGGATGGATCTTTGCATAATTATCCTTTCAGTCTGTCTGGTCTCAGAAAGCCCACGCTGGCTTTAAACTCTCTATTTAGTTGAGGACGACCTTAAACTTCTGACCCTCCTGCTCTCACCTCCCCAGTGCTGGAATTACAGGTAATCATGTTTGGTTTATTCAGTATTGGGGACCAAACCCCTGGCTTCATGCATGATAGGCACATATTCTACCAATGGAGCTACATCCTCTGCCTCTTATTTCAGCTCTTCAGAGAGAACACAGCCAGATCTCAGAGCTGTAATGGAACATGGTGGGTTTACGGTAAATGAAGGGAGCTACTGCTGAACAGAAGAGTACTAATGCCTAAAACCCTCACTTCAGCCTACTGATCCCTAGAAGCTGGCCTAACTGAGCTTCAGTGGAGGAGGGAAGGGCCTCAAATACCAACACCTTTGACAATAGAGGACATATTTTACCTTTGCCCATTGACAGGTGAAAATGAGGTCTATTGCTTTAAGATATTGTGCTCCAGGACATATGTGAGCTGTGAGTTCGAAGGTCAACAGTAATTGCTCTCATCTGAGCGACCACTTAAACGTCACCGACACTTACCAAGGGGTGTTTTAGACACACAGCTGATACTCAAGACTCTCTGGTCTGAGGTCAGGTTCACTTGAACATTTTGATTGTTTACCTGAAGCTGTTTGCCAATACTTTGCCCACTGATTTCATTCAAAGACTGTTGTAAAGCCGTCTTCTTCTTGATGAGTTGGTTGTATAATCGCTTTATTTCACTCTGTACATGAAAAAGGTCTGTGTAAGGAAGATGAGCAGTCTCACCTTAGACCTCCCTCCCTTTTAGTATGTAATTGGAAATTTCTGGAAAATTTAAGCATATCTAGACAGAGAGCCATCCACAGCCTATCTTTGTGCTCAATCATCACTAACTGACAGCCGACCCCCCCCCTCCCACTCCACCCCTGGATCTCAGGTACACCTAAGTCCCCTTCCCGTTGGATTATTTTGAAGCAGATACCAGACATCGAGACATCTCGTTAGCCCTTCTGGTGCTTTCTCTATTAAAGGATAAACAACTTCTCTTGCTAGAAATACTAGAACCTAATTCCATCATGTGATCAGTTGTCCAGACAAGGTGCACACTCCTGAAACTGCTTATAATTTTTCTTGTTCGTATTTCATTTGGGATATCACTGAGGGCTTCATATCACAACGGAGTCTGTGGTGGTTATCACCTCGACAGAATGCATACTTGGACAACTTCTCCTTTAATTGGCCGGCATCCCTATTCTTCCCCTTCCCTCCCCCTTCCCCCTCCCTTTCCCTCCTCTTCCTTCTTCTCTCACTTCTTAGATTCATATGTTTAAGAAAACCATGAGCCCCTCCCAAAAAGAAAGAAAGAAAGAAAGAAAGAAAGAAAGAAAGAAAGAAAGAAAGAAAACCATGAGCCCTTTGCTCTGGATTTGGCTGATAACACCCCTGGGTGCTAATAGGTTCTTCTTTCCTTATGTCTACTTTACTTGGATTCTAGAAATTTTACCAGATTCAGGTTTTGCAGGCTGGGGTGGGGTAGGGTGGAGTTTAGTGTGTGTGTGATGTATATGCACCTATGTGCATGCACAGGCCAAAAAAGTATTTCCTTCTGTCACTCACCACCGCCACCGCCACCACCACCACCACCACCACCACCACCACCACCACCACCACCACCGACAGAGTCTCTTTCCGAACCAGAAGCTTGCTGTTGTGTAAGCTGTCCAGCAAGCTCCCAGGATCTACCTGTCTCTGCCCCAGTCCCGAGATTACAGGTGTGCATGGCCATGACTGGCTTTTACATGGCTGCTGGGGATTTGAACTCAGGTCCTTCTGCTGTTATAATTTTTACCAAGCACTCTTATCCACTTCTCTAGGCCCTTAGGTTTGATTTTTATGGGCCATATCCCTTTGTAAATGGTGTTTTGTTTCATTTCTTTCTCATTACACGACTTGAGCAGATTTCTAAGTCGTCTGCCTCCAGACTCCCCCTTAACAATCCACCGAGGCCCTGGACTATCTCGGGATTGTCAGGAATAGTAACTGATCTCTCTGGGCTACGGTGTTAAATAAAACTCCTCTCCATGACAATCTCCATGTAGCAAACGTAGCACAAGAAAAGAAACATCATGTTAGATCATCTTGACAACCACAGCTCTGGAAGGGGGCCTCAGTTCCAAGCAGTCTCCCCACCAAGAGCAAAGACAGGCTTCACCATTCCCTCCCACTTCCTGTAAGAACTGTTGGCGACTGGGGTCCATCCAGCCCTGTGCCAGAGTCGCACCTGGTAGCTTCGGCTGTGGTCAAGGCCCGCCTTCAGGGATGAGCTCCTCCAGGCTGCGCTGCTCTGCGAACACTCCAGGCTGACTTTCAGAGCATCAATACACTCTGGTAGCAACGTGGCATCCTTGCCAGGCCAAGTCACAGCTTTCAGAAGATCCTCCTTCTTGTCGTCCAGAGCTAAATAAAGCTTCTTCAGCTCAAGAGCCAGTTTCTACAAGATGGAGAGGAAGGCAATGAGCCTCATGTATAGTTGCAGAAAGACAGACAGAAGGGCAAGAGGTGTGCTCTACCTGGAAGAACACCTGCTGGGCAGATGCATCCTCTCTGAGCAGTCCAGGCCTCTGCAGCAGCTCCTCCACGCTGCCCAGGCACCGACTGAGGCTCAGAAAGAGTTCAAATAATCTTTTATCCAAATTGATGTATGTTTCTTCTGTCATACTTCCCTACATCAAGAGGGAAAAAAAAATGTTAGGATTCCTTGCCTTCCTAAACTCGTTTTCCACATTTCCATTAGAGTGTACAATTTATATTATACTTTTAAAGAGGACTTGCTTTTAGTATTTTAATTACATGAATGTGTCTGTGTGTAGGTATATGCATAGAAGTGCACATGCCCATGGAAGCCAGAGCATCCGATCTTCTAGATTTCAATTCTAAATTTGAGATCTGGAGTTACAGAGGTTGTAAGTCACTGTGAGAACTGAGAGTCAGTCAGTTCCCCTCTCCTCTCCTCCCAGGCCTTCCCTCCACATCCCCTCTTCCACAGATCCATTCTTCCTCCAGTTCCCCTTAGAAAAGAACAGGCCTCTTAGGGATACTAACCAAATACGGCATATCAAGCTGCAGTGACACTAGGTACATCACCTTGTATTATGGCTGGATGAGGCAGCCCAGTAGGAGGAAAGGGTCCCAAAAGCAGGCACAAGAGTCAGAGACCCACTTCCACTGTTAGGAGTCCCATGAGAACATCAAGCTACACAGTCATAGCATATATGTAGAAGACCTAGGTCATACCCATGAGGGCTCCCTGACTGTCAATTTAGTGTCTATGATCACTTATGAGCCCTGGTTAGCTGGTTCTGTGGGTTATGTTCCCTTGGTGTCTTGTACCCAAGAGTAGTACTCTTAACCACTGACCTTAATTCTCTGGGCTTAATTCCTAAAAAAACTTACCATAAATTGTTTCAACTAATGTTCACTAGATAATAGACTAACTAGTGTTTTTATTAACTGGTAAACTAATCTACTTGTTCTTTGAGTTATACTGTAGAATATAAAATAAAGATTTTTTTCTAACATTGAGAAAAACAAGCTGAAGAATACCAGGCAAGTGAGTGTTGAATGAAATTAAAAGGGACCCCCCACTAGGTGAGGGTCTTCCTTAGTGTAGGCACCCAGGAGAAGCTGCAGATCTCCTCCTCCTCCAGCTTCCTGCCTCTACATTTTTGAGGCGTTCAAACACTTCGTTCAAACTGTGATCAGCTCAGGCTGATCTTGAACTCACAGACCTCCTGCTCCTGACTCCTGAGTGCTGGGATAGCAGCTTTTCCTCACTTCAATGTAGAAACAGTGGGTTAATTTAGAATAGCTAAGAGAAGGGTACTTACATGGGAGGTGCTTAAGGTGTTAGCTAGGAAGGGAAGGCAAAAGATAGAGATGGGTGGTGGAAAGGGAAAGTTGGAGGGTCAGCTATGTGTTGACTGTGGAAGCTCAGGCCACTTTGATGGGTCCATTTCCAAGGGGGCAGCCCCCAGGGGCTGAGCTGCCATGGGCTGGTAAGTTTGGGAGCCATATCTCCATGCTAGCATAAGGTGTTGGAACCAAGTTTTTCTTTGCCCTGAGTTCCTGACTATTTACAAATATGTTGGGAGTATGCCATAGCCCCTAAGTCATTAACTAGCCTGCTTCCACTCAGCCTCACCTGTGACTCACTTCCTTAGGTCTTAGCTGATGGATACCTATCAACACCCGGCACTCCATTCAGCATTAAACTCACTCAAGGTTACCTATGCTCCTTCCCTACCCTTCCCATCCCAGAACACTCTGTAGACATCACTAATCAATTACCACCCCCTCTCACACACACACTAGCTGATCCTGGGCCGAAATTCAGAAGTCTTTGCATGTAATGCTTTAGGTAGCCACTGCAAAATTCACCAGAGCTGGCAAAGGGTTAGGAGTGAACCTCAGTGAGACAGTATTTGCCTAGAGCATGTAAAGTCCTGGGCTCAATTCCCAGCACCACACAACCAACCAAAATCAGCAAGTTTAAAAAAAAAAAATCCCAATTCTAACCTAAGACTCATTCCATTATGACTCTATTATTTGTTCAGTGAAGGAAATTATGACCAATGTGCATGCTGATGTCATAGTTTTCTCTTCTCAAAATATTATTGCAATGTTGAAAATACACAATATGTAATTTCTACCTGTGCCTGAATAGTGTTTGCTTCTTGACGTAGCTCTTCAAGTTGGGTGATGTAAGCTTGCAGTTCGTCAGCTGTAGGACATCTAAAGTTATACATGCTGACACTGGGCAGAGTACTCATAGTTACGGCCACCTATTTGGAAAAGAGAAACCTAGTTAGTGATGGCTGGCCAGAGACCCTGCTGAAGCTAATGTAAACAGGTAAGACTGGCTCAGCATTCAGTCTCTGAGTTCCCCTCAGGGAGCTTCTGTAGCTTGTCTCTATGAAGAGAGAACCCAGGGTCCGCTTAGATATTAAAATGAGGGAGAAAACACAAATAAAGGAATTAATAAAACCACTAATTTATAAATGTCTGTATATGTGTATGTATTTACTTATTTATTGAACCCAGGGTCTTCTGTATGCAAGCCAAGTGTTCAACCACAGGGCTACGTTCTCAGCTTTAACCTCCCAATGTAATAGGTGAGAGTAAACCACAAACTTAGCCAGTGTTTAACTAGTCTATTTATCACATACTAGTTCATTTACTAGTTGGCTCCTTGTATAGCCAACTCTTAGAATGGAGATATAAATCACGTTTAGGAAAAGGCCTTTAGCCGGGTGGTGGTGGCACACGCCTTTAATCCCAGCTCTTGGAAGGCAGAGGCAGGCAGATTTCTGAGTTCGAGGCCAGCCTGGTCTACAGAGTGAGTTCCAGGACAGCCAGGGCTACACAAAGAAACCCTGTCTCAAAAAACAAAAAAACAAAAAAAAACAAAAAAAAAAAAAAAGAAAAAGAAAAGGCCTTTAATTCCTGGACTTCAGAGGCAAAGGCAGAGGCAGCCTGGTCTGATCTACAGAGTGAGTTCCAGGACAGACAGGGATATATGGAAAAATTCTGTCTTGAAAAACCAGCCCCCCCCCAAGACAGAACAAAAACAAATCACAGTCAAGGATAGATCCACATTTGATTTGTTATTGAAAAGGCAAGCAAACATTGAAAATGAACCATATTTCAGAAGGAAGAATGAATTTTGAGTAAATTTCTCAAATTGAAAAATATTTTATAACACCAATGGACATGCCAAAGTGGATGGGGAAAAGCCTATGCACCAGTGGATGGACCTATAAGTATATGGGCACCACAAATTAGAATCAGTGGGTTAGCTGGGCAGTGGTGGTACATACCTTTAATCCTAGAACTCAGGAGGCAGAGGTAGACAAATTGAGTTTGAGGCCAGCCTGTACTACAGAGTGAGTTCCAGGACAGCCAGGCTACAGAGAAAACCTGGCTCAAAAAACTAAATCAGTGGGATATATATGAGGGCTTTAAATAGGTATGGCCCCGTAGACTCATGTGTTTGAATGTTTGGTGCATGGCAGTAGTAGGAGCTGTGTCCATGTTGGAGTAGGTGTGACCTTGTTGGAAGAAGTGTATCACTGTGTAGGTGGGCTTTGGGGTCTCATATGCTCAAGTTCCACCCAGTGTGGAGTTTCGGCTCCTCCTGGCTGTCTCCTGCAGAAGACAGTCTTCTTTTGGCTGCCTTCAGATCAACATACAGAACTCTCAGCTCCTTCTCCAGCACCATGTCTGCCTACACAATGCCACACTTTCTACCATGGTGAAAATGGACTGAACCTCTGAAAGCCAGCCCCAACTTAGTGCTTGCCTTTATAAGAGTTGCCTTTTGGAGGCTGGAGAAGAGCACCGACTGCTCTTCTAGAGGTCTTGAGTTCAATTCCCAGCAACCACCATAGTGGCTCACAACCATCTGTAATGGGATCGGATGCCCTCTTCTGGTGTGTCTCAAGAGAGCTACAGTGTACTCACATACATAAAATAAATAAATAAAAGAAAAAAAAAAAAAGAGGTGCCTTGGTCATGGTGTTTCTTCATAGCAAGAAAATTCTAAGTCAGGACTAAAATTAGGAGGGAGTGGGGGTGGGGAGAAGTTGGAGAAAAGGAAATTGAATATGTCAATATGATCAAAATACAACATATATGATCATACATATGTCATGTCTTAAAAACTCACTGAAAATATTATACTGACAAAACAGGTTGTGGTGATAGAGGACTCTCCTGGGAGGCGGGGCGTGGGGGAGAACTGACAGGCACTTTAAAAGACACTTCTGTACGTGCTTTATAGTATTGTTAACAAGAAGAAACCAAGACAAGCCCAACCTAGGAGGTTAATTCAGCTCTGAATGGTCAAATAAGGTTCTGAGCAAGAAGTAAATTCCCACCAGCCTGGTGATTAGAAAATCATGGGCACCTTTGCCCAGGCCATCCAAGTACATGGCTCACTGTTACAGCTGATGGCCCACAGCTATAAGGCTGTGCTACTCACCTGTTTCAATGGGAGAGAACTCAGCCTGAACAAGGCCTACAACAGCAGTGGTGTGTGCTGGAGGGAATACATACTGACAGGTGCCATTGGCACGGCTGGCACATGGTAGGTCCCTCAGAATCTTCTGATGAATGAATGGTATGCATGAACCACTCTAGTGTTTGTAAGGTGTTTTGTAGAACTTAGTACATGCTATTCGTTCAACAGACAGACACTAAGACTCCATGATGCCATAGGCACTACACTAGGTATTCACGTGAACCAAGCATACATGGACTTTCTTCTCTGACCTTCTAATGGGGAACATGGATCATTACAGTTTAAATTCAGAGTGTCCCTTGCAAGCTGTTGATGGTGCTGTGGAAGGTAACCTAAAGACGTGAAGTCTTTCTGGTGGATGTGGGCCGTTGGGTATGGGTTTTGAGGGAAACAGCATGGCTCTGCTTCTGGATCCCCCTCTTCCTGGTTACAAGCCATGTCATAAGCACCTGCCATTGTAGAGGGAGCTGCCCTAGCTACCATGTCTTCCCCTTCACAGATGACCTCCTGAAGCCACGAGTCAAGGCCATCCATCCTCCCAGCGACACGTGGACCAGCTCAGAGGCAGAGAAGAAAATGGGCACTGTAGTGAGCTCTAGAAGCAGAGAAGGGGGCACTGCAGGAGCATGAAGGGAGGGCTGGGCCTAGGGAAAAAGCCATGAGGCTCTTTAGTTTCTGAGAATAAAGCAATACATCATGCAGAGCACGCAAGGTCTAGATCAGCCTTTCTGGGTTCCCGAGACAGAGATGCACACAGACCTGAGGCTCCACCAGCTGAGGCGCAGGGGGATTTGGTCTTGATGTTAGTTCATGGTGAAGATACTGCCATTTGTCACCACTCTGGCCCCGAGGTGGCGAGGCTGAGTCTGAAGCTGCATTTCCAGGACTGGGGACCTTGCTGCTTTTTGAGGAGGAAAAAAAAGGGGGGTATATATAAACACAGAGACAAAGGGGGGTATATATAAACAGAATTGACACAGAGACAATCTCATATTACATTTAGCCAGTGTTTCACACAGAATTTAAGAATAAGCAATTCTCCCGATAATAAATATCCAAACGGGGCTGAGTGGGCTGGGGAGTTGGCTCAGACATTAAGAGCACTTACTGCTCTTGGGGAGGACCCAGGTTTAGTTCCCAGAACCCACACAGAAGTTCACAGTCCTCTGTAAATTCAGTTTCAGGGGACTTGACGACCTCTGCTGACTTCTGTGGACACCAGGCGCACAGGTGGTACACATACATACACAGAGGCAAAATATTCACTCAAACACATAAAATAAACAACTTTTTTGATGGGGTTGGGGATGTCACTCAGCTGGTGGAGCGCTTCTAGTTTGCATGGTGCCCTAGTTTGATTGTCACACGAGGCAGTAGCAGTGTGGCAGTGCATAGCTATAATCTTAGTATTCGCGGCTGGAGGCAGGAGGATCAGACAGCCATATAACAAGTTTGAGGCTACTCTGGGTTACACAAAACCCTGTCTCAAACTAAATTAAAAAAAAAAAAAAAACAAACCCAAACAGTATATCTAACAAATGTCCAACATAGGTAAAAATGCTTCCTCTAAGGCTGGAGAGATGGCTCGGAGGTTAAGAATACTGGCTACTTTTCCAGAGGACCCAGGTTCAGTTCCCTGCACCCACATGGTGCTCACAATTGTCTCTTACTCCAGTTCCAGGGGATCCGACACTCTCTTCTGTCTCCTCAGGCTCCGGGCATGCAGTGGACCACAGGCATACCTGCAGGCTGGACGCCCACACACCTAAGACACTGAGAGAAGCTAAAAATGCTTCACCTGGAAGCTGATCGCTGATCTGCATCTTCATCCTCTTGGCGACACGGCAGCCATGTTTTCTTAGCGTTCAGCTCCGTGAACCTGATGAAATCTTTCTGCTCCAATGGTTTTAACTCCAGAATCTACAAGGGAATGCAATGTGAATGGCTTAATCCATCTAGCTTTTCCTGTTAGCACTCTAAAATGCTTTCCGCTGGAATCATCTAGCTTTGGACAATTCAAGTCAGTGCCGCTTCTCTTGCTTCCTTAGTCTTACCGTCTACTTCTGCAAAACTTAGCTAAATGCTTTGGCTGTGCCTTACTGATGGACCTCTTCTTGCCTTGAATGTGCTAGGTCCTGGGTTCTATCCCCAGCATTGCAAACAAACAAACAACAAACCCAAAGATACAATGATCTAGCAAAAACATAAAACAACCACACAATAGCCAACTGTTATTTAAACTATATTGGGTGCACATGGGAAAATTACCAATGAACACGCTTGGATAAGCAAAGGAGGGCTGAGGATACAGCTAAGTTTGCTCTGGGGGTGGTCACTTACTTTGATTAAGATGCAACCTAATGGAGGATCAAGGTTTGGTCCCCAGTGGAAGTAGACAGAAGCAGTACAGTCAGGGACTCCCTGTGCAGGCCTGAGCACCCATACTTTAGTTACAATGTAGCCCTCCAATGGCAGCTGGAGCTTTAACCCAAAGAGAAACACCATCTAGAAGGCTGGATTCTGGTCCTTACAACTGGGATGGTGTCAATTACCTGTGGCTGGGGAACGTCCTTCTGTCTGCTGAACTGTGGTCTTTCAGTTACGACGGATTCAAGCTCAGAAAGGCTAGCTGGATGGACGATGGCATGGGGCTCTGACTGTTTAAGAGTGGAGGGATGCTGAAAAACCAACCAACATATGTACGTTCCATGATGGCAGAGTAATTATTTAAGAAGACCCATATGGATCTTAGCTACCAATATGGTGTTACTATTTACTGTGCTTTTTTTTTTAAAAAAAAAAAAAAGGTTTTTTTTTTTCCCTCTCTTTTTTTTTTTTGGTTTTTTGAAATAGGATTTCTCTGTGTAGTCCTGGCTGTCCTGGAACTCTCTGTCTCTGTAGACCAGGCTAGCTTTGGATCCAGAGATCCACCTGCCTCTGCTTCCTGAACGCTGGAACTAAGGGCATGCACCACCACCACCCAGTTGTTTAACGAAACTTCATGTTCTTATTTAATATCAACTTCTGGAGCTACGACCTCTAGTGAGGTGATCATCTTCGACCATCTCATCTCCTCAATCCAATTTGTCCAGTGAATTTGTAAAAGCCCGGAAATTTATTATCCTTTTTAAAAGAGCAAAGTTAAAAAAACAAAACAAAACTCGAAAAGAACCAAGAGGGATAGTATTACGTTTTTAAATTAAAGTATCCCTTATGTCTACTTTACATTTTCTTAAAGAGGAAAGCCTCAGGATGACAGAGAGACCACGTAGCCCGTGTGCCCAAAGGCAGCCTCATTCCTGTGACTCTAAGTCCCCAAGTGGGAACTACTCACAAGCTTTCATGCAAATCTTCTGCAGTGAGATCCACTTCTAAGATGCATGTTTACACTTAAAAACACAAAATGCTTTAGACGTCATGAGAACACTTTAACTATTAGATAAATATGTATTTATAAATCAGGGACCAAAGCACTCTGGAAACAGACGTTGTTTTCATGAAGTAATGTCTTATTTGATTACTTTTTTTTTTTAGTTAGTTTGAGACAGCGTCTTACTATGTAGGCTTGGCTGGCCTGGAACTTGATATATAGAGCAGGCTGGCCTTGAACTCATAGAGAGATCCATCTGCTTCCTGAGTGCTGGTATAACGATGTGCACCACTGGTTTGTTTATTTATTTATTTATTTATTTATTTATTTATTTATTTATTTATTTTGAGACCTGATATATTGCCAAGGATGTGCTTGAACTTTTGATTCTCCTGCCTCTACCTCCCCAGTGCTAGGATTACCTGCTGTGGTGGGGACTGAAGTCAGGTCTTCATGCATGTTTGGCAAACATGCTTGAGCTATAGTCCTGATATAAACCTTTAATAGTATCCACCTATATGTATATATTTTCTATGATGTGTTCATCTTCTAGCCAATTGGAGCCAATCAAATTCATTACTTTTATTAAAAAATTTAAAATATTGATGTGTGTGTGTGTGTGTGTGTGTTGTGTTCATGTGGAAGTAGGTTGACAATTTGTGGAAATTGGTTGTCTTCTTTGGTTCAGGGAGTTGAACTCACGTCATCTGGCTTGCAGGGCAAGTTCTTTACCCCCTAAGACATACTGCTTGCTCCCCAAATTCCTGTAAAATCTACCCTTCCCCATGAAGAAGCTTTTATATCAGAGCTCATGGTCAACAGAATCCTCAGTGTCACTGAATCCACCCAAGCCAACCTGCTGCCATCACCCACTACCTAGGCCCAGAAACCTGCACAGAGAAAGGGAAGCACAATCCCGCAATCCCAGAAGCCCCTGCGTCTCTCCTTTCTCCTATGACTCTTTAATGAGGATAACGTCTCTGCCTTTGCTTTGTCATGCCATCCCAGAGTACTGTTGGCAGGCTCTGGGATGTCCGCACATCCTCATGCCTACCTGGTCCTCACTGTACTTCTCCTGAAGCATCATCTGGACCTTTTCCAAGTTGTACTTCACAGTCTTGAGTTTCCAGGAAAGGGCTTCGGCCTCATGCTGAGTGGCCCCGCAGTCTCCCAGGCCCTGGTCTTTGCAAGTCTCTAACAGAGAGATGACCTTGTGTTCAATCTCTGTCAGCATAGCCTAGGAGAGAACATCCTTGGATTACCCACAGTGGATTTCAGGAGGGTAGAGTAGGGGTTGAACCAGAGGCAATGTGGATGCATCCCATCGCTACCCTAACCCACGGAGTCAGTCTCCAACACAAGTGGGATTTAGTTTCTTTATCTGAGAATATGAAAGTTCCAGAAACAGGATGAAAGGGACCTTGGGAAAACACAAACTTTGACATGATTCTGTGCTGAAAACCAGGGGTGGAACTAAATTAATCCAGAGTGCAGATGTTATAGTAAGTAACCCTGTAATCTCTTTAGAAAATATGACAAGAGTATGGTTCCTGCTTGTACTGGCTGGTTTTGTATGTCAACTTGACACAAGCTAGAGTCATCAGAGAGGAGGGAGCCTCAGTTGAGGACATGCCTCCATGCATATAGCTGTAAGGCAATTTCTCAGTTAGTGATCAATGGGGGTGGTGGTGGGGGGCAGTCACTGGTAGGTGGTCCATCCCTGGGATGATGGTCCTGGGTTCTCTAAGAAGGCAGGCTGAGGAGGCCATGAGAAGCAGGCCAGTAAGCAGCATCTTTTCATGGCCTCCGTTAACTCTTGCCTCCAGGTTCCAGCCCTGCTTGAGTTCCTGCCCTGACTTCCTCTACACACCAACTTGCTTTTTGGTCATGGTCTTTGATGCAGCAATAACAACCCTAACTAAGACATTGCTGGGTAACAACACATGCAACTTAGTCTACATGGGTTTGAATTCCAATCTTACCACACACGAGCCATGTTTGTTCAGGAACTCTAGGGGTGTGCCTCAAGTAATCTTTAAAATAGAGATAATGACAGAATTTACCATCTAGATTCATTACGAGGAATCAATCAATTAACTGTATATTTTTGCCTTAATGTATGTGCTTTGTGTTTAATGACTTAAAATCACGTAGTGAATGTGAGCACAAGATTAAGTGGAAAACCTGAATGCTTCCCTCACCTCTAATCTTTCTGTTGTAGCCCAAGCGTCAATCAAAGGAAAAAAGAATTTCACACAAATATTAGACAGTTCCTCCTTGCTCATTCCTTCCTTTCTCAAGCAAATTCAAAAGATCAGAAGAACATGGCAGTAATTTAGAACTTCAAATGCTTAGTGACTGATACCACCTGCCAATCTACACATGAATCTAAAAATAAATCGGCTATAGAAAGTGCATTTCCCAGTAAGTCAGGCTCTTTGCATTCCTTCTCAACGTATTCCTGCACTCTCTCAGGAGTTCATCCTTCATGCCAACTGGCTGGGCACAGGGTCGGCTGCCATGCATACACCAGATCCCAGCCAAGGCCACTGGCACAAAAACCAACTTGGGACTAAAGCCAAGTTCAGTTAAAGAAACACTACACCTCCAAATAGACTTTCTAATAACATGTCTTGTAAAACCTTTATACCAGAAAACTACTTACTGCATCCTGGTGGGCTCTTCATGGCCTCGACAGCACAGACTTCCACACCCCTAGCCTTTGGAGTGGGCTGTTCCCAAAGGCAGTCACAACTGTATGCTGGCTTGCTTACCCACACAGCAGTTTTAAGCAAATATTTTATATGTCTACAAACAGAAGCTTCCCATCGACCATTGCAATAGCTAAAAACCAGATATTCCATGACTCGCTCACTCCTGCTTGTTCCTGCTTTACTTAAGCTGTTCCCCAGCCTTCTGTTTACTAATTAACGCTGTCGTAAAGATTTCTTTTAAATTTTAATTATTTATTTTTTTGTGTGTATGGTGTTTTGTCTGCATGTGTGTTTGTGTATGTGTGTGCAGTACCCTCAGAGGCCAGAAGAGGGCATCAGATCTCTTGGGACTGGAGTTACAGATGGTTGTGAGCCACCATGTGGGTGCTGGGAATTGAACACAGGTCCTCTGGAAGAGCAGTCAGTGTTCTTAACATCTCTAGCCCCTTAGATTAGTTTCTCAGGATCAATCTTTATAAATCTCACTAGGTAGTCTTGGCTGGCTTGAAACTTACTTTGTAGACCAGGTTAGCCTTCAATTCAGAGATCCACCTGCCTCTGCCTGTGATCAATGGCATGAGTTACCAGGGCCAGCAAATATTTTCTTTCTTTAAAAAGTTTTTTTTTTAAATTTCCTTAGTTTTTGTTTTCTTTCTCTCTTTCTTTCTCTTCTTTTTCTTTTTTAATTTATTTTTCTGAGTCAGCACTTGGAGGGTAGATGCAGGCAGATCTCTGAGTTCCAGGATAGTCTGCTCTACAAAAAAAGTTCCAGGTCAGCCTGGGCTACAGGGTGAGACCCTAGTTTGCTGTTTTGTTTTCAAAGACATTATAAGGTCAAAGGAAAAGAACATTTTATATTCTCCCAAGGAGTGACCTTCCAAAATGTTGATTCAATCAGATAAAACTACTAGACACTAATCATTTTTTCTAATTTTGTCAGGATATTATCAATTTTATGATTGTAAAAAAGAAAGAGAGAGAGAGAACAACAAAATTGCTGTTTTAATTCACACACTTTGTGTCTTGAGACAGGGCCTCAGTTAGCCCAGGCTGGCCACAAATTCACTATGTAGCCGAGAATGACCATGAACTCTGAACTTTCTGCTCTGCTCCCAATTGCTGGGGTCATAGGTTTATGGTGCTCAGGACTGACCGAAGGGCTTTCTGCATGCTGAGCAGGCCCTCTACCAACCCCAGTGCTCATCCACGTTTTTAATTTTCACTTCAAGCATTAAATTATCAAATATATTGTTTTCTTAACTGATCTATTTGTCCTCTGGCCACTTTCCACCGTAAACTTCTCATTTTTTACAGAGCATCGAGGGCCCTTTATGTTTCAATATGAAACCATTGGTGTCAATACTGTCATATAAATGAAAGCAAAGTGGTCTTGTTGATCGGTACTTTATTTTCCTATAATGGGTTCAAAGCCCACCATTGCTAAACTCAAATTTCTATATATTCAGTTTAAATATAGTTTAAGTATTTAAATATAGTTCAAGTGAAGCATATTTTCAGCCATTTGTAGCCTGAAAACCGCACCCTCGCTTTGTCAGCTACAGGTAAGACTAGTCAATAAAATGCCTCGTCTTCCTCCATCCAGGTTCTCCATTGTGTTAGGCCATTAACTACATGCCTAAGACCCCTGGGATTCCATGTCACACCCCACTACCCTCTGGGAAGAACTTCCTTGTTCTAAGTCTAAGGACTCATAGTCCTACCAAGTCTGCCCACAGCAAGCTTCTTGGGTGCTACTGCCCCCTGGTGGGCATATCTTATCTTTGCATAGTCCAGCACTCTTCAAAATGGATGCAAAGCAGCCAGAGGATGGGGACCCTGGTGATAACCAAGCCAACTGCATGAGGGCTAACTGTTGTAGCAAATCAGCATCAGACAGCCTTCAGGACCTGGAGTTCAAACTTGAGGATTCTTGGGGTACAACTTAGTGTCTCCCTGATCTGTTACTGGTCTAACTTTACCCCTGGGAAGGCTAACCAGAATAGACAACTATTACAAGTGACTATCAAGCCTGCCCTGTCACCTCCCCTTGCAGGTAGTTCTGGGTAGACCCACTGAGACAAGAGGGTATCTCCATACCTGGTAGGAGGCCAAGGCTGGTCTGCTGGGCACAGCTCGGGGAGAGGCCACTTTAGGCAGCCAGCAAACCTCTGCTGTTGTGACAGCAATCACACCGCTGAGATGTCGTCATCCCAGGCCCTCCCTGGAGAGACGCACAAATCCCTGCCTTTGGGCTGAGCCACCAAGCTTTCCTCAGAGTGACTTCAGACAAGGAAGCTAACCTCCTCACCCTTCCCAGGCTCAGGGCACCCCTGCTAACATGGCACAAAGCTTTCTCTGGTCTCCTCAAGCTTGGTCTCCTCAAGCTTGGTCTCCGCAAGCTTGAACGTTATGCCATTTCATTTCGTTCCGATGAGCTCACTATTTATTCCCAATAATCCTGTGACTATGGATCACAATAGCAGATACTGGGTGCAGTTTAATGCTAGACATCTGTGAGTTTATCTCATTTAATCCTGACAGAAATTTCTGTGAGCTAACCTATGCTGCTAGAAGAGAAAAATCAGGTTGAGAAGGGAATTGGTCAATGTTCACAGTTAATGTGACCCTGGGCTGGTTCCAGTTTCTCGACTCTGAGCTGTTATTCACTCCTATCCCCTCAAAGGGGCTGATCACACAAAGAATTTCAAAGTCTCACCAGAAAACGAAGAGCTGAGGCCACAACTAACCGTGAACTTTAGAAAGGCATGGGAGAAGCATACTGCTGCTTTAAGAGCGAGTCGCCCCACCTTGGCAGGAGGTTGGTGACTAGGTAAACCCTCACTCCTGCATGCCTGTCTTACCTGGCACCCAGCCAGCTCCTCTTCCACCACCTGCTGCATGTCTGTGTCTAAAGTTTCCGGCTCAAACGCCACGTTGGCTCGGTGCAGCCACAGCTCCAGCTTGGCTACCTGGGTCTTGCAGACACGGAGGACGTCTGCAGGCTGAGGCCTACTCTCCACTGTGGTCTCAAAAGCTCCTTGTTCTCGAGGAAAGTCCAGGAGTGCAGCCTCAATGGGGGGTGTGGCACCCTAAAGTGAAGCCAAAGATAATTTAGCAGTGAGGAGCCAGGAATCCAAGGCTTTTCCACTACCCAGGGCATGGAAAGACCTGGGAAGCTGCTTCCTCCTCTTCCCCTCCTCCCCAATTAAAAGAAACAAAGTAAGGACAGAAGGAGGAAGAAAGGGAAAGAAAAATGCACCTCCACACTCATAGCAACAGGCACGTGACCTGGTGGCACGGGTTTCCTAGCAGCTGAACTTCGTGTACACAGGTACAGTATTCCCGGGCACAGAGGCGGAGAGTGGCGATCCCCGGGAGACAGGTGAGAGAGAGTGTGAGGGTGTGTGTCCCAAATACTTCAGGGAACTGGCCAGTGCTTAAAGCGGCATGACACATGATGATTAAGCAAGGCATTACACGGCTGCAAAGCCAACGACCAAAACCAAACCAGAAATATGGCCTCTTCATGCTGGCGGGCTGCAATCCGTCACACGATTATAACACCTCCCCAAGTAGCAAGATTACATTTTAGTTTCTCTTTACCCATCTAAATTCTCTATTAAAAACAGCTTGGGGCAAGTAATGAACTTCCTGGAATAATACAGAATGTTTTCTCCCTTCCCCCCAGAGAAAAATCACTAAACTCCCTTTTGTTTTTTCAGAAGAGGAGTTAAGAACTGCTTTGGTGTGAAGTTTGAATTAAGTGTGACATATTTTCTATGTATTGAAACAACTGGCTCTCTTACCAACACAAGAGCAAACTTCCTCCCAGATAGAAGATGAAGCTATGCTAATGCTTATGTATTTATTTGTTTCCACATGGAGGTAAAGATTGGTTTTAACACGATAGACTTGCCTGATACTGAAGGACCTGCCCTCTCCCAGAATATACAGAGAGGACATTGACCCTTCTAGAGAAATCCTTCTAGAAATACGGATTTGCATTCTGATCTGAGAAATACTAGTCTCCATGTGTTTTGTGTTAATTAGAATTAAAATGAATCACAACATTTTCCACTTTAAGACTGTGTGTAAACGTGTTAGCATCTATCTAATGAAGCACAGCTGAGACAAACAGCTTCTAACAGGAGTTGCTCACACATGGGCATCCTACCTCAAAAATATAACCTCAGAGGGGTTAGCAGTCTACCTACTACGTTACATGTCTTTGTTCTTTTCCAGTAAAATGCTATTTCTTAGGCTTGGGTATCCTCAGTGGTAGGATATTTGTCTGTTGTGTGAGTAGCCGTGAGTTTGGTCCCTAGCACACCAAACCCCTAAAACAACAACGACAACACAACAAACAAAACCAACAAAATGTCTGCCTTCATCCACCGATTTTTACAGTTTTCTTCAAGGTTGACAATCTCTGTTCTCCCAGTATTTTCCTTGAGCCTCACTCTCACACACTGCTCTGCCCACCCTCACTCCACAGCTCTCAGTGGTCATTTTTAAGGCAAACAGTCACTGGGATTACTGTCTGACATATATTTCTAGCCTAACTTGTTATATAAATAACTGATTAGCTATTTCCAAGTTTTGAGATATGACTATACCTTAGTGGCAAAGCCTGTGTGGGCTTCTTTTTTCTGCTATCTGACACCATCAGTTATAATATTAACTGGATAATCTGTAATAACTAATTTACCACCTATCTTCTTAATTTATTCAACATTTTTATGTGACTGCCTCTGGCAGGCCATGTCCATACGTTTTAAGTGGCAGTATTGTGCTTTCCGCTCTCTTACTGCCTTACTTCGTGAGGAAATGAGCAAGCTGGGGGACTAATCCGCCCTTTATTTAAACCTGAAAACAATCCAAAGGGGGTGGGGTGGGGGCAGAAGGAAAAGACAATTATCTGCAACCTTAGAAGAGCTCAGAGTGGCCTCGGGATGCTCAGGACTCTCCTGGAGTACCGCTCCCACCCTACATTTTATTTATTGGCAGTTCTGCACCCCAGGGACAGTAGTCAGTTCTAACCTACCATTCCACCAAAGTGCTTCTGAGAAGCATTGGCCTGGACATAGGCTACTAGCAAAAGGGCTCTGGCTCTATGATCTTCAAATCAGGGGTCCCCAGTAACTTCCTAAACAACAACCCTGCTTTATATGTTTGCCCTAAATCCTGAAGGCAGAAATCATTTCAGTCTATGGTTTACAAACTGTATATTTTGGGGAGAGGGGGTGTAAAAAATGTTGCCACAAGTGTTTACTACTACATAAGAATCTGTCTGGTCTCTGGTAATGAAACTAAAGATTCTATCTTTTATTGCTATTATTTATTCTTAATGACTGCAGTGCCACATTCGGCACAAGACCAGCTCCTGGCTTCACACCACAAACCTCTCTAATCCTCATGATCAGATGAGGAAACCCAGGCTTAGCTTTGATGGTCTATTCAAACTGCTGAAGCCAACGCTGGTAAGAAGAACCATAACTCAGTCCCTTATTTTACTATGGTTTGCTGTGTATAAATCCAGATTTTCCCAGTCTCACAAACTCTCTGGAATCCAAGTTAGACATCTGCTTTAGCATGTAACTGATGTAAAATAAAACCCTGGTTTCCTGAACTATCGTTGTTGTGACCCTCAGTGAAGACCCACAAATGAATGTGTACGTTATGAAAACCCTCGAACAGTAAAAGGTTTCTAAATATAAAACTGCCAAAAAAAATCAAACACGGAACAACAACAAAAATCAAACATGAACTGATGCTGGGGGATGGTTTGGTGGGTAAAAATGCTTGCCTCACAAGATTGACCTGGGTTGGACCCCCAAGCTCCACATAAAAAGCTGAATGCAGCAGTGTGAATCTGTAATCCCAGCATGTGTATAGAGAGATGGCAGGCAGGACAGGGGGACTGTCAGGAAGCTAGGCTGGAGTGGGCAGCAGAGCAGCAGACACAAGAGCTGTGACATCTGTTACCTTGATGGGCAACACTGTAAGAGAGGTGGAGAAGGAGGGAAAGGGGGCAGAGGAGAGACACTGTAACAACTACTGTTCATTCTTGTAAGAACAGAAAAAAGATTGAGAAAAAAAAGACATAAAATGTGACCCCAATATGGAAAGAGACTTCAAAAGCACCCTGGGTCTCTTTTAGGAGCTATTTAGTGAAACCCCTGGAGCTTCAGGGTCAAACAGCAGGTCCAGCCTAGAAGCAGGGTCCGGCAGGAAGCCTCCTTGAGAAAGGCGTGGGTTTCAAACCAGGAAGTTGGGAGGGAATGCTCTGGGGCGACTCTTTACTCTCTATTTAGTTCCCATGGTTTACTCTCCGAATCTGATCCTCTTTTGTAAACATAAGGTAGGTATTAACTTGCCTCGTGATCTTATGATTAAGCAACAAAGAACATAAAAATGTTTTTCCTGAACAGGACCTTGATCAATATGTATTGGTCTCCATTCCACACCCCCCCCCCATGTTATACACACAGATTAAACACTCAACATTAACACGACAACGATTTCAGGCTGACAATCACTGAACAAATAGGAAATGTCAACAGTGGATGGTCAAGCTTGCAATGGGACAGGAGTTGACAACATGCATGAGGATTCTGGCCTTTATAGGGAACTCTTCGCTCAACACACAGCATCACAGAAGTCAGACAACCACGGGCAATCATGGATGCCACTCTGGGAATCTGAGCAGCCGGCTTGTCATTGACAGGTGGGTACTCACCTGTTCTGTTTGGCTGAGCCTTGGGGACGGTTCTGGGCCTTGCTCAGGGCTTCCTGAGTCTGGTACAATGATGTGAGCCATGGAACTGTCACAGGTGCTAATTCTCCCATCTGTGTCCTGTGGAGAAAAGAATCGGCTCTGGCCAGGGTCTACCTTGCTGCCAGGAGAGGCCTCCTCCTCATCTGCTAATTTACAGATACAGATACCCTGCTCCCAGGGGAAGTCTGGTGTGTCATTTTTTAAAGTTTTTTTTTAACCTTATTATTTGTATGTATATATATATGTATACACACACACACACAAATATATATACCTGTGTGAGTTTATATCAACCATACATGTATAGGATCCTGTCTCAAGACAAAACAAGTAAGGGTAAGTAAAGGCAGCACTCCATGAATAGACACACAGTATTTACTTAAAAATTACTGATTTTTTTTAAAGTGTTCTCAATATACTCATGATCGATACACGAGGTAACACATATGTGAATGAACTTGATTTGCCCATTTCATGATGGTCCCGTATTTCAAAGCATCATGCTGTATGTCCTAAACATGTACAATTTTGTCAAAAAAAATTGGTGGAAGCATTTCCTGATCTAATCACTCTTTGTAACGAATCCTCTGATTTGCTATCTCTTATTTTCGGTCTTTGTATGGGCTACTCTGAAGGCTTGGGGATGCTGAGGGCAAGGCAAACAGAGAGGAGCATGGGAAGAAAACTCAGACACTAAGAAGCTCCCACAACCCCCACGGGTGACTTTCCTTAGTTACCTGCACAATGGTGGCAGAGGAGGAGGACGCCCCATCCCCCTCCAGATCCTTGCTGTGCCTCTCCAGAAGAGACCAGGATATAGACGGCGGTTCTGTTCTCCTGTGTCCATCCTAAGACAGTGCTCAATTGGTTAGCAAAGAGAAATATCTCCTTTTCATTCAAGATGACATTTACCAAAAAAGGCTAAATTCTGAAACAACTTTTATAAATTCCCTGTGTGGAACATGAACTTATTACTCTTTAGTAAAGAAAATTAAGGGTTTTTTGTTTATTTGTTTGTTTGTTTTTGGCTCAAGAAAAGCATTCCCATTTGGAGACATGATTTAGTGTGAGAAATACAAGGGACATGGGGTAGAAGGAAAGTAAGACCTTCGGCAAAATTGCCAAGGAGGCTGAGTCTTATTTGCAGGAGCTGAGTAGGACTCTGGTTATAAAAAGGTATAAGAAAAAAAAATTGCTCAAACCCACTAACTGTGGGAAGACAAGTTAAAGCAAGGCTTTGGCTCAGTGATTGAGTTCCTGTCTAGCACACGAGAGGTTAATCCGGGGCTAAATCCACAGTACTGCAAAATGAATGAATAAATGAATACCTGTGAATGAAAAAAAAGTCTAATAGACATCATATCTATCATAATGGCTTTTACTTAAACAGCTGGAAAATGCCTAGTTGTGGAAAGGATGTAGAAAGAACAGACTCATGGGTACTTTTCAGGATTATAAATTGAAAACATCACAGAGGCATCTCAAAAAACTAAAATATAACACCACATGCTTCTCAAATCCACCACAGGCCACATGCCCGATGGAGATGAGGCTGGTGTGTAGAGGAGATGTCTGTACTCTTGTGTTCACTGTGGAATTATCCACAACAGCAAGTCATGGATCAACCTCAGAGTCAGTCAGTAGATGAATGGTTAAAGGAAATGTGTGTCGGTCAAGTGTGGTGATGCACACACCCTCAGTCCCAGCACTCGGGAGGCAGAGGCAGGTAGGTCTCTGTGAGGTGGAGGCAAGCCCTGTCTACAGAGTTAGTTCCAGGCCAACCAGGGCTACATAGTGAGACCCTGAATAAACAACAAAGCAAAACAAAATGTGGTGGATATACCCAGTGGAACACCATTTCGCCATTAAAAAAAAAAAAAAAACCCAAACCCTGGGGATTCTGTCATTTGTAGTGACACAGATGAACCAGAAAACATGAGCTTAAGTGAAATAACCAAGCCAGGCACAGGACCACAATCACATGACATCACTTAAACATCAAGCGTAACAAAGTTGAACTTGTTAAGTCACAGTATAAAACAGGGTAGAGTGGTAGATAGAGGGGGATTTAGAGAGACATTGATCAAGGATGTAAGTTCTCAGTCAGGAGGATAATGACCAGGAGATGCATGAGATGTCACACACACTTGAAAATTGCTTAGACAGAGGCTAAATGTTCTTATCACACAAAAGTAAGACTTTGTATGGAAATACATGTTAATTAGCAGCATCACACACTCCACTGTGTGTACGGTATCATACTGTGATGGTGTGTATATGCTTGGGCCAGGGAGTAGCACTATTTGGAGGTGTGGCCTTGTTAAAGTAGGTGTGTCACTGTGGGTGTGAGCTTTAAGACCCTCATCCTAGCTGCCTGGAAACTAGTCTGCTAGCAGTCTTTAGATGAAGATGTCGAACTCTCAGCTCCTCCTGCACCATGCCTGCCTGGATGCTGCCATGTTCCTGCCTTGATGATAATGAACTGAACCTCTGAACCTATAAGCCAGCCTCAATTAAATGTTGTCCTTATAAGAGTTGCCTTGGTCATGGTGTCTGTTCACAGCAATAAAACTCTAAGACAAGTACCATGCTGTAGTTTATGAGGTTTTGTGATTTTTACTTGACAGAAACACCCCTGCAACTTGATGAATATATATTTTTTGCTGTTGTTGTTAAAGACAAACAAATTCTCTAGGCGGATCAGCTCAGAAGCATGTAAATGCCTGAAATGGAAATGTGTGGCTTGGGCTCTGGGCCCTCAGACTGTGAATTGAGGTTGTCTGGTGGTCAGAGCACAAAGCAAACAGTCACCCTCACCCTCCAACTCCATGCTCTAGTGACACTCAATAGGACAAAGTGTCTACTCTATGTGACAATGGAGCCATGAAATAATATACAAAATGAGCAAAAAATTGTCTTGTGGTTACACTTGAGTCACATAAACAAACTGCTGCTAGCTTTGTCTTTGAGTACAGTCTGTGCGATGCCTTAGTGTTACAAGTATGAGATGGAAATTGGTACCAAGAAGGTCAGGTTGCTGTCAACCAGTTACAACGAAGCAGTAAGAATCAGCTATATTAGTGGCAAATACAACTCACGTCCTTGACAATACTACTCTAAAACAAAAACATGTCTCAAATATGCAAAACAGTTATCAGCTATAAACCACACCAAGCCCAATACTCTCAAAGCCCCAGAGGAAGAATTCAGAGGTCTGCATCAGACAGAGGGCTCCTTCACGACAAGTGCCTCTCCTCCGGGGCAAAGTGGGCTTAGGTAAACTTAACAATATTGATAACTGAATAAGTACTTCAGTCTTGATTTTAAAATAAATTTTAAAATTGACATAAATAAATTTAATAAAAAATATAAATTTAAAAGCCTTAGGCTTTCTTGTTATTTATTTCTGACAGTCATTTAGAGATCTGGTTCTAGCCAGTTCAAACAGGAAAACTGTTTTCCTGGGAGCTGGAGAGATGGCTTGGCAGTTCAGCGTTATGTATTGCTCTTGCAGGGCCTGAGTTTGATTCCCAGCTCCCATTCTGAGATTTTTAACTCCAGTTCAAGAGGTTAAGATACCCCAGCCTCTGAAGGTACCTCACTTCATGTCCTGTGTATGTTCTCTCCCCATCCCTACACACAGATAATTCAAAAATAATAAAATACATACATTTTTTAAAAAAAGGAAAAAAAGGTTTTTCCTTACTTCACTCTTCACGGAGCTTTCTTCTGCTTCCTCCTTGACCACTGGCAGGAAAGACATGGAGTTTGTTCTGTTCAGCTGAAAGGCATAGCACAAGAGCACCTGCAGTCAGCCTGTGGACCAGCATCGAATCCTGGCCTGGTTGCATTTTTATGTACCTAAATCTTTAGGCATCGTCAGATATGGCCACCCACGCCAAAAAGTCTCTGGGCCTTGTGCCTTTCACTCCTTTCAGCCAAGTCTTGCCTGTGGAGTCTCATTTGCATGATCCTCTTAGCCCCGCCCCCTTGTTGTGGGGCCTTTCTCCTCTGCATGATCCTCAAGGCCCCACCTCCACACACCTGAAGTGCTGTTCACTGCTGTGGACTCAGAGTGGTCTCCGGCACTGGACCACTTTGAGTCTGCAATAAGATGACGATTCCAAGGCAGATACTTCAAAGGTGGTTCCCTCCCACCTTCCACGGGGAATTTCATAAGCATGTCTTTAGGTAACTCAGGCGTAAGAATTCTGGGTTGGATCCAGGGCAGACACACCCGGAGGATTTGTACTCAGTGGTAAACAACCTCAAGTGGGGTATTTCCACTTGAAAAAAAAATTCCTTTGCAATGGAAAGATATCTCAGAGGCTGTTGGCTCTCCTGTGGAATGTGGGGACAGAATTAAGCTAAAGCCACGCCTACCTTCCTTTCCGAAGCATCCCTCTCTGTCACTGCACACTCTGAAGTGCCTGCAGAGGGCTGGTCTCCTACTTCTTGCTGTTCTCGCTTCAGGTGCTCATGAAGGTTCAGTACAGCAGTCTTCAAGTCCACTAACAGATCCTCCTTTTTCTGGTTTAGATTCAGAATCTGCTTTTCCAACCCTCCGATCTCCCCCTGTTCAGAAAGAGTTGTGGGCATCGTTTGAGAGAAATCGGAGTGGCTTTTGGATGGTCCCAGGAGCCAGCTTCCTTCAGTACTGTTTACTGTCCTGGTCCAAGGCTACTGGACCCAGTAGCTAGTTCACAGACCTCGTAAAGCAGAGGATCTGGGGGTTGAACAAAGCATGGGAACCTGTAACAAGGTCGCAGGTGACTAATGTACAGCCAGGGTGGGGAGCCAGTGCCGTAGTAGTAGCTAACCACAGGACTCACAGAACCAGATTCCCCCGGCCAAGAACTGCGCTTTGATAGCACATACTTGCCACTTAGCGCACAGAATATTACAAGTACCTGCTCCCGTGTTCCCCCAGGAGATTATTAAGATTATTAAGAATATTTTTATTATATACAAGTAAGTTTTCCTAAAAGTCCATCAGGATGATGGAATTATAGAATCTTAGGTTTCGTAGGAATTATGTGTGACAGTTACCCTGACTCTCCAGCACCCTTTACCTGAGCTCCTCTTCAGGAAGCAGCGTTCACTCACAGTATCTCCCTGGCTGGGGTGTAGATCCAGCAGCAGAGTGCTTGCTTGCTTAGCATGTAGGTGACTCCTAATTTCACCTTAAGTACACACACACCCATACAAGCACGTTTCTAATGTATTCCTCAAAATCCTTTAGTATTCACTAAATTGTGTATGTATCTATGTACATGGAAACAAGCACACATGAGTGCCATAGGTCAACCTCAGAGCTATCCATCCCTAAAACCAAACAAACACGCAGGGTCTTCCTCACCCTGACTGGCTTGTAACTAACTAGGTAGACCAGGCCGAGTCCCCAAGTCATTGGATTTTTACATCCAAAAGAGTAACATGTCGCTCTGAACAAGAGAGAGAGTTCTGAAGTCTAGAGTGAGAAAGCAATTTCTGTCAAGTTGCAGCTAGTGTGGCGAGGCCAAGCTCTGGCTTCCCTAGGACTTCTGGGTTCTGGCACTCATTGTTAACTGATACCCCTATTGTATCTGCACGGAAAGTTCTCTACTAGCAGAGCTAACTCTGAGTTAACTATGTCTCGTGGTCCTCTTTCAATAAACACTAAACTTGGGCAGTGGTGGCACACGCCTTTAATCCCAGCACTTGGGAGGCAGAGGCAGGTGGATTTCTGAGTTCGAGGCCAGCCAGAGTCTACAGAGTGAGTTCCAGGACAGCCAGAGCTACACAGAGAAACCCTGTCTCGAAAAACAAAACAAAACAAACAAACAAACAAAACACAGCTAATAAACACTAAACTTCAATAGGAGATACCCCCAACAAAAGCAGTGCCACAGACATTAGAATAAACTCAGAAAAACAGCAACCAGAGATGTGTAGGCCGGAAGGCCCTGAGCTGCCATCTGCACTGTGGGATCTGTGTGCTCTGGAAGCCTCTAATGGGGTCCAGAGCTGAGGAACACTGCCCCTGAGGTTATTATCGTAATTGCTACCACAATGTACTTAGACTGAGGGCACAAATGGATGGGTGGCAAACCCACAGGCATCTTTCATGAATCAAGGTAGTGACACCTATTATTCATGGTAGGAAAAGCTTGCCAATGCCATTTAAGAACGTCCTTGATGAAGACATCCTGCTGGAGACCAGCAGTAGAGTGCTCACCCAGCCAGCGAGCCCTGTGTTCAGTCCCCACGTTGCATACCCCAAACCTATCTTTACTACTCTGGTGACAAAATGGAAGATGGGTTGTAAAGAAAGCATTTGCTGTGTCCCATGTGCAATGACTAAAAAGAACTTCCTAGAATGTGCATGCTGCGAGCTGGACTGCCCCTCCTTTTTTTTTACAGAACATTATTTTTAAACAAAATAAAACGGACAATGGGCTATGCGTATACACTTAAATGAGATTCTTCAAGATTTTTCTCAAGAAATGGTGCTATATAAGGACTATGGAAACACATGAAGCTTGGGAGTCATTGCATGACTCAGACAGTATTCTCTAAATGACCCAGCATAACATGATAAGGTGAGGTGTTAGGAGATACAGCACAGTCACGGTTTATGGAGGGACCACAATTAAGATTGTGAAGAATCCATCGATGAGGACTTAGACCCCCACACACACACACAGTTAGCCCTAACTTGCCATTTGTTGAGTTTTAGTGTAGGGTTGTGTTTTGTTGTTGTTGTTTAAATGCTCATGAAACTATGTGGCACATGCCTTGAATCGCAGCACTCAGGAAGGCAGATACAGAGGCAAGTAGAACTTTGTGAGTTTGAGGCCAGCCTGGTCTACACAGTGTGATCTTGTCTGCCATCATCCCTTCTAAAAGGTTGATCAGGAGTCAAGTATGAAGAGTCTCATTTCCAAGTGGGTGGTTGCCATGACAACCTTAGCTTTGTTCCAGACGGTTTTATGCTCTTGGGTAAATCACTGTGCTTGGAAGTCTTACTTTTCCACTTCAAGATATCATAGTTCCATCAAATCCTCTGGTAGAGCTAAGGAAGAAGTTAATTTTTGGGGGGGTCAATTCTATTTGCCCCTTCTTAATTTTTATTTATTTTTTTATTTATTTAGGTTTTTTTTTTCCCCTTCTTTCTTGACATACAAAGCCAGGTGTTCTGTCTTGTCAGTCCATTAGGGCTCATAAGGGCCATTGAGGAAACAACACTCTGTGTGTGTGTGTGTGTGTGTGTGTGTATTGTGTGATGAGCCCCAAAGACTTGTCCTATGTGTGATTTCCTGTATTTGTACTTCTACAACATAAGCTCTTTGAAGTTCTGAGTTTTTAAATATTTGACCCTCACCCTTCTGAGCGGCTCACACTGGGCCTGCGTTACCAATTCAGCAGTAACGGGCTATGTCTCTTGAATCTCTCATACTTCACCTTTCATGTTAAGTAAGCTACCCTCAGTCTCCCAGCTAGTAAATGTCTGGGAGTTTTGAGTACCACATTAACTGCTGGCCTGTGTCCATCAGGTATCAGGAAAACTATGAAGCTCCCATGGCCTTGGCCTCTCTCACACCATTTCAATACAGACGTACCAATATAAAAATCAAAACCGAAAAGGCCCTACCCATCGAGATTTATGGCACTAAAAATACGGTCCTTCATTATATCAATGTTCAGAGTTTTACTACCACTAAAGTCCAGCCCACCCATTCTGCCCAACCCTCCCCCACATCTGTTTCTTGGACACAGGGAAAATGCAAACCAAGATGTGCCATGCTTACAGTGTGGCCACCCAAGAAGCCTCACATGAGGACTCAGAAGTGAAGGCCTACCCACTTTCTGTAACTAGATCTCAAGTCCAGGGGTTGCAATGGCAAATTAATGACACTATCTAACCATGGCGTCACAAAATAAGAATGGAAAGAACATTGCTGCTGTTGGGAAAAAAAGATGTCAGGCACAACACGGTCACACTACAAAAGATTCTAGACACCAATCATAAAGTGAGAGTTCACAGGATGGACGGATTGATGGATGGATGAGATATACCTGTAATGACGGCATGTCGGCCATCTGGTCCTGTGACATATGCTCAGGGGAGAACTTGGCTGAGTAGTTAGTTAAGATTTGCTGCAGACGGTCTATTTCTTCATCACATTCAGCGGTCTGCTTTATGACAACCTATAAAATAACACGCAGCCCCCAAAGAGTCACTGTTACCACCTAAGTAACACACAGGCTATTTCCATTATCCATCCTGTTCCAAGTTCTTCTAAAGTGTGACTATGCACCCACACAGACTTCAATAGGAAACAGAAGCTTTTAAAAAAATTATATTATTATTTTGTATTTATTTGAGAATATACAGTAGTAGGCACTGTACTGGCCAAAGTCAAAGGACAACTTGCAGGCGACAGTTCTCTTCTTCCACCCTGTGTTTTCTCGGATCACCAGGCATGGCAAGCAATTGCCTTTCCCTACTGAGCCATGTCGCAAGTCCTCAGAACATCCCTGAAGTCTAGATTCATTTTCTAAATAAACAAAATTGTCAAATATAGTGCTATTCTATGTTCTAAATATTACCTGCATTTATATTCAAAATCTAGATGGCAAAGTTTGCTGCCACACTGGAGCCTAATCTTTACATTTCACTAGACTCCAGGGCACCTCAGCGGGGCTTGAGGCACAAATCAAATTAAATGCTTCTTTGTTCTGATGTATGTCTTTCTTTTTTTAAAAATATATATACAATGTATGAGTGTTTTGTCTGAATATATGCCCACTTACCAGAAAAGGATATCAGATCCCATTACAGATGGCTGTGAGCCACCATGTAGTTGTTGGGAATTGAACTCAGAACCTCTGGAAGAGCAGCCAGTGCTCTTAACCGCTGAGCCATCTCTCTAGGACCTACTCTTACATATTTCTAATCTAGAGGCCCTATTCAGGGAAACATTTTATACCATGGTAATATAAAGTTCCTAAGTCTTATGAAATTACTGCTATGTCATGTATACCATTTAAGAAAGTTTCAGAACTGTGTGTGTGCATGCGCATGCATGTGCTCCTTGCACGTGCACGCATGTGCTCTTTGCATGTGCACACACACAGATGCTCCTCCCACCTTTCTGTGGGTTCCAGGGATCACACTCAGGACACCAGGCTTGTCAGGCAAGCTCCTTTATCTATTGAGTCACCTTTGCCAACCCCTGTATTTATCATGCTAACATGATACGTATGTCAAACTTTCTACATGCAGTGGTGACATGCCTGATCCTGAAGGCACAGAGCACATTATTTGACATTATGGTGAATTTTTCCAATACAGACATCCTCCCTGCTGCCCTTTAGGGCTGGTGACGCACAGTTCATGAGTGACAGTCAGAAGCTTCCAGAAGCACTATGAGGTTGAAGAATGAGACAAAGCTAATCAGAACATGCCATGAACTGTAATGTTCAGGGAAGAAAGTTCAGATTTATCTGTAGACTAAATGAAACAATCAAAGCTTGAGGAAAATATTAGAAACAAAAACAGACTTCAAAAACGAGTCTTAGTACTTCTCTGGTGTGCTTCATAGTGAAGCAAAATGTCTTTCAAAATGACGGGTTCTGCCCTACACATAATTCTTCTTGGTATTTAAATAAAATAATTAACCAATATTTCTAGCTGCTGGCTAGAAATGAGTAACTATATTTGCTGCATATACCTGTTCCCCAGCTCACAGAAATGAATGACATCCTGTAATGACCCATAGAAGTAATTTGTCTTATTTTCCACAATAGGGACTTGCCCTAATCAAGTGGGAACTAAAGGAAATGTCCCATATTCCAATATTTTTTTCATTACCAATGTCTTACTTGCTTTGAAATATATGAGAGGCACATGTGATTCCAACCCATACAGTAAGATGAAAAACGTTCACAGCACAGTTTGATGCCTAACTTGACAATATATATATGTGTATATACACACATATATATACATATATATTGACTTGATATATATATATATCCCTCCACCATCATCCCTTTGCTTAGAGGCCACTTTAAAGCAGAGTTAGGGTTATTTTACTTTGCCCAGAAAGTTAGAAGAAATTAACGATGATCCATCAAATTTGATACTTTTTACTTCACTTATAAACTATTTTTAAGAAAGGTACAGTGACTGCTAGGTCACTGTTCTCTGCTGCTGGAGTAATACGCTGCTGGTATTAGGAGAGAAATGACATCAGTTGATTAGCAGCCAGGTAAGAGGGCAGAGAGTTGTCAAGCTTCAAATCAAGGAGAATAGGCTCCCCCAACTTTAGAGGGACAGGATGTCCACTTCAATGCAAAGGGAATTTTAGAAGTAAGAAGGTACAGCCCTTTCTGAAGCAAGAGACACAGAGTCTCTGCCCAGTGTGCCTGTGGGGTTCAAGGCTCTTTTAATGATTCTGTTCTATGGGAGCGGCTGTTGGCCTAGGAATATAAACTCTGAGGATTCTGGCCTGAGACTAGTGGAGTAATAAAACTTACAGAGGGGAGGGGAACCCTCCTGAGAGAGATGGGAAAATGTTGTCAGAACAAAATGGCCCCCAGGATGGAAAAACACCAGAAGATTCTAGAACTAAAATTCCTGCCTCATTGCACAGGAACTAACCCTGACACATGGTATTTCTTCTTCGGTCCTGCATTGAATCTTTGGACACAGGTCTCCCTGAGATGGTAAATGGCCCCGAGCTATCTATGCCTGGTGTTGGGGAATATACTGAGCATTTAATCCACAGGAAGAGGAAGTGACTGAGGTGGACGAGGAGACTGCCAGGTGCTGCCTACTTTACAGGTCTGAAGGGCCTTGATCAGGTTTGAATTCTCTTTCCCTTGTTTCACACACATAGGTCCTTAACAGAAGAACTAACAAACACAACAGACCACAGAATGCTAATGCTCTCACTGGGAACAAAGGTAAGAAACATGGGGGTGGGGGAGGGGAAGCTTATTTACTTATTCAAACTAAACACCACCTCTTGAGGAACAACTGCTTTCAATTAAACTTGAAAACTAAAAAGGGTAGTTTGGTTTTTGTTTGCTAACTTGACATAAGCCGTAAGCTGGGGTCATCTGGGAAAGGGAACCTCCATCAGATTGACCCATAGTTAAGTGTGTAAGGCATTTTCTTGGTTGACTTCATGTGGGAGGGCCCAGCCTATAGGGGGCAGTGCCACCCCTGGGGAGGTGGTCCTGGATAGTATAAGAAACCTGGCTGAGCAAGACAGTAGGTAGTGTCTCCTCCATGGCTTCTGCTTTAGTTTGTGCCTCCAGGTTCCTGCCTAGGCTTCCCTCAATGGACTATGACCCAGGATATACAAAGCTAAGTAAACCTTTTCCTCCCCAAGACCTTTATCACAGCAATAGAAGTCAAGGGACACGAAGAATGCAGCCAACTTATACTGGACACTTTCGTGCACTAAGTTGACTCTTGTCATAAACCACTCACCTTCAGTAACTCATTTTGTTCCTGAGTCACATTTTCCAAGAGTTTCACATCCTGTAAAAGCTGGCTTGTCCTCTGAAATACAGGCAGGGGGTTGGTTCCTGTTTGGGGTAGCCTCAGTTCCACTTGGTAAGTCATTATCTCAGCAATGGTCTTTTTCATGGGATGGATGTTTTCAAGTATGACCTTAACAGCAGTGAGGAAGCCCAGTACAGGAATGAAAACAGAAGCAAAACCAACCAAACAAATAAACAAACAACCCCCACAAAAGCCAGTGCAAGTTATTTAGTGCAAATTAAAATATTTATAATTTAAGATTGGTCTTTAATATGCGACTTCAATTAAAAATACTTTATTTTTAATTTCGAGAATATGCATGTGCTAAGAACCCAGCTCAGGTCCTCTGCAAGAGCAATATGCTCCTAACCGTGGAGCCATCTCTCCAGCCCTGAAGTTCTGATTTTGAAAGCATTTCCTTAATTCAGATTTGAGGTATGGTAGTGGTTAAGGGTCTTAGGAAAGAATGTTTGAGAAGGACTAACTTCCAAACACTACATCATCATTCACACAATCGGTTCCTAACTTCCTCCCTTCTCCTCTCTATATGGAACTGTGACTTAGTTCCGCATTCGGTTGCTAGGCAGGTCCTGAATCTTCCAAAGCAAGCATACCTAGCCCAGGGCTTCCTGTAGGAGTCCTTTAAAAAACGCTCCCTGAATTGAGCACAAGTATCTGGCCAAATTAAATGTTATTACTACAGACTCCATAGCTAATGACCTCACTTAACCCTAAAAGGGAAGTACTCTAACCCCCATTCCACAGGCAAGGAAACTAGGTTCCCAGAAGGAAGAAGGCCCGATTAAGTTTAGCCAGTGAGTCAGGGGGATTAGAACTGAGGTCTGCCTGATCCCCCAGTGCCTGCTGGAGATCACAAGTCTGTATATTTGCTGAGATACTGTGCATGGATCTTTTCCAACAATAGCCTAGTGAACGACCTTAGTACCAACAGAGAGAGAGAAGGAGAATCCAGGACACATGATTGCAGGGGTCATGAACTCCCCACGGGCTCACAAAAGTGCTCAAGGTCTGGGGAGGGCAAAGCTTAAATGACAAAGTAAACTACAGCAAAGCTACTGATGCACGAGGAACGTTACAAAGATGATTTAAATGATTTTCATGGAGCTGTGACTAAGAGCTCTGGCTGCTTTTCTACCCAAGCCCAGTTTCCTGAACCCACATGGTGGCTCGTGACTGTAACTCTAGTCCCAGGGGATCCTACACTGCCTTCTGGACTCCAAAGGGCACTCTGTGCATGTGGTACATAGACATGTATAGAAAAACACTCATATACATTAATATAAATAAATAAAAACTCAAAAATATTTCAAATATATATATTTGGTTTTTCGAGACAAGGTTTCTCTGTATAGCCCTGGCTGTCCTGGAACTCACTTTGTAGACCAGGCCGGCCTCGAACTCAGAAATCTACCTGCCTCTGCCTCCCAAGTGCTGGGATTAAAGGCATGCACCACCACTGTTCGGCTCTCAAATATATTTTCATATGTGTCTATAACTATTCCCAATCTCATCTGTATTAATCTAATGGATCCAACACATTGGGCCAAACTGTGGCTACATATTTTTAGGCAGACAGTAAGTATTATTTAAAAAAAACTTTCAAAAATAATTCATCCATACCTCCCCATGCTTGAGATGTTCTTCGGGTGGAAAATCAAATATTTCTTTGGATAACAGGATAGCTTTGATCTTTGCAACCTTTTTCTCCATTGATTTGACTTCAGACTCGATCGCAACCACATCCTAGAGTGTAGACACGAGACAAGCTCCTGTATTCCATGCTGCACGTTAATAATCCAGAACTCATAATATACTGTTATCAGTCCTATTCTCTAGTCTCATAGCTAATCAAAAGGTGTTTTCCACTTATACTGCTTAATAACTAAGTTACACCCATAGACGACTGTATGGCATTTAATAGAAAACATTAGTCTAAACTCACTGGAAAGCATTATGGAAGCCAGGCATGGTAAACTACAGGAAAACTACTGACGTACAAGGAACGCTACAAAGTGCCTTTGATCCCAGCAATCAGGAGGCAGAGGCATGCAGATCTCCGTGAGTTTGAGACCAGCCTGGTCTATAGAGCAAGTTCCAGGACAGCCATGGCTCTTTTACACAGAAAAGCCTTGTCTCAAAAAAATAAAAAATAAAACAAAAACGGCATTGTGAAGTCAAGATATTCATTGGGTCATTTTTCAGTTGCTCATGAGAACAAAGGTTGGCACCCTTCCAAGCCAGCTTCTAAAATAAACTCGAGTGTCTACACAGTCTTTAAATTTATCTTTGGAATGTGTTAAATATGTAAACACAAGTAGGTCTGGCATTTTGGAAATTCCCATCACTTTAAGTAGAAGAGAGAGAGAGAGAGAGAGAGAGAGAGAGAGAGAGAGAGAGAGAGAGAGAGAGAGAGAGAGAAGATAAAGTCACCCTTAAGAAACTAACAGACAAGAAGCTGGAAACTGGCCCTGGTTTTCTTACCTATCCCTAATGAGCTCCTGTGGAGCAGGTCACTGCTGAGTGATGTCATAAGCTACTCAGATTAATTTCAACGCTACATCCCTTGTCTGATGGTTAATTTTCTCAGTGCCAACGTCTGTAACCGGGCCAAGAATCTTAAAGTAAAATGCTAGAGAAAGACGTTGAAATATGTGAGGTACACTCACATGAGGTCAGGACAGATCCGACATGATAACAGGATGATGCAGTTGACAAGGGAGGCTTTGGAAATGATGGAGAAAGGCTGAAGGCTTAAAATTATAGCAGCTGGGAGTTACTTAATACTGAAGAAAACGTTAGAGGAGTCTCAAAGTAATTAACTGTAGTGGGAAATAATAAATAACTGGCACCAAGTTCCTGGGTGACTTCTTGTGAACTTTCTCCCCACCTTAACTTGTAAAATAAAGGCTAGAGCTGGTGATTGGGCGGTGGGAGGGAAGGTGGGGCTGAGAGGTTTAGGGGAGAAGAGGAGAGGAGAGAGGACGGGAAAAGAGAAGGAAGATGGAGTGAGAGGAAGACAATCCAGGTTTTGTGTGGCTTTAAATAGCCACAGGTAGCTATAACTATCTTATGAGAGATGGATAATTATAGGACAATTTGTCTTATCTAGGTGGGCAATTTATATCATTATCAATTGGCTCTGAAATTATTGTGTGGGCATCTTGTGAATTGGGAATTTATTGATATACAAATCTGACTAATTAATTATAAGCTTCTCGATTTTTGATTTACTGGGTTAAGGAGATCTGTGACCGCTGACCACAGGGGATGTATGGCCGAGAAGGTACAGATGGGTGGCTCTGAGGCAGATGAACCTGAGAAGGGAAGACTACCGACTGGAGCTAGTCAAGAGGCACGGAGACCAGGCAGAGAGTAGCTGAGTGTAGCATGGGAACTTGGTGCCGATAATTTATTATTTCCTGCTACAATTAACAGTGCTAAAGTACAGTAATTACGTATAGAAACATGGCTAAATTATGACAAATTAAATTACATTAAAATTTATTATTATTATTATTATTATTATTATTATATTTGTTTTTTTTGAGACAGAGTTACTCTTGTGTAGCCTTGGTTGTTCTAGAACTCACTCTATAAACCAAGCTGGCCTCAAATTCATAGAGATCCAACTGCCTCTGTCTCAAGTGCTGGGGTTAAAGGCGTGCAGTACCATCATCCAGCTTAAAATGTATTTTTTCACCTACTATTTAGAATCTATACCAAACTATAGAATGCATCATGAAGTCATTTCCATAAAAGATCACAGAAGCATGCCGCCACTTTGGAAAAGGCTGTCATAACTAAGAATTGACCCCAGGAATCGGGTCACAGAAAGAATAAAAATAGCAAGTATATTTATCAGGATTTTTCATGCCTGGAGCTAGACCACTCTGGGTGAAGGACGGGGACTTGAATCTTGCTATAGTTGTACAAAGTAAAATGTAACCCAAGAAATAACATCAATTAAAAATATATCTGTGTAGTGTGCTTTCGTAGGATTTGGGGGTGATTCCTGCATAATGAACAGTACACAGGAACCCACAACTTTCCGGTCACTTACATCTGCCACCTGCTGGACGTGTGGGAGGGCCTCCACTATCTGTTGTTGTAAAGCTGCCACCTGGTCACTTAACTCGTGGATGGTCTGGATTAAGTCATCTGTTTCAAAAATGATTGACAGATCTTCTAGATCGGTGAAAATTGAATGTAGAAGGCTGTGTTTCTGCTCAGAATCTTCCAGAGCCATCTAGAAAAACAAGAGGAAAAGGGGTAATGCCAGTCTGATGAAATGAGTCCATCAAGTTCAGATCCAAGAGAAAGTAGTGAACTGTTTCAGAAGCTCTAGGTCCTGGTCACTTCTGTGTTCAGAATGAAACAATGAGCACTCTACTGTCAGCGGGCTTGGGGGTGGGATGGGACTTGAGCATCTGCTGGCAGACCCCTATCAGACAATAAATGTTGGTTGTCTGAAGAGTCCAGAATTTCCTGGAGCTTGTTACATGACAACAGCTAACACAAGGAAGAACCCAGGTATCTGCTAGATGGTAAAGGAATACGCAGGCTGTTGCAGTACTCAGGGCATCACTGAGCAATGTGGAGAGCAACCACTGATGGCTACGGCAACGGGACGACTTGCAGGCACACTGTGCTAAGTGGATGTGCAATACAAATAAACAAAAATGGGTTAAAGGACCTGCTATGTAGCTCAGGCTCGCCTTGATCCTCCAACCTAGCCTTCTAACCACAGGCTTTACAGTAGATTGCTACTATGCCCCGGCAAAGTAAACCTTCTTATGTTTAGCGGTGAATGCTGACAGTCACGGTAGCACATGCCTGTAACACCAGCACTTGGTAGGTGCAGACATGGGGATTAGGAGTTCAAGGCCAATTTAAGCTACATGAGACCTTGCCTTAAAAAAACAAAAACAGAACAACCTAAATCAAAGGGGAAAAGTAACAAATAATGCCAGAAAATGGAAACTAGGATTTTACTAAGTATCTATTCCTTACACAGTCCACATGTGGGAAGGAACACATGCACGCTGTAGCGTGTGCGTGGAGGTCAGAGGACAACTTGCAGAAGCTGGCTCCCTTCTTTAAACCATGTGGACTTCGGGGGTGGAACTCAGGTCATCAGGCTCAGTGGCAAAGCGCCATTACCTGCTGAGCCATCCTGCAGGCCCAGGACAGCTATTTTAATTATAAGGACAAAATGTGATTTTCATACAGGACTAGTTCTTACAACCCATTTGAGGATTTACTAGGATCCACTGTGTGGGATAAACCCGGAGATCCCCTTGCTTGACTTCTTCTGCTCCGTCCAGCCGTTTAGAAGGTCCCTGAACAGTTTGAGAAACTCCTATCAGCGCAAGGGAGCAGAAATATCCTTCCTTCTGAGCTCATGGCTTACTTTAAATCATTTTTTTGTAAAAAAAAAAAAAAAAAAAAAAAAACTGAGGAAGAGCATCACTGCTCTCTTGTGTCTTTGCAAACTCTCAGAATTGATGAGGTTCAGGCTGCTGATGCGGCCCAGTTAGTAGAGAGCTTGCCTGGGAGAAGTCGTCATATCAGTCACCAGAATCACAGAAATCTAAGTGGGTGTGGTGATGTATGCCAGGAATCTTTGTACTGAGGAATGGAAGCAGGAGGCTCAGAGATGTCATACCGAGTTCATAGATAGCCTGGGCTTCATGAGACTGCCTCAAAAGTAAGATAAGATAAAATTGTGTGTGTGTGTGTGTGTGTGTGTGTTGGGGGGCAAGCCTAGAGAGGACAGGGATGGTCAGTGGGTAGGAGCACTTGCTGCTCTTGCAGAGAGCCCACTTCAGTCCCCAGCACCCACATGGCTGCTCACCCTTCTGTTAACTTCTACTCTTGAGGATCCAAGGCTCTCTCGTGGGCTCCACTGGCACTCACTGTACACACAGTGCACTTAGACACACGCAGGCAATATACTCATAAAAATAAATAACTCTTTCAAAAATGGCGAGTCATAAAACTGATTTAAAATAGAAAGCTAATATGATCTAGGGATATAGAGAATCAACCCAAGGTATGTGGGTAGAGCAGGGAATGAGGGACCAGAGGAACCACACGCAAGGACAAGAAAAAAAATAGGTGGGCGAAAACAGTCAGGGGGCCCCAAAGGATAAAAATGTACCACCAAATCTTGACTGTCGGGGAGGAGAGGCCAGCCCTCAGGGGAACACCTTAAATGTATAAAGGATTTAGACTACCTTTGAGGTCCAGTTACTATGGAAACTTATGAAAGAACTCCTTAGTGATTCTTTCTCAGGACCTAGTAGTAATGAGAGAAAGAAAAGCTACCTTTATAATCAACCCAGTCAGTACCAGGAGCTGGACAAACCCTGGCAGCCATGGCCCCAAGAAGAGAAACACTTCCATTGGCTCTGTCTCTCTGACTGACACAGAGAGGGATGCCCAGAAAGCCAGCATCTTCTGAGGCATGGCATGTTAGACCTGACTTCTATTTCTATTGCCTGGTCACTTACTTATTATTAGCATAGTTGCTTAAAACCAAAGAGATTTTATGGCTATGTTCCAGGGCGCAGGCCTAGCATAGCTGGGCTTTTAATCACAGAACCACAAGGCTGCACCTGAGAGGCCATCTGGGGCACAGAGGGGCGGGGTAAGAAGGCCTCCCTCCTGCTGAGGGAGGAGTTATCATTTTCTTCACTGGTGTAACCTCTCACAAGCTGCCTGCACTCCAGTTAATACTCTGCATACCCAGACTGGGCTTGTTTGTTTGTTCTTTGTTTTAAAGACATGAATGTAGGAGCAGACTCGTTGGAAGATGAAGATTTTCAATGGGAGAGTGAAGAGGTGGAAAAAGGGTAATTGCGGTGAACATGACCAGAATCATATACATGTGTGTATAGAAGTGTCCAAGAGCAAATAAAAATAAAGCCATCTAGATGGGGCCTTGTATGTAGCTCAAGAGGGCAGAATGGTTGCCTTACCTATATGAAACCCTGGGTTTAATCTCAGCACCATATAAACAATGCCAGGGGGCACATGCCAGTGATCTCCACACAGAAAGCAGAGAGACAACAGGATCAGAAGTTCAAGGTCAGCCTCATACATGGCAAGTGCTAGGTCAAGCTAGGACACGGGAGACATCTTACAAGTTTTCTTTCAGATTCACTTGAGCTGTTGATGGTCAGTTGTCGGACACAGGGAGAGGTTAGAGCCAGAGGTTGCTTTCAACTTCTTGAAGACACTCTGGACCTGTTCCCACAATCCTATCAATATGGTGGCTATATTCTTCAAGGCACCAGGACATTCTATAGCCTGTTACTCAGAATCCTTGGAGTTGAGTGCTTGTGACTGGCGGTGCATTCATAAGAGTGACCATCTCACTGCCTTAGCCATGTGACATGACCTAATGGACAATGTGGCTACCTCATCTCATTCATAGGACTGACCACCACATTACCTTGGCCATGTGACATAACAGAGTGAGCAGTGTGGCTACCTCATCTCATTCCTACTTGTGCCTGAACAGCGGGGAGAGGGCAATCACACAGATCCTGTATCCAGGTAATGAGAAAAGTGGTTATCATTTTAGAATTCTGTGAGCCATAACCTTCAACACCATTTAATATAATGTCTTACCTCCTAGGTGGGGAAAACTGAGGCCCATAGAATATATAACTACAGCATTAAAAGAGACATTCCACAGGACAAGAAGACCCAGAACCTCCAAGTCTAACGTCTGCCACTATCCCAAGCTTCTCTCTGTGTCTTGGCACAGTTAATGATGCCATGCACTTCCAAATGGATAGTAAAAAGCCCAGATGCTGCAGACTGGGTGGGTATCCCCTTTCACTCTGTAGGTTCTCTGACTTGGAGAGAGCCCTGGAGGTCCTACCTGAAGGGTGCTGGCACGGTGGCTCAGGGTCCTTGAAGAGTCATAGCAGGCAGGATTGGTCAGCAAACGACTGGTCTTTTCTATCCAGGCCTTTGTACTCTTCAGAAGGTCACTGTATTCTTCCATCTTTATTGTGGCCTGTGGGTGGGGGAGAAAACAGAAAGCAAGGTTGTTGAAGGATAGTCATTGGGTCTGACTGACCCCTGAGTAGGAAGCTAACCACTGTTGGCCAGTGGCATTCCAGGCCTTGTGGGTCTTTATCATGGCTGATGACACAGGCCCACCTGCTCCAAGTGAAAAACCTTTCAACTTGTCCTTGACGGGTACAAAGGGTTTAAGGAGTTCCCGTTAGAGCTGGGACAAAGGCTCCCAGTTAGGGCTTCAGCGAGCCTAGTCCCATTTCAGCCTCATTCTGAACACAGGGCTTATACTTTCTCCTCCAGTTCAGGCCCTGATTCCATCATATCTCATTTCAGGATCCTGCCCTAGCTGGACCACACTTGGAGCTTACCAAACATAGCTACTATTTAGGAGGAGAGAAGGACCTTGTTCCCAAAATGGCACATTGCGTTCTCACTGCCAGGCTGCTTCCCAGGCTCTGGAGATAGCGTGGCCTACATGCCCATGCCTGGGCCTTCATTTACCTAGGGAAACACACACCGGCTAGACTCCTGCTGAGGTCTCACTCTGCCACCTAGAGAAGGGAAGGAAGGGTGGCCACAACATGACACTACTGGCTGCCTCTGACTGTCACCCTTTGCTTGACTTTGTTTAAGCCCTTCTTGGAGCCCCCATGCTGTGCAGCTATCCATTTTCATGGCTGCACCTTGTTGAGCTGCGAAGTTCTGGATTCTGCTCTCTGGGATACTTGCTGATGCTGCTGGAAAGGAGCCATCAGGTTATCCATCCACTCTTGGGCCTGTCCTGGGTCCTGCTCAACCAAGTCCTGAACTTCAGAGTCCAGCTCACTCAGCTTGGAATGCCAGAGGTCCAGCTCGTCCCATATTTTCTGGAGAAGGAAATGCTAAGTTAATTTAAATGAAGATGCCATGAGGGGCTAGTGACTAGTTTGTACATGGCACTTGCACTTGGCAATGCCAAGATGACATCACAGGCACATCGGTTCATTCACACCCGACAACCATTTGTTGTCTAAACTGAGACTCGCTTTCTAATTGTAACCATATCCACTTCGGTACAAGTGAGCTATCACAGGACAGGAAGACCTGGAGAGTAACCTAGGATAATTAATACTAGACAAAGTCCACTGAGCCCCAAATGAGCAAAAGCCAGGAGGTCCACAGGTTTTAAAAGGTTATTTAACTGGGAAGTGATGATGTATTCCTTAGTCTCATATCGTGGGAGATTGAAGCAAGAGAATTTCCTAAGATCAGGAATCTGGGGCCAGCCTGGATGACAGTGTGAATTCCATCTCCCAAAGCAAATACCAACAAAAATAGAAATTTAGATTTATCTGTCTGTGTATACATGCACACACACACACACACATACATACATACATGAATCCAGAAGACAACTTCAAGTGCAAAAATAAAATTAACAACAATGTCTATTGCATAGGAATTGGTAGAGTGTTGGAAAATTCTCAACACGCATTAGCATTTGACAACTACATTTGACTCAAACTAATAGGCTGAATTCAAATCAGAACATAAGTGGGCAGAGGGAGATTTCAAAGGTAAAAATTTTCAAGTCTTACCTAGTATTTGTATAATAACAAGCTTAGGAAAATCCAATCTGACTTGCTAGGTCTTGTTCCTTTGCTTAAGAACCAACACTGGCCAGGTGATGGTTGCACATACCTTTAATCTCGGCACTCAGGAGGCAGAGGCAGGCGGATCTGAGTTTGAGGCCAGCCTGGTCCAAAGAGTGAGTTCCAGGACAGGTAGAGCTACACAGAGAAACCCTGTCTCAAGAGAGGGGAGTGGGGGGAGGAGGAAGAGAGGGAGAGAGGGAGTGAAGAAAAAAAGAAGGAAAGAGGGGGGAGGGAAGGAAGGAAGAAAGAAACAGAGAGAGAGAGAGAGAGAGAGAGAGAGAGAGAGAGAGAGAGAGAGAAGGAATCAAGACTATGTCTCGATCCGATTTCGGAAGCCCCGATTAGAGGTCTTCCTAAAGTATAGATGGCAATACGAATTCACAGGCAGGTGTTAACTTAGGATGTGGAAGTAGAACAATGTTCATCTACACTTTTACCTAAGAAGTTATTTCCTAAGCAACTTCACAAGGGAAATAAGAGTAGAGTTTTTGTGTCCCCGTTTAACCTTGGCAGTCTAAAGAGAAACTTACTATTTCTCAGACCTAACCAATTCACTTTTTTTGTTTCAGTTTTCCCACAGAAAGCTCCTTACTGTCTCTTTATTTATGGGAATGCTATTTCCCAGACTATGGCAGTCAGGAGCCAGGGCGAGTGGCAGTGTAGCAAAAGCCGAGACTAATGCTTCTATGTACCTGAGCTTCCGTGCCTCTGTGGTGACCTCATCTCTGAGGCTCCAGTGATCTGTTCAGATGTGTGTGTGTGTGTCTGTCTATCTATCTATCTATCTATCTATCTATCTATCTATCTATCTATCTATCTATCTAGCTATCTATCTATCTATCTCTATATCTGTAGAGACAGGACCTCAGCCCATGCTGACTGCAAACTCCCTATGTATCCAGGGATGACCTTGATACCCGTTTCCACTCTCTGAGTCCTCTGACTACAGGCATGTGTCACATGCCCCGTTTCATGCTGTGCTGGGCCTCACACCCAGGGCTTTGTGTGTGCCAGACCAGCATTCTACCAAGTGAACTACATCCTTAGCCCCAGTTCTGGTTCTGGTTTTTTGTTGTTGTTGTTGTTTTTTTTTTTTTTTTGGTTTTTTGAGACAGGGTTTTTCTGTGTAGCCCTGGCTGTCCTGGCCTCGAACTCAGAAATCTGCCTGCCTCTGCCTCCCAAGTGCTGGGATTAAAGGCGTGCGCCACCACCACCCAGCAACCCAGTTCTGGTTCTTAAGAGTTTCATATCTTTCTAAAAGACTCATCTTGGGCTGACTGAGCCTAATTCCTGTCTGGGATACGGTGACAGGGGTGAGACAGACTATCATGTGCCGAGGCCACTTTAAGGGGTACATCAATTACCTTTTGGATTTCATGAGCCTCCTCAATGTTTCTGCTCTTCTGTTGCAGCATTTTTTCAATGCAACGAAGCCCGTTGTTAATTCTCTCTATTTTCCTCCTCATGACACTCGACGGTGAGCTCTTTGAGACTTCACTGCTCATCTGTGGCAAGGGAGAAAGTCACAGTTGGTTTGCAGTTTCAGTTTTCCACTCTAAATAGTACTCACTTTTTTGACTTGAAAATATTTTAACATGGGGTAGGGGGAGGGGCTACAAACCATACTGTAACACATTAGTGACAGGCCAGAGAAGCAGACTGGCCTATCTGTGTTGGTAGCTGTGTTTCCCGGTCTTTTCAATATAATCTAAAAGTAAGCTTATTTAAATAAATAAAATGTATGTTATATTCAGAAGTACTAGTGAGGGGGCTCTTTGAAGCATCAGATGATTAATAGGAAAGAATTTCTAAGAGAAAAGGCTTCCTTAGACAAGCTGAACTTTATAAGAAAAACGTTTACACAGCTCTGTGTTCAAAAAGATCAATTTTATTCTTAGGCCAATTTAAAACAAATGTAATCTTCATTTTCCTGTCCAGCTAGGTAAAACCTCCTCAGACTACTTCTTAAGGATGGAGAGCCCTGTTTTTGTCTCTGCTGTTTCTAGTGTGTTTCCCTAGCAACGAGGACTCTAGTCATGGAGCAAAACATTTTTTTTTTTAATCTAAATGATTTTCTTAAGAAAATAACTCATGCTAAGGAAGATTAAGAATATTGAATATATTGTTTTTCCAATGGTCTGGACAGTGTGTTTTCTTATTTTTTAAGCTACTGTTGATAAGTAGCCATAAGATATCCACATAATACTATACACACAAGCTGAGGCAGAAACTACCCCAGTGAAGATAAAGATGTATTTGTAGAAGCTGAAACCTGGGCTAATGGCTAACTCAGTGCCAATCCCACACACCAATGTGTTAGTAGAACTTGATCCTAGAAGCCTCCGGTTCCAGTGGCAAGCTCTTGTCATATAGTGAGCTGGTCATACCTTTGTATTATATTTTTATTTATAGACCACATATTATAATAACGATCATTATTTTAAAATATCAATTTAATATTTTAGCTTTATTTTATGTGTAAGAATATTTTGCCTCATGTATGTATCCATACCACGTGGGTGTCTGGTGCCTGAGGAGGCCAGAGGAAGGCATTAGATCCCTTGGAACTGGAGACAAAGATGGTTGTGAGCATCCATGTAGGCCCTAGGGAATGGACCAGGGTCTTCTGCAACAGCAGCAAGTGTTCTTAACCACTGAGCCATCTCTCTGGCCTCTAAACTCTCAGTTTAATCCTTTAAAAGTTATATTTTAAAAGTTAATTAATGTTTGCCTAGGTAATACAGTACCAAACAATGAGGTTGTCTGATATGGGCAGTGACTCTCTTGATTGAAATTCATACTACCATTTAGACACACAAGGCAAGATTACGATGCAGGGCAAGAAGCCATCTGAATTACAGACATGATACAGTATGGGGCTATGGCCTGGCCTCTTGTACTTCCTTGAGACTCATGACACGATAAAAATCAAATTCCACTTGTCACAAACATACATGTTCACAAGGGAAAACTTCATCCTTAAACATGAAAGACTATTTTATTATCAACTTGCTTTGTAGGGATTTTCACATAAAGTCATAAAAATAACACCGAGTTTCTCTCAAAATATTTGATAGTCTCAAAGAAAGAAATAATAACAAGCCTTGAGCAAAGTTCCAGTAAGTTAGTGTGTTAAATCAAAATATCTGTTCTAACATATTAGAAGATTGTGTGCTTTTTTCCATACAAACCACATGTTCTGAGAAATCGGCCACGGAATTAGTTAATGACACATGCTAGCATCTGAGGGGTTTGTTGTTTCCTTTGTTTGTCTCAACATACAACCCAAGCAGGCCTCCAGTACATGGCAATCTCCTGCCTCACCGTCTGGGGTGTTGACATTACAGGCATGAGCAATCATAGTCAGCACTAGTGTCTAAGTTTGAAATCTGATTTTTGTATGCATCTCCATTTTATAAGAAAAATCTATATAGCTCTATATATAGATTGGCTGTGTACAGTATAACTAACTGTATTCTCAGGCCACTCTAAAAACAAGGTAATCTTCACTTCTCTATTGTCCAGGCAAAACAACCTCTTCCCAGTAGCTACTTCTTAGCCCAGTTTTCCTCTGTGATGTTTCTAGCGTATGTTTCTAGTGGCAGTTTGTTTTACTTATCAAAAATATGAGAGCCCTAAGCTTTAAAGACAAAACATAAAATCCTCCTGTGGACACAGGACCAAACACAGTTTTGTTCTGTTGGTCTGAAATGTCTAATATAACTGTCTTGCTAGGTGCCCCTGTTTCCAGCACAACGGAACAATTCACACCCTCTCTTCAGACCTGCATGCTAAGGTGAAAAGTTTTTCCCAGGATGCTTTGTGAGAACTCCATCCACATCACCATTAAACAGACACCACACGCTGAAATGCTATCAAGTGAACAATGAAACCTATGTTTCTACTGCCCTTGGTTTTTCTTTCACTGTTTGGAGGAATATTTTTTAAAGCAAAATATTATACATGCCCCTAGTTCTTAAAGATCTTTAGAATAAATAATAATATAAAAACATAATAATAATAATAGCAAGCCAAGTTAAAGTAACACAAACTATTAAAATGTAAAGGGAGAAAACTAAGACAACCGGTGGAAAAAAAAATAAGACAGATGATCTGAAACTCTGGTACCTACGCAATTTATTCCTAACACCTTTATCTCACTACTCAATACATAAGCTCCATAAAACCAGGCAGAGCCGAAAGTAGAGAAATTAAAATTGACAATCAACAGATATTTCTTTATTTCCATTCACCCATCCTGATCAACAACAGCATTACATGTGTTCGCACACACACAAACACACCATCAAAACACACACATACACACATATACACACACCATCAAACTACACACATACACACACCATCAAACCACACACACACACCCCTCACTACCTTCTCGTCGGCATCTCCTAGGGCTCTCCTGCATTCTTCCACCTGGGATTCGATCTCTGCAGGGACTATGCTATACATCTCAGAATACTTGATGCGCAGTTTTTCCATAATGCTCTCGAAAGTCAGCTTGCCTTTCTGAAGAATGCTCCGCAGCTCCTAAAACCATCAACAGAGTCTCAATACTTACAGGACCTGGGGAAAAGTTTAGCCGTAAAGAAAAGGGAAAGCAGATTTCCAGGGTCCTCTGGATTTAAACAAGCCCGCTTTACATGACAAAACCTCCCTATTGATACAAGCAGATTAAGGCCTAGAGATACGAGGGTTTAGTCAGATGATTCTTTCTAATTTGTAAGAATCGAACTTGATAGTTCTTCATGGTGTCAGACTCTTGTGCCAGAAAGACATCAGAACAGACTCTGCTTCTCTGAGCGCCTGTAGGATTGACTGGATCTCAGCTAAAAAGTAACAAGTGGCCAGAAGTTTCAAAGAGGGTTTTTCCGTGTTGTTATTAACTTGTTGCTATTTCTACTTCTTCCTACATTATCATCATAATGAGTCAAGGCCACTGAGAGCCCCACGCTTGAAGCAAAAGTGTCTGTTTCATGCAATTAGACAGCCAGGCAGAGCCCCACTCCTTTCAAAAGGGAGGGTTCCAGTTCCTGGTAAAGAATGTAGGTCTCAGGAGATAAAAGCGCACTGAACAAATGGTCTATTGGCTGTGGCCTAGAAACAGAATCTGATCTGCGTTCTCCTGCAGCAATTATAAAGGAGAAACTCATCTGTTTGGGAAAGCTTCCCAAAGATTGAGTGGAAAACCTACTTATTGACTTTTCTGGGCCTTTGTGTCCTTTAGCTCTCTAGTGACTGCTGAGCAGCTCCAAGTCCCAGCCCCGAGGAAGAGTTCCCAGTCTCCACCCTGTGACATTACACCCTGCTCCTGGTCTCCATCCTCAGCTGACTGACACGCCTAGAAAGGGAAAGTCAAAGAGCAATGTGGTGCAGTCATCTGTGGGGCGGGCTCCTGTTCTTCCCACCCAGGTGGATGCCAGGTCTTAGTCCACGACTACTGACTGAGACAATGGCTTCTCCACAGAGAAAACAGAGTGAAGGTAGGCTTCCCTTTTCAACACTGATCACCAAGAGCTTTGTGGTTAACAAAAGCGTGAGACTTTGCATAGAATCCCCATAGTCAGGGCCGGAGAGGCTGTTCGGTGGTTAAGAGTACTAGCAGCACTCTGACCTTATCTTAGAGAGGTCATAGGTTCAGTTTCCAGCACCCACATGGTGGCTCACAACCACCCATTACTCCACTTCCAGGGCATCCCACCCTCTCTTCTAGCAGTCATGGCACCAGGCACACATGTGGTGTGCACACATGCATACATTTAGGCAAAACATTCACATACATAAAATATTAAATTAAATCTTTAAAAATTAAATTAAAACAAAATTTTAAAAGTTCCCATAGTCATTTTTGTACGGAGAACAGGAGGAAAGGTCACCCTGAAGAAACGAGCTCTCAAGGTGATCCTCCATGTGCACATGCCACCTCTCAGAGCTGAGATGTCATGTCCAAACACAAGACATAGTCCTCCTCTGTGGGCAGAGGCCTCTGGTTGCCAAACACATTGGAAACACAGTTGATAGTTGGGCTGGCAAGTTCAGAGTCGCCTGTCTCCCAGCACGACTCCAATTCCACTCCATTTTCTAGTCATGCTCGTCCTCCCCTGACTCAGCACACAGTGTGCCGCCTGTCCTCCCCTGGCTCAGCACACAGTGTGCCACCTGTCCTCCCCTGGCTCAGCACACAGTGTGCCACCTGTCCTCCCCTGACTCAGCACACAGTGTGCCACCTGTCCTCCCCTGACTCAGCACACAGTGTGCCACCTGTGCACCTATCTCCCTGTCCCCCGGGACCACCCTTCCAACTCTAGCTAATGAGTTATCTCTCCACAGGACTCCAACAGAAGATTGTGGACCAGTCTCAGCCACATACACGAACTCTTCCCTCTTGCTTACCTCAAACTGTTCTGCTCTTTCTGGATGGCCTTCCAATGCCAAGTTTGGGAGAGAAGTTGAGATATGTTCAAATAAACGCTTCACATCTTTTATTTCCTTTATGAAAGAATGCCGTGTCTGGATCTCGGTCTGGACCAGGTCCTTATTCTTTTGAGCTGTCTGAAGAAGCCTGAAATTATGTCAAAATAAAATTCATAAAGAATTCACAAAAGAACATCTCCCCGCCCCCAGCAGAAAAGTACCAGTTTTGGCTGATTTATTGTCAAACATATATCAAATGCAGTCAATCAACAGTGTCCCCCAAACTCTCAGTCTCAAGTATCTGCATATTCCAACTACCATCTCCAGCTTCCATCTGTCCCACATGATCCCAGATGAAGTGACAAGTGTCATCAGCTGTGGGTGGGCTCTTTAGAACAGACGACCCCACCAGCTCACTTCTCTTCAGCTGACCCATTTCCTGAAGGGGCAATTGTGTGCGTGGTGGTGGGGTCTTTGCCGAGAACTATTTGGTATCTGTCGTGTGATAACACAACAGAAATCTATACTTGGTCTCTGCTCTCCAGGTCTGAGATGGGACACTTCTTGATTTCCTTACAGAAAGGAATACAAAAAGTCACTTGTTCGATTTTCTCTTTTTGAAATGGGGCTTCACTATGTAGCCCCGACTAGCCTTGAATTTACTGTGATCCTGTTCTTTCGACCCCATAAATGCTGGGGTTAAGGTGTGTGTCACCACACCTGGCAGAAACTGTTTTCACACTTGACCGAAGGCCTTGTTCCTGAGACAGAGCTCTTGCACTAAGAGCAAGTCTCTTGATGGACTCCTGGATAGCCCCCCAGGTGAGAGTTACCCATGACTGGAGGGCTGGGGCCATCTACCTCAGCCTTTCCTACCTCTGTCCTCCCAATCCCTAGAGAGGGGAGATGGACTGAAGGCTGAGTTGACCACGTTTGCTTAACTGGTCAATGTAGCCCCGGAAGCCTGGAAACAGATAAGCTCAGAGTGCCCAGACTGCTAAACCAGAGAAGTACCACAGGGCGGTGTGTCATGGAGGCCAGGGAAGCTGTTCCATTCCCACCCCGTTCACACACTCATCTTTCCACATTGTTCTTCATTTGTATTCTTTATTATATCTTCCATTGATGAGTCAGTAAACCTAAGTGTTTCCCCGAGTTCTGTGAGCCACTGAGGAAGGTTCTGGAGGGAGTTCCAGTAGCCAGACAGAAGCACGAGTGATATCCCACAACTCGTGGTTGTCACCGGAAGCAGGGAAGCTTTGTGAGATGGAATGGGCAGTTAGATCCCATCAGGACTGCAGAGACCAAGTGGATGTCAGCTGAGAAACGCTTGGTGAGTGTGGGAAAAGAAGACCCTCGCCATGGGATGGAGGTGTCGAGTGACCAAGACCGAAGAGGGACCTGCTGCTTTCCTCCTGCCACGAGCATACCCACTGCTGTGGCTTTCACAATAAACCCCACGGAATTAGACAGGACTTAAAGGATCTTTAAAGGGGTTTGCTTAAACATAATATACCGTATCAACATCATATATACATTATACAGGTATATTTTCAACTTGACATTGAATGACATAGGAGACAGAAATAATCCACTGATCAGTGACTCAGCAGATCACAGTACAGTGTCAGGCACTAAAATGTCAATAATCACAGTGAGAGGTAAGGGAGAAAGTGACTGTTTTCTCTGCCGCATGGTGAGAGTAAAGTTGACTTTCACATTGGTCTTTATAATTCCCCACAATCGAAATTTCCTACTTCCAGTAGGTATTACTAAAATGCAAAACAGTATACACCTGAGGAAAAAATTCTGCAAGCTACTCACACAGTAAAATCAAGATGGAAAATGTGTATGTTTCCATTATAATCATTCACTTCTTCCACCCCCTTGTTTGTACCCATTGGCGATGATTCTGTTGTAGTGTTTGCTATTATCCACTTTTTTTTAAAAATTTTGAACAGAAGCCATCAGATCACTTCCTTAATAATCAATCTCTTTATAAATCTCACCTGTTGCACCGTTCTTGCATAGACCTAATCTCCTGAAGTGCCGGGATGGTTTCCACAGCCTCAGTGCCTTCGGGAATGTTCTGGATACTCCTTACACGCTGTAGAAGCAGGGCCAGCAGCAGCTGCTGCTTCTCCACGCTCTCCTCGTGTTGGCTTAGAGAGTCCAACAGCTGGCAGAGTTCCTCTGTGGGAGCTGCGTCCTTTGTTTTGGAAATTTCTGGGAGGTCCTCCTGAAGATTCTCTAGAATTATTGCTTCTCGTTCAATCTAATTGAATGAGTGACAACAAAGAGAAAGCAGGAAGATTTTGAGATCTACCTGGCGGGTACTTTCTTTTTTAAATATCTGCTCTCTTTAAAGCATTCCTAATGCCTAATCTGGTTCAAAATCATTCATTACTTGCTCAACATAGCTGGGAACATCAGTCTTCTACGATCATGGATCCTGTAGCTCCCAGCTGCTGCGCATGTAGCTGTGAGATTCCGATGAGGAAATGCTATTGTGAACGGGCTGGGAAAAAGCTATTGACTAGAGTGATTTATTTCCCCTTGAGGCTTCAGTTGGTTTGCAGGGTGTTCCCACGAGGCCTACACGTGGTGGTTGGAATGGCCCCACCATAAGGGGCTGGGCTACTGCTGGATGTGGAAATTTTCCTACAAGTCTCTTTGACTTTGCTGTGAACGTCTATATCATGCTGTAAAACTGAGCCTGGCAATTCATTGTGAACCTGATGACTTCCAAAGGGAGAGCCACCAGAATTACCGAACCAGCTGTGCTTACCAACCACCGGTGTGTAAAAAACGTAGAAATGTGTAACTTATTACAATGCCTACCTAGAAACTAGGAATTCCACCAGCCTGGACTCAGAAGAAAGACTTGGCAGACAGCCTCAAAGGCTCCTGAATAAGGTAGCTCTTCGCTCCCCACCCCCAAGCCTTGGGTCCATCCCCTTTAGCTATAAGACTCATTTCTATCATTCTGCCCTCCTGTCGCTATGTTCAAACAGTGGCCCATCTTGCCACTATAAAATACCACATCAGACAACTGCACGTACATTATGCAGATTGACATGGTGAGCAAGGCCCTGGGTGTGTACCAGAAGGTGAGAATAAAACCTATGAAGGAAGATGCAAGAGCCCCAACATCAATTATTATAAGCTCCCAGAGTCCCCAAAGCCTAAGGCATACTTCTTCACCAGTGTGAAGGTCAAGTTGGTCATCTTTTAATGGCCAACAGAGATGCCACGGGACGGGGATTCTTGCATTGTGGAAGTAATATATGTTACACTTAAGTCTACTGCTCAAATCCATTAGCAATGATGCTTCTAATATTTTCTGGGGGGGGGGGGATGAGCCACAGCATCAGGAACAGGATGTAGTATCTGCTGATCTGTCTTGGGTTCCATGAAAAAGTGGGGTCCCCAGTTCCTATAATAGACCTGGTACAGAGGAGACCGTCCCCTCCCTAGGAAACTCATCTACAGAGTATGTGGTTCCCACCATCTCAAACCACGATACGACTAGAAATCCTGGTTCCCAGGCAGAGCTACATCTGGACTAGAGAATGAGATAGACCATTTCACACCTCCCTGCTTAAAAACAGCATGCTAATAAAGGAACTACAACCTGGACAGGAGACTAATAGTAGAGCCAAGATTTCTAAAGTTATTGGGGTTGAAAGAATCTTGTCTGAAACCCAGAATGCAGTGGGGTGTCACTTGGTGCGGTGGCCACAAATGAACAAATGGATGACCCCAAGGTGTATAAAACAGTCAGCTTCCCAGGCCTTTTCTGTTTCAGTCTCCTTCCTCTCATCTGGTATCACTTTCCAAAATCAACCACCTGCTGGGGAGCCCACTCTCAGCTGCAATGTTGCTGTAAGGCTGGGACTGAGACTGAAGCCCCAGAGAGAATGCATCTGCTGGCAGCCAGGCAAACAAACGCTCAATGTGTGAATGGGCCACTGCCACCCAGCCACCCAACAGCATCCTGCTCAGGGACAAAAATGAACACCAAGGGCACAGGGGGTGTTCAGCGATGTTGGAAGGGCGCTACATTTTTATTTTGTTGCTAGTCGTGTGGCTACATGCATTAATCAAAACTCAGCAAGCTTCATGCTGAACTAATAAAGAAAGTCCCCAAGCCAGGAAAACAGTCAGAATAATAGGTACTGGCCCTTGTCCTTGGAAAAGTCTCTGCAACTCTCTGGTGACGTTCCTTGGACACAAAATCCTAATAAAACCCTTTGTAAAATTTCAGGTTCATCGTAGAGGTGAAGAGGACGAAGAACCACAGTAATACACAAGCACATGCACGCACACACACACCCGCACCATTTGCATGCATGCACGACACACTCACACATTCATGCATGCACGTGCGTGCACACACACACACACACACACACACACACACACTGTAAAGGAAAATGAAACTCATGGGACCTGAAGAAACAGGAAAGAATGAGGAACCGGTGTTAGGACCCAACAGTATGAGATGAAGCCGGCTTCCTATCCCCACCTCAAAAGCAGTCACTTTGCCCCAGCACTTGAGGCCCCATCGCAACGAGGCCGCCAGAGCATAAAACCATTATTCTAAAAGTCAGTTGTCCTAGCTTCCTCTCTGTTGCTGCGATAAAAACACTCTGACCAAAACCAACCTGGGGAAGGAACGGGTTTGTTTTGTCTTACACATAAAGGACCACAGTCCATCACTGAAGGAAGTCAGGGCAGGAAACTACGCTGCTTCCTCATGCTCTCTCTGACTCTCTCCTGAGCTCATCTTCAGCCAGCTTCCTGACACAGCCAGGGCCTCAGCGGGCTGGCCTAGGCCTTCCCCCATCAATACCAATCAAGACAGTCGCTTACAGACACCATCACATCCAATCTGATCTGAAAAATTCCTCCGCTGAGGCTTACTCAGACGATGAGGCTGTGTGAAGTGGGCGGCTGGAGCTAACTAGGACATCAATAATGATATCAAGTACATTCTGCCTAAAAAAAATAAAGTGGTTTGTTGAAAGAGAAACAGTCAAATCAAAAGGTAGATTGAGTTTTAATTTGAAAATTTTAAGACGAACGTTTAAGTTTCTAAAAAAAAAAATCTTCCTACTCAAATTGTTTATTCCATAAAGATAGAGAATGACTATATTACAATAGTTCAAAGCAGATGGTCTTTACTGGCCAGTTATTGTATGGTTAACATTGACTGTCTACTTGACCGGATCTGGAAGCATCAGAGACAAGCTTCTAGCCATGCCTATGAGGGTTTATCTAGCTTACACTAGTTGATTGAGGTGGGAAGTCCCATGATGAGCATGTAGCACCATTCCCTGGGCTGGGGTCTTAGGTCTAGCTGAGTGCCAGCATTCATCACTGTCCTCTTCCTGACTAATACTATGATGTCACCTGCCTCAAGCTCCTGCCGTCAGGACCCATGGCAGACTGTACTTGTGCACCCTGAGCCCAAATCAACCCTTTCTTCCCTTAAGTTGCTTTTGTCAAAGTGTTTTATCACAGTGATGCAAAGGCACCAGCAGTGCTAGCGGGGTCTTCCGTGGCTAGGTCATATGTAGATACAGGAATGTATCTATATAATGTAGGTACCATTTTTAAAGCTTCAGTAAGATCATATAACAGGCCAGGGCTGCAGTTCAGTGGCAGAATGCTCTCCCAGCATGGACAAAGTTCTTGGTTTGCTCTCTAGTAACACACACATTCATTCCGATACCCACAACCCACACCATCATACATCAACTGACACACACAGACAACCCTTACCCTAGTCACTTAGTGATTAAACACACGTGTAAGTTTCAGTCCTCTTTTGTCACCTGTGAACTTGGGCATGTCACTCAGTATTATTGAGTCCCATTGACTTCATGTATTGTTGCTAAAACTCTTTCTCTGGAGTGGGGGATGTGAACATGTACCCCCCCCCCCCGTCCTCCCATCCCCATCAGGTTCTAAGAAAAACCCCTTTCTCCTGAAGTCCCAATGACAAATCAAAGTACAGTTCCACAGGAATTCACCCTGGGCACCCAGTGAGTTTACTGGGCTTACTTACAGAGAATGTGTGAAGGATTACTGACAGGAAACTGGCTGACTCCAAAGCAGCTGGTGCTGAAAAGGCTTCACCCTGCCTGGAGGACGGCTTCAGGATTCCCACACACATGGAGCCCCTTCCCCTAGTCTTCCCTGCCTACACACTCTAGCTCCTCCTCTAGACCCTGAGGGCACAGGTAGTTAGGGTAGAAAAACACAGAGAGGAGTGCCTGAGTGCACTAGTATGGGTTAAATGGCCCTCTCTGCACTTGTTCTTTCTAGGCAGGAATGTCAACAGCCGCACCTTTTCCTTCCAGGAGGGAATCCCAACATGCCACTGGCAAACCAGAAATGGCTTCTAGCAAAGAGCCCAGCTCCCCCATGTTGATGGCTCGGCAGCCTGGCTGAGGTTCGTCCTTTACACAGATGCAAGAGCTAGGCCAGGCACACCGAGTGCTCTCTTCAGTCGCTGTATTGCTGTTATTACATGGTTTGATTTGTGCTGGCCTTTGGGGGAAAAGTACAGTTGTTGGGCTGGGAGTGGAGTTTGGTTGGTAGGAATGCTTGCTCTATGCACAAAGCCCAGGTATGGTAACACCCATCTGTAATCCCAGCGCTTGGGAGGTACAGGCAGAAAGATCAGAAGTGTAAGGTCATCCTCAGTGGCATAACAAGTTTGTGGTGAGCCGGAGTTCAGGAAGCTTTGTGTAAAAACATTATTTTGACTAGATTCTGGTCTAATGTTTGTTTGAGTAATTAGCAAGAATTACATGAGTAATACAGAAATTAATATGATATGACTTTAACTGGCTATAAAAGAGCAGTGTGGTAAAAACAGTAAAAGCTTAGACTCTGCCAAGGTCTGGTTCTGAACAAGCACTCTCCCTCAACAAGTACCTACTGACTGCACACTAGGGACAAGGTATGGCTGGGCTGCCAGGTTATAACTGTAAGGAAGACCCCTTAGCCTGCATTCAGTGACCCACAGGAGCTTGCCACAGTCAGTGTGCAGTTGGGGCTCTTAGGCCACTACTTAGAAAAGAAGAAGTATTAATCAGAGCCTCAGTTTCTCTAAGTATCAAATGGTAAAGGCAGTAACTTCCTAAGCTCAAGGCAAGGCAGAAGCACATGTCTGAACTAGTTTCTCGGACCGGTGTAGAGGCTCAGTGATCGCTGTCATTGTGGACAGGCAGGGACTCTCAGCAGTCCGAATGATTGACAGTGTCTGAGAGTTTAACCAGCCAAGAGACTGTTCACTGATTAAGCCCCACCAGCACCACTGAAATGACACTGATTTCAAGAATATTAAGTTCTAAGCAGGTTAACGGGACAGTGGTGACCGTGGGTGATCGCCCACCAATTAAGTTCACACTCGTTACATTTCCATCCTCAGAAAATTCACCAGAAATTTTGAAATGAAGAAAAGAGAATTTCAACTCGTGTTCTGATCTGTACCTCATTTATCCATGGCACTATTAACAAAAGATAAGAAAGATGAACAAATACCATGACCTCCTATGATTTTTCATTTTCTTTTTAATATATGTAATGCACAAGTCCTGAACCATGCCTAAGCTATCATCTGGGACTGAGAGATGTCAGAGAGGTCTTCTTTGAGACACTTTTTAGAAAGCATAGAATTTCATCTTTTTAAGCCCACACTTGACTACCACAACTAATTTCCATTCTTAACAATTGGAGCTGATTTCCAATTAGTCAGTTATCGTGTATATGACTCAGTTCTAACCTTTACTGTAATGAATGCAAAGGCAGTTATTTTTAAGGATGAACTCATCTTCACAATGAGGATTTTAAAGCTTCACCCGGCAAGTACTCACCTCTTTAGTAAGAATTATCTGAGGGGTAACAAGCTGGCTTAGCGGCTCAAAGTGCTTGCTGTGCAAACCCAGACACCTGGGTTTGATCCCCAGAACCATGTAAAGATGGAGGGAGAGCACGGACTCCAGGCAGAATTATAGGATACCTAAGAAAATGCCACTACTACGAAAGAAGCTGAAGAATTTCTCAGGGGCTTTTCACAAGCCTGACCTGGACAAGTTCACAAGTAGCGTCTATTTGATGTACAGATGAAAGGCGGAGAATGGCATGAAGAGGTGGCAGCCTCGTGCGAGCCGCAGGGTTTGCCTGTTGGAAGGACTCACCTCCTCACTGATGAACTTCCACTCTCTCTTCAGTTCTCCACTCCACTGCTGCCACTCTCTGGCGGTGTCCAGCAAACTCAGCCATTTCTCCCACAGAGCAGAGGCCACTCCAAGCACACGCACTGCGTCGTTCTCTGTGCACCTGCAGCTCAGGTGTCTGAGGACCTGACGGAGTTTCACTAGGTCTTCTTTGGTTGACAGGAGATTTGATGTTAGCGCCTTATAAGAGAAAATAATATGAATGACCAACATCTATAATCTTTTCTGAAATGTCACTCTGAAGTCTGGCACAGTTAAGGATATACTTTTTTTTTTAAATGTTATGTCTCAGTAGGTAGTCCTGACTGGTCTTAAACTCAGAGATCCTCCTGTCTCTGCTTCCAGAGCACTGAAATTAAAGGTGTGTGACACCATACTCGCCAGCCAGTTAATGATTTTAATATTCTTCAACTATGACCAGATCCACCTTCTTTGAAAGTCACTTAGTGCCAGGGAGAGAATGACTTACATATTACATTCTGCAGGAACTTGGGGTGAGTATTGGGAGGGGTGTGGAACTCATAACCCAAAAGCAAACTTTTTAGAGTTAGAAAAGATTCTCAAAGGTAAATATTTTGCGAGGTCATTTACACAGTGTTTGCTGTATCATCCAGCAATGCAGTATTTGGGAGTTCTTTCTGTGTTTGCTCAGTTTCTTTTTGGTGGTGGAATGGTCTCATCTGAATCACAATGACAAGTCAGAAGCAATGGCACCTACCTGTAATCCCAGCACTCAGAAGGCAAAGGCAGAGAGATTACAAGTTCAAGATCAGTTATGTGGCACGACTCTGCCTCAAAAATAAATAAATAAAAAAGTAACTAAGAAACCCAAATCAGGGCTGGAGGGATGGCTCAGTGGTTAAGAGCACTGACTGCTCTTCCAGAGGTTCTGAGTTCAATTCCCAGCAACCACATGGTGGCTCAGAACCATTTGTAATGGCATCTGATACCTTCTGGTGTGTCTGAAGACAGCTACAGTGTACTCACATGAAATAATACACAAATCTTAAAAAAAAGAAAGACAGAAAGGAAGGAAGGAAGGAAGGAAGGAAGGAAGGAAGGAAGGAAGGAAGGAAGGAAGAAAGAGAAACCGAAAGCATAATAATAGAGCACCACTAATTTTAATAGATGAAAATAGGCAAAAATCAGTTGTTTTACAAGCTGAGGATGTTCTCATGTTGTAGAGTGCTTGTCTACTGTGTGTACAAAAACAAACAAACAAACAAACAAAACAACTTTAAAGTAAAACCAGGTATGTAGGCTCATGCCTGCGACCTCATGAGGTAGAAGAGTAGAGTCAGGAGAAACTTAGGATAAAGAGACTCTGTCTCATTAGCAATGGTATAGGAAATGATCAAAACTGGACAGATGTGGTGACTGTTCTGTCACGGATCTAGTAGCATGCCTCAAAACATAAGAAAAGGGAAGGTTTAGAAAGGTGGTCCACAGGGCAGGATGCTGAGGGGGTGGGGACTGCACTGTGGATCTGATCAACTGAAGGGGTCAGATCATCTTCCCACCTCAGCCTCCAGTTGGGACACTTTCATGGGTGTTTGAAGACTCCCGTGTGTTATAGCTGAGCTGTGCCCTCTGATGTCACCTGTTTGTTCTCCTGGGTCTTGACACAGACTATCCACAAACTGATGATGTTACCTTGCTCTGTTCCAGGCGGGCTAAAGCTTCTTTGTAAGACCTGGGCAATGGGGCTACGGACTGTCCAAGATCTGTCTCCATTTTCCTGAGCCGAGAGCAAATTTCTTCTTTCATTTTTCTATAGCATTTGTAATTCTCCAGGCACCTGAAGAAGCAATTAGAAAAAAAAAATAAATTTTTCCTATTAATGTATCTCTATACATACACACATAAAGGGTTTTTGTTTTGTTTTGTCATTCAAGGAATTTAAACATTTTTATTGACTACTCATCCCCAAAAGCATCTATCGATGGCTTTAAACAGACAGATACAGTTATCCACAAAACACTAAGTTAGGCAGGCAAGCAGACAGACTACAGACTTGTAGAGAGAGAGGGAGGAAGGGAGAGAGAAAGGAACAGGGAGAAGGAGAGGGAGGTAGAAAGAGAGAGAGAGAGAGAGAGAGAGAGAGAGAGAGAGAGAGAGAGAGAAAGAGATTGAGTTTTTTCATGCACTACCAATCATCTGCCAGTAGGCTGAATTTTGGGAGAAAGCCATGTAACCTTAAAACTGTCCCAATGTCCACATTTGGATTCATATGTTCAGCTGTGTGTTTTAGAGAGTTAATCTCAAATATAAAGAACTTACCAAAACCAGGATAAAATCATTGTGTAGTAAAAGCCTTTTATACATAATTGCATTAGTTAAAACAGCAAAAAGGCAATCTAACAAAAAAACACGATTATGCAAGTAACAACAAGTCATCCCAGAGTTGTATCTACGGATTGTGATTACTATCATAAAATGTTTGTCAGGACGAGGAAAAAGATGAATGTTATATAGTAAAAAAAAATTGAAGCAAGATAGTTTATATTTAATTGTGATATATTTTTAAAAGCACTATAAAATTATATACACGAAGTAGGTGCTGCCTAAGTCCTCCAATCCTCCAGTGAGAACAGTTTACACTTCTATTTTCAGGAGCTAGTGTGTAGTTCAGCAGGAGAGCACTGCTCAACACACGTGTGACCTTGTGTTTACTCCCTAGGAAAAAAACTAAAAAAACTAACAAATAACTTAAGAACTCTCACAGCTCACCTGGCGGTGGTGGCGCACACCTTTAATCCCAGCACTTGGGAGGCAGAGACAGGCGGATTTCTGAGTTCGAGGCCAGCCTGGTCCACAGAGTGAGTTCCAGGACAGCCAGGGCTATACAGAGAAACCCTGTCTTGAAAAAAAAAAGAACTCTCATAGCTGAAATTCTAGCATTCACACTCAGGAAGCAGAGTCAGAGGGCCTGACTGACTTAAGTTTGAGGCTACTCTAGTCTACATAGTGAGATTGAGGCAAGATAGTAGTTTCAAAACAACAATAAAAACAAAAAAACACACACTACACTTTGAGTGTGTGCATATGTGTATGTGTGTGAGCCACTTCACCACCAGACTCTTATTCTGTATGCGTACAAGGTATGTACCCACATCTGAACAGAGGAGCCTGCTTCCCCACATGCATGGTGACTTGCTCTCTTATTCTCTATCTTTCCTCTTGAGACAGGGCCCTTCATTGAACCTGGAGCTAGGCTGGCTGCCCCTGTAGATCTAGGATTACAGGTACATGAAGAGGCTATGCCCAAGTTTTTGCATGAGTTCTGGGGATTTGAACTTGGGTCCTCATGTTTGCAAACCTTACACACTGAGCCATCTTCCAGCCCACCCTTATTTTTAATGACTAGTGTTAGCAAGGAGCGGGGACAACTAGAATATGTACCTGGTTTAGTGGAAATTAGTGGGTGATTTAATGTTAGGAGTTGCAGCCCCTTGATCTGGGCTATCACACTCTTACATAACCAAGGGAGGCTCTTGTACTTCAACATGTTCCTCGAAGCACTGTGGTTTAATGCAAGAACTAGAAACTCAAATGTCCATCAATAAGGGAGTGTGGAACAGACAAGAGTGTGACTAAACCTTATGATCAAAGAGATGAACTTAAAAAAATATGTTTCAAGTTAGAGAATGACAGAATAAAGATTTTAAGAACAGGACATAAATACAGCAAGAATACAATAATAAAAAAAATTATTTCCTAGTGAAAGGGAGGAGGAGCTCATGAGAAAATTCAAGTTAATGAGGTTTACTTTGGACACTTTGGGTGTAAAGGCGTTTGTCTTGTCTTCATCCCTTATATCTACACACTTATATATAGTATTATTATGTGTATCAAATACTAAACAAGAAGGAATTAAAATATAATGAAACACTTAGCATGGTTTTCTTTGGTGACTTTTTAAACTTTCCCACATTCAAATTTCCTCTGATATGCATATTAATTATAAAGACAAATAAAATGATATTCTGTTACTCAAAAGTATGGGCGACCTACCTTTCTTCCTCAGCTTCCTGGGATTCCAGCCCTGCCTTCAGAGCTGAATTGTAAGCCACTAGTGCTTGTAAAGTACAGTGGAGTTGCTCTTTGGCCTCAGGGCTGGAGATAGCCCCCAATGTCTCGCTAAGGCTCTGTAAATCAGCTGCTACCGATTGCAATTCCTCGTGTTTACGGCGCGCCAGCTCCAGGGACTTTTTGGGATTGTGAAGGTCTACTCTGTATGATAAAAGCATGGCTTCCAGGGACGTGATGATCCTCACTGCGCTGGTGACTAACTCGCCATAGCGGGTTGCACTTTCATAGGCATCGTCCAGGACATTCTGGTGAATTGAAGATCAAACACGGTCATATAATTTCCCAACTTGTTATCCTCAAATATGGTGCATTCACTGATTCTCTGAGTCTCAGGGGAGCTGATTTCCTGTTCTTATAGGTTTTACAGCATTACATTAATATTTAAGAATGAGTAGCTAAAAAAATTGTCCTATTTTCAAAGAAATCTATTTAAATTTAAAATAGCATCTCATAATCTTGCTGGTCAGTATATAATTCCTATTTTGGGATCCTTCCACAGGCTATGAAATGAATGAAGCATTGCATATAATGTCTATAACTGTAATATCTATGGACAAGTGAAAATAGCCACAAAAAGTCAGATCTCTTGCGTCTCATGTGACTAGCATATCTGCCATCAACTTCAGTTCAGACACATCATCAGATGCCCCTATACCACAGCCTTGTCTTGAAAGTAGCAAATGAATTTAAAGATCTCTCCCTGTCCAGTGCTAATCAATTTATTCCTGGGTGGGGTGAGTTGTACAGAGTGTTTCTAGAAACCATTAAAAGCAAACAAAGCACTAGAATTATTCAGCATTTCTTACAAAATCATTTAAATAGCACACAAGGGTTTACCATCTCTTAAATTTCTATGGCATTTGCACCCATTATCTTACGATAACTCTGAGTAAAAGAAATGAGTTTCTCCCTTCTATAGATTAAAGATGACGGGTTAGAGAAGGGCATGCTGGGTACCAGCTACCCACTGCTGGTACACTGGGATCGTGACTGAGATACTTGCTAACTCTCAGAAGGAGACGGAGAGTGTGTTAGACTTGTTCGCCAACAGAAGTCAGCAAGCTATCACAACTACTCAACACTGCCGTTGTAGCAAGAAGGCAGCCACAGACATTAGGTAAATAGGAGGTATGGCTGTGCCCCAGTAAAACTTTATTTATAAATCAAACACCATGGACAGGATTTGGCCCATGGGCCTTAGATATAAGGACACCTGCTGTAGACTTAGACAAATGTCAGCTTGAATCCTGATTTTGTCGGTGCTCTAAGAGCATCCCAGGAGGATCTTTCTGAGATTCAACTTTCTTATTATAACTTTTTTTTTTCAGTGCTGGGAATTGAACCCAGGGGCTTTGCACACGCTGGGCAAGCACTCTGTCAATGAGCTATACCCCTAGCCCTCAATTTTTCATTTTAACAAGGCTAACAAACACTTAACATCCGCTACCTCCAGCCCTCAGTACAATGTAAGTTCTAAGTAAACATTAGTTACATTTGCTGTGTTTCCCTCTGTACCAAACTTCTACTCTATATCATTTTACTATAACTAAAGGGGAGAAAAAAAAACCTTGTTCTGATGTCAATGGGGCTTATGAAGGAAACAAAGATGTCAGCTTCATCTCTTCTCAAATTTATAAGGCACTGCAGTTTGATGTTAAGTGAGTCAGCGTGATAAAGTGGCTCTGGGCCATTTAGAAGGCAGGTGTCTTCCTTCAGAGAACTCTCCTGTAGAACCTACACTGTCTTCAGGAGTACTGACATAACCTGAAGCAAACAACCAGTAAGGATAGATGCCTTTCTTAAAACGCCTAATTTCAGAGACAACTTACTGTGCGTAAATCAATGCTTTCGCTAAGCTCCATGTGAAGACTTTCAATGTCCTGTAATTTTGCCTCCATGCCACCGGATCCAGAAGCGTTTTCTTCTCTTTGCTCCCCAGTAACCCTCACGGCTTTAAGACCACACATTTCTGCCTCAACTTGCTCGCCAAATGCTCCCCAAGTCTCTATCTCCTGTTGAATATGTTGAGCCCCCAAATTTATACATAAAGGCTGCTGTAACCGAGACTTTACTTGCTCTAAAACATGTAGGGCGTTTTCTAGTTTATCCTGGAATGCCTTTTCACCCACTTCTTTTGGTTGCAATTCTAGCAGCATGTTCTGGAGAGCCTCTTGAAGCCTAGAATTCTCTTCTGCATTTAGCTTTAGTTGCCGCATCTCGCTCTCTTTGAACGAGTCGTCAAGAGCCTTGTTTTTGCTTAATTTCCTGATGATCTCACCATGCAAGCGTTTGGATTTTTCAATTTTCTGAATCAAAGTGTGTGCGTTGAGCAGGGTGCTTTCTGGTGACGGATTGGGGACTTTCAGCAGTGATTCAGCCCCTGTCTTAATTTGCAAATCCACAGCCCTTATCTTACTTACGGATGCTTGGTATCTGTCCCGTGCTATTAAAAATGTGTCCAGTTGTTTAATTTTTTCTTCCACTTCCCTCTCTCTTTCAAGCACTTGGGTTTGTAACCGTTCAAGAAGTGAACTATCCAAACTTAGCCCTATAGAGTCAAACACTTCTCCAGATGTCAACACTTGTGAGATGCTGCCTTGAATAGCAGCCAGCTTGTCTCTAAGACTACCGAGTTGCTCTTTGACATCCTGCTTCAGCTCTTGATGGAGCGGGAGAAGTCCGCTGGGCTGGATGCTCTCGACCGCTTTCTGAAGCGCCACTGATTTTTCATGGAATTCTCTGTAAGACTTGATCTTGTGCTTGAGTTCGTTACAGTTATTCTGAAGGAATCTCTGTGTCCTGCTGGTCCTTGTTTTGAGAGTTTTTAACTGATCATCCAGAAATAATCTCTCAAACACATTTGCATCCTTGTAGGCATTCGTAAGTTCTGGAAGATGTGCTGAGATTAAGCTCTCCATGTCTTGTAGCTGCTGCTGGGACGCCTTAAAGATGGCGAGGCGACGCTCCAGCTCGGCTTCCGTGGAGGCTCTTTCCCTCGTGGGAGACATCAGTGTCTCACTCTCTTCAAGTGTGAGCTGAGCCTTTCCTGTAATCGCAAACAATTTGCTTCTCTCTTCCAACTTCAGTTCTAGTTGCTGGGACCTCTGTGTTGATTTTAAAAGCAGTGCTTGGTGTTGGCTCTGTAAATCCTCCAGGAGAGTATTTAAACCATCCCTCTCACGAGCTGCAAGGTTGGGGGTGAGGCCTCTGGCTTCTTCCACCAGCAACTCCACCGCCTGCTGCTTAGCCAGAACACCATCATGAATCAGCTTGCACTCTCTGATCTGAGAAAGGATGTTGTCAGGGAGAAGGGCGATGGGAACAAGGAGTTCTGCCAGTGTGTTCTTCACCCAGGATAGAGTCTCCTTTACCCTGTCCTGTAGCTCACATTTTTTAACCCGAGTTTCTACCTCTTGGTTTAGCGGCTCCAGTGCCTCCAGTTGCTTATTTAAATTCTTTATTGCATCTTCCAGAGTTTTCTTATCCTTTTCTCCCCAAAGCCTCTTCATACGAAGCTCAGCTTGCCGCTTTAAAGCAGAAAACTCATACTTGATTGCCTGGAGCTCGGCGGCTGGAGTCACCATGTCCACATCCCCCGCCTGTTGTTCTGGAGAGTTCAGACTTTGCGTTAGGCGCTGTTGCTGCTGATGCAGAGAAACCTTGAGGTCCTGGGCCTTCTTCAGGAGGTAGGTGAGTTCACCGTGTTCTGTAGCTTGCTGAAAACACTTCCTGTGAGCCAGCCGCTCCACAAGTTCCCACCCATGTTCAAGTTGCTTCATTTGGCTCTCCACCAGCTTCTGGTCGTCGGCTGTCAGGAGGCTGGATAAATGGGCCCGCTCCATGTGAAGCTTGCTCAAAGAGCCTTTCTGTTTTTCCACCGATCCCAGGAACTTCTTGATCTTCCCCAGATAGGTTGCACTGTCTAGCGAGCCTCTAGGAAAAGAACAAAAATGAAGAAATAAAGGGAAAGGAGTGAGGCGAAGAGAAGAAGGTAGGTAAATGACTTACAAATGGAAAGTCTCTCTCCCCAAGCTTAGTCTAAGCCAGAGAAGCTACCACAGTATCCAAACCCCTTGTTACCACCCTTCCTTCCCACCAAGAATAGCCAATCTTATGAATATAAAATTGTTTTAAAGGATAGTACTGAAAATAAAGTCTGTTTAGAGGTATGCATAAAACAAAACTTTATGATAAGAAATATTTATACATTAAGATCTCTATATCTACCATGTGTTATTTTTGAAGCCAAAGGAAAAACATATTTATTCTTATTAGTGTATGATGGAGGTAGGGGGACTCAGGCCATAGCATGGATGGAGAAGTCAGGGGACAACTTTGGGGAGTCATTTCTCCCCTTCCACGTTTATATAGTGTGGTGGCTTGAATAGAAATTGCCCCCATAGATTCATGAATTTGAATCTATTTGCCAATAGGGAGTGGCACTATTAGGAGGTGTGGCCTTGCTAGAGTAGGTGTGGCCTTGGGGAAGTGTGCCTCTGGGGGCAGGCTTTGAGGTCTCAGGAACTCAAGCCAGGCCTAGGGTCACTGTCTCTTCCTGTTGCCTGTTGATCTGGATGTAGAACCATGCTAATAATGAACTAAGCCTCTGAAACTGTAAGCCAGCCCCTATTACATGGTTTTCTTTATGAAAGTTGCCATGGTCATGGTGTCTCTTAACAGCAAAAGAAACACTAAGACACATCGGTTCAGAGGACTGAACTCAGATCATCAGGCTTGGCAGCAAGCACCTTTATCTGTTGAGCCATCTTGCTGACCTCCTGAAAGCATACATTTAAATGAAACAGTTAAGATATGTAATATTCAATATGCAGTAATTTAAACCGATTATATTGGTACTAGGCAGCATATATAGAAGATATTCACACTATTGTTTACTAAATTATGTGTAAAACACAGTACTCAGTAACACACACACACGTACACACAGAACATGAGTCCCATAAAGTTCTTAAACAGCTTCTGCTATGGTTTGAATGCCTATGCTCACCCCAAACAAATTCTCATTTTATTCTTGCTGTTTCCTGGGTTTGTTTGCTTTTTAAAAACATATACTTATTTCTTTATGGGGTAGGGGAGACTTGTGTGGGCAATAGTTCCCACCTTCCACTTAGATGCTGAGTATCAAACTCAGGTTGCCAAGCTTGGTAGCAAGAGCCTTTACCCACCAAGCCATCTGACAGACACTTGAATTGTTCCCCTGAAACAGGGTCTTGGGTACAAAATGCCTTATGTTGAAAGCTAAGTGACCATATAATGGTATTGGGAAGTAGAGCCTTTGTGAACATGAATAGCTAAGAGACACTCCCAACCCTCATCCCTGTCCCCAGAGCTCATTCTATCCTGGCAAGACATGGCTGGCTGATATCCTGAGATAGAGAAAAGCTTCATCAGACACAACATTTCCCAGCATCTTAGACCTTGGTCTTTCCAACCTCACCACAGTAATCAGTCACTGTTCCTAAGCTACCCAGTCTGTAACTTTTTGTTAGAGCCCCATGAACACCCTAAACTAGTGTCCAACATGGAATTGGTCTCCATGCCTGATTTCACAATCCTGATGTCCTTCTGCAGCATAAACTGGAACGTGGGCTGCAAGGGAGCAAAGAACCCAAGTCTCCTTATACTTACACTTTGAGGCTTTCCACTTCTGTCAAGAAGGCATTCAGCGAGGCTTCAGCTATAACCAGCTGGTCTTGAAAACCACGAAGGAGGCCATACTGTCTTTCTTTAATTTTCTTCAAGGTAAGAACCTCCTGCTGTAGACTGCCCAAGTGGCACACTGGAGATTTGGAAGTGGGCAGAACCGAGGCTTGCTCTTCTGTTTGGTTGAGATGCTGCGACTGTTTCAGAAGTTCAGGGGCTGCTTTTCTTGCTTCCAAGTGGGTATATAATTCCTAAAGGAAGTCACACAGAGATCAACGAGTAAGCGATCACCCTTCTCCTGGCTTAGATACATGTTTACTCTTCTGTAGAGTTATCTGAAACACCAGAAACCATCCAGACCAGCAGTTCTCACCCTCCCTAATGCTGTGACCCTTTAACACAGTTCCTCATGCTGTGCTGATCCGCAACCATAAAATTATTTAGTTGCTAAATTTATAACTGTAATTTTGCTACTGTTATGATTGCAATGTAAATATCTGTGTTTCCAGACAGGCAGCGGTCGTGCATGCCTTTAATCCCAGCACTAGGGAGGCAAAGGCAGGTGGAGCTCTGAGTTCGAGGCCAGCCTGGTCTACAGAGTGAGTTCCAGGACAGCCAGAGTTACACAGAGAAACCTGTCTCAAAAAAATCACACACACACACACATGAACATGAACACACCTGTTGTTTTCTGATGGTTTTAGGCAACTACTGTGAAAGGGACATTTGACGCCCAAAGGGATGGACCCACAAGCCAGAACTAGCTGATCTAGAGTTTCACTTGTAGAAACATGGCCATGTATAAGGTTTTCAGGTTTAGTAACTAGAAATGCATTATTACTGCTGATAAACACAGCTGTCAATCTAAAGGAGGAAGCTACAGCACACTGATGATTAGGAAAGACAGTCTGTCCATAGCCAGACAACGTGGAGCTGTGAAAATGTATGATGAGTCACATTCCCCAAACTCTCACCGAAGTTTCCAGAACTTCGTGGTACAGAAAGAAGTCGAATGTTCATTAAACTCTCCCCCTTTTCAAATGGCTGGAGTTATACAACTTACTGATTAGTACATAATTATATAGTTACCAAATTGATCATCAGGCAAAGGTTAAATAAGACTTTTCACTCCATACAAGCAAGTTTTTGGTAATTAAAATATATTGTATTGCACTGGGTAAACGATGCAATCATGCCGTTAGTGGTTTTCATGTTCCCATACCTCCATCCTTTTTAATTGTTCATTTCTTAACATAATGTCCAATTCTAAAGGTTGATTCTGCAGCTCATTGACTTCCAGCTCATCTTGGGCGTTTTGCATGCTTTCTTGAACATTGAGAGAAAGTTGTTTTGACAAAATCATTTCCACGGCTGAGTTCTGAAAACATAAAAAGATTAATTGCTGAATAGCCTGCCATCCAAATGAACCACTTTCATTTTCCTTGATTACAACCATTCCAGTTCCTCCTACTGACTCAGGCTAAAGGCTTCCAAGAAGTATATCTGGGTACTACCGAAGATGGGCTTTATTCCCATAGCATAATTAATGCCTGCACTGGCACTCTTTCCCCAATATGAGACATTTTTGTCATGGTAGTATACATTCCAGAATCCCATTGCTTCATTGTATACTGAGGTATAACATTTAACCTAAAAGAAGTGAAACAGACACGGGAGAGCCGACAGTTCCCAAATTCATACTTAGTATTCACAAACTGAGGAGGTCCAGGCAAAGCGTAGCTGCTCATTTCTACTTATCAGTAGTTCAAAACAAGTAGGTGAGTGAGAAAACACCAAGATGACATGATACTGAGACTAAATTAGGCCTCTAGCCAGTTGGTAAAGAGGATAACATCTTGGCCACTGGGGAGATGACGTGGTGCATACACGTGCTAGACAAGCAATCCTGTATACTCAAGTTCAACGCTCAGAAGCTACAGAAAAAAAGAAGAAAACCCACTGTGGTAACCCATATCTGCAATCCCAGCAATCCTACCTCAGGATAAAAGGCGGAAAGCTTACCTGAGGGAGCGTGTGCACATGTGTAAGCATGTGTGCACATGACCCCATAACACACTAGCATAACAAATGAAGACCTATGTGAGGTGCGAGACATTATAAAGGAATCATTGATCTTTTTCCAATGTTTTAGGAACTTAGGGTATCAATGGGGCATTTGTGTTGACTTCATTTTCAATGGCTAATTCTGTTTTATTTTTAAACTAGATTTTAGTGTGTGTATGTGTGTGCGCATGTGCGTGAATGTATGCGTGCATATACATGCACATGTCTGACCATCAGAGAGCAATCTGCAGGACTTGCTTCTCTCCCTCTAGTCCCAAGGATTGAACTCAGGTCCTTGGGCTTGGCAGCAGGCACCTTTACTCTCTAAGTCATGGCTCTAAGTATGTACTGAACACTTACATGTACCAGACACCATACCAACAGTTTTGGGAGATAGGGATGGAGAAGAGACAGTGCCTGGCATGTTCAAGGCAGGGTCACATGAACTTCACAAAACACATAAGCAAACCAAAAGCAACACCCCCACCCCCAGTACTGTACAACAGGGGACGCTATGCAGGGATATAAGGGAATGTTCAATACTATCTTTGTAACTGTCCTGTAAATCTGAAAACAGTAATCAAAAGTTTACATAAAATAAGCACCTGCCTGGAGTTTGGCCAGCTCTCACTGGTAAGAGAGCAGGGTACTCATGTTTGAAATAACACATCATAAGTCACTGCTTTGAAATATGACAATTATGATTTTACAAGTTCATGTTCCCTCCTCCAGTTCTGAGATCCTAACTCAGCTCTGGTGAAAACCTATGTAGAAAACAAACTCACGGGGAGAGATCCAGGGAGGCAATGGGTTGAGAATGGCATGGGGGTGGGGCACACTTGCAGGGGGCACACTTGCAGGGGGCACACTTGCAGGGGGCACACTTGCAGAGGGGGAACACTGTTGCAGGTGGTGCCTGACTCCTCTCACCTCCTTGGAAAACCCCACAAATGTCTACCCCCTGCACACAAGAGAGCCCTCACCAAAGGCCTAGAGACCAGGCCCTGGGAGAGAGTTATCTATTCCTGCCATCCACCAAGAATCCAAAACTTCCTCTTACCTGAAGAGCTGGCATCTGAGGACCACTGTTACCCAGGATGTCACAGGCAACATTTGTAATGTCAGACTTCAATGGTCAGACAATGTATATCAAACACTTCCAATCAGCCCCCAAATCCATGTGTTCATTACCCCCAAAGCCGTTTTCAACCACGAAAGAAAGGCCAACAGAATCCCTCAAACGAACATTTCAAACATAACAGGCAACATTCCTTTGGCTCATGCCAGGGAGGTTAGAACCCAGGTCAGGCCCTCCCTGATTGGTTCCTGGAAAGTTCCGTCACTTCCTCATGGCCTCCCACCAGCCTCTGCTGTGTTTTATTTTGTAAATACTACTATAGAATGTTTTATCTTAAATCAGAGACATAAATTAAAGAACAAAAACCCTACATGACTGAAAACAAAGATTAAAGTGATATAATTTTCTATATTAAAGAAACTTAAAGCCCACCCTCCATAAATCCTCTAACCATATCTCCCAAACCAAACACTCTCCTGTAGTACGTTGTAGACTAGGCTGGCCTCGAACTCAGAAATCCGCCTGCCTCTGTCTCCCAAGTGCTGGGATTGAAGGCATGCAACACCACCACGCCCAGGGAACCACAGAGTTCTTAAGCCAGGGACATGCCTCCCACTTTCCCCATCCCACCCCTCTGTCCAGAGCTGCCCATGCCCAGCCAGGCTCTGCCAGCTCCAGCCGACCTCTTCATCTATGCTCAGATGTTGCTTCCTCCCCACCCTACCACTGAACTCCAACAACGTAGCTAAAGGCGACTAGGGAGGACAGCTTCCATCCTAAGTTTCAGTAACTGGACTCTCATTTGTTTAACTTAGTGATTACTGTGTCCCCCATCTCCAGCTAAAGGATCTATGAGAACAGAGGCCATGTCGACATTTGACTCTTTATTGTCTGCTTAATCATTTTTTCAACTGAAAGGATAACATGAATTCCAATCAGATGGAAAAACAAGGACTATTTTACTGAGCCCCTTCTGGTTGATATCAATAACTTGTGAGTGATGCGAGAGACTGAGGACCTGTAACTCTGGCAGCTGTTGACCAGCCATTGAGGAGGAATGATGGGATTTGAGTTTGGATGGGGCTCAGAGACAGACAGTTGAGGTTTGGAAGAAACCTGGCGGTACCCGAAAGGTGCCCACAACAGCTCAGCAAAGGTCACAGGGTGTGAGTATATTTAAGGTCATGGAGCAAAGGAAACCTATTTGAACTTGTTTAACTTCACACTGCTAGATCTCACATAGATCCTAACTATCTACATATGCAAAACATATGTAAATATATGTAAAATATATGTAAAACAGCGGGCCGAGTTTGGAGAATCAGACTAAGTAAAGGATGCCCAAGTTTCTGCCTCAACTCTCTGGGCTTCAGTTCCCTAGCATAACATCTAAGGGTCAGGACACACACTTTCTTTTTGGTTTTTGGGACAGGGTCCCTTGTAGACCAGGTTATCCTCCAACTCACGGTGTAGGAGAAGCTGCCCTTGAATTCCAGATACTCTTCATCCACCTCCCAAGAGCTCAGATCATAGGCCTGTATCACCATTCCTAACTAAGAGACACATTTTATATGGTTTCTTTGAAGCCTAAGATTTTAGGTCTTTGGAGCATGTTCTCAAATGCACACTGCTGATTGGCCGTGCTTTGGAGTTCACTAGTCCTATGAGAGAATAAACTCTGGACTGTAAACAATGTCTCTAAGATGAGAAGCAAGATGTTTATACTAGCCAGAAGAACGAGGAAGTATACTTGAAAGATGGAATGGATACAAGTCCTAGCAATGGGTTCTGCTATTCACATATGCACATGCACAGGGTGCACGTATGCATGTGTATACATATGTGTTTAGGGTTCCCCTCCCCCTCAAGGTACCAGGATAAACACCAGCTGACACAAACCTCAGCCACCACTGTTTTGAATCCTGCTTTGACTCATTACATGGTCTTCCTTCCCCTCTAAGCACTGACTCTGGCCACACCTCTGGTTGCTTACCCACTGCCAGAAGCCTGGCTTACTTGCCCGCATGGACAATCATCTGTCTTCTAGGATTTGTCTACCCAGGTTTCTCATGCATCAAACTATAAATGCTCAGAATTCTTTTTGAAAAGAACAGAAAACCAATTATATGTAGTGACAAGGAAGTTAGAAAATCATTACAGACAAAAGGTTTGGGGAGTTCTGAAGCAATTCTGTCACATAGATTGCAACCTGGGAAGAATGGGACAGAAAGGATCATGCCAAATAAGCTGGAATGTCACTCTAATTGTTTTTAAAATGTAAAAAGTTAGGAATGCATGATGTTCCTTGTTTCTATTCACTCTCATTTCCTTTAGATAATACATGAAGTCCTAAGAGACTGGACAGTCCCCGCCTCTGATCACCTCTTCTTTAACTCACTTGACCTTTACAGGAGGGTGGAAGGGAGGGCAGCTCTGTCTGTGTGCATCTCACAGCGCTTAGAAACCACATTTATAAAAATACGTAGCATGCTTTGAATGGACACCATCCAAACCCTTCCCACTGTCTTTTTCCCTCTAAGCCTGCTTTAATCACTTCAGTAATAAGACAGAGCCGATCAATAGTCCCAATCAAAAATATCTTCTCCATCTAAATAAAAGTCTGAGCGATGGATTCAAAGACAGAAATGTCGTCACAATGATTCCTGGCAAGCACAGCCATGCTTCCAACAAAACTCAAATCAATGTTATCGGAAAATATTTACTGCCCAAAACTATAAAAGAAAGAGACAAGAGAGAGACAGAGACAGAGATGGAGTAAAAAAAATATAAAAAAGCTTTTAAAATTCTTCTAGGGACCAGTTATAATAACCTGTTAGGGGGCTCAGTGGTTAAGAGTGTTGCTTTCTGCTCTGTTAAAATGAGCTGAGTTTGGATCCCAGCACCTAGATCAGTTGGCTTTCAAACCCCTATAACCCCACTTTCAAGGGACTCTGCATCCACAGACCCCTGCACATGCACACGAGTACACGCGCGCGCGCGCACACACACACACACACACACACACACACACACACACACTCTCAGATAGATAGACATAAATAATAAAAATAAGTCCTAAAATATATCTCAAGAAAGTTCCTCCAGAATCCAAAACGACATGTAGGGAACATCAGTGAAAGCTGTGAAAATTGTGTCTTCACATTCTACCAGAACAACTCGCCCAAAATAGGTCTCAGTAAATATTTCCCATCTATCTCTCCATCGATTGACCTGTCTATCTGTGAGAGGTTGTGCATGTGCTACAGCTTGCCTATGGAGGTCAGAACACAACTTTCTGAAGTTCTCTTCTACCAGGTGGGTCCTGGGACTCCAGCTCAGGGTGTCAGGTTTGGTGGCAAGCAACTTTATCCACCAAGACATTTCACCGGCGTTCAATAAATGTTTGGTGAATGAAGGGCTTGCTTTTGCTATAGCAGGTACTTTGTTTGCCTTTGTCTTATGAGCTAGGCTCTCACTACTGGAACAGCTGGGCCTGAGGCTCGGCCACGCTCTCCAGCACTGTCACCACAGCTTTGGATTAAACAGTTTTTTTTTTTGATCAATCATCTTTATCATGAACTAAATCGTTCCCCTCCTATGCCCTGTGTGTTCATTATGCTAAGGCTCCCACCCAGCTATTCACACCGAGCTGTGGCACGGGCTTCACTCCACCTGGGTCTTACTCATAAGAGTTGATCTCTGACCTCCCTCCCCCGTGCTACTGTTCAACTTTGGCACTGCTCTTCACCTTACACAGTGCGATGTTACGTGTGATGAGAGGACGGACAGCGCTGGTAGTAGAATAACACAAAATGCAGATTTAGGAAAATGTCCCGTTACAAAAGAAGAAAGCATGTTGCTACAGAATCAAAATGACCTTTCTGTAATCCAGACTTAGAAAAATGATTTGAAGTCCACGCTGGCTACTTTGATGTCAACTTGACACAAGCTACAGTCACCTGAAAGGAGGGAACCTCAAGTGAGAAAAATGTCTCCAGAAGATCTGGCTCTAAGGCATTTTCTAAATTAGAGACCGAGGGGGGAGGACCTAGCCCTTTGTGGGCGGTGCCATTCCTTGGCTCCAGTGGTCCTGGGTTCTATAAGAAAGCAGGCTTTGCAGTCCTTGAAGAGCAAGCCAGGTAGCAGCAGCCCGCCATGGCCTCTGCATCAGATCCAGTCTCTAGGCTCCTGCCCGGCTGTGAGTTTCTGTCCTGGCTTCCTTGAGTGATGGACTCCAATGTGAAGGGTAGACCAAATTAACCCTTTCCTCCCCAGCTTGCTTTTTTGGTCATGGTGTTTCATCACAGCAGTAGAAACTCTAACTAAGATAAAGTCTTAAATTCTTCTACTATGAAAAACAAAACACTCTTTTCAGGGAACTGTCATACATTCTCAGTAATTCTTATCATTTGAGATTCAACTGAAGCCTAAAAAAATTAAAAGCCATTCTTGAATGATGATTTTCCTGCAGTTTTCAATATATTCTATTGATCCGGGTGTCATAGTAAGGATAGGCTGGAGAAATTTGTTTACAGGTGATTAGGCAGCTTGACACGCTTGGGGGTGATTAGCCCCTTCAGCAATGCCATGTGTTTGCTCTCCACAGGGTTGAGCTCTTGCTGAACCATTGTTAGCATCATGGGACAAGCCAGGTGTGCTATGCAGGCCTTTGGTCCCGGTACCATGAGGCAGAGGTGCTGAGGAGCTGAGACGTGCTGGGTTTCACCCTAGATGAGAAAATGGAAGCCCCACATTCTGGAAAAAGGTCCCACATCAAAACCAAAGGGGTAAATGGAGAGTGATACAGGTCTTCCGTACACATATAGAGGGGCGTGCACCTCCATACCACACACACACACACTCACACACAATGTATATGTGTGTATGTATGAACACATACATATGTTCAGGACACACACGTACATACCTATAAATAAATAAATAAATAAATAAATAAACAAACAAATAAAATTGTAAAACCTCTTATAAGTGTTATAAACAACATTTTAAAAGAGAAGAAAAGAGCTACAGGAAAACACACTTCTTCTTTCTCCTTAAGAGATTGAGGAGCCCAGCACTGGTGTTTCTCGCTGATGACCCGGCAGCGGCCCCAGCTGTATTTGCACTAAAGCATTAACAAAGGAGAGAAAGGAGCCTATTCCTTTGCAACAGTCTCTGATTTCATTTACAAAATTGACCAAATGGGGGAAAAAATAAGCTCTTGGCTATATATTTAAAAAAAAAAAACTGGGGAAGTGGCTAAAGCGCATTTTCTTTCTTTTGCCTTTTCTAATTTGCCTTTGTGCTCCTGACCCTCGAAACTGTATCTGATTACACATCGGTGAGAATAATCAACCTAAATTGATGACTGACATTTGAACAGACTGAACAGTAGCATTTCACCACAGAAATCTGGACCATTTTCTGAGGGCTCTTTTGACAAGTGAGCTTCACAAATAGCCAGTCCTTTGAGGACTTAATTAGCAAATCAGAATGCTTGATTTGAGACTCTTTGGAAAGAGGCACACCTCTTTACTCTCAGACTCGGTGTCTAGAGAGCGCAATCACAGCACTTACCGTGCTTGTTTCCCGGGCTCCCCCCAACTCGCCCACTGCTGCCAACTCCTGAGTGGGCTTGGGCACCTCAGAAGTGGCCGGCATCTCTTCACCTGGCAGAGAAAACTTTACATATTTTTCTGTCGAGATTTTGGATTTAAGGATGCTGTTGAGACCGTTTTCAGACTCCTGCTTGGCAGATTCAATTCTGTTTTCCAAATCCTTTTGTTTAGACTTAAGTGATTTTATGTCATCTTTAATAATCTTCTGTCCCACTGAAGATGTATTCTGCTTGATGGATTTTGCTAATGCAGAAGCCTTCTTTAATGCGCCGCCCTGGAAACGGAGTCTGTTCTCCAGTCCCTGGGAGTAGAACAGAGTGTGTTATAGCAAGTATCGCCATTCGGGCCTCAGAAGAGTGGGGTGACTTTTTGTAAATCATAAAGTATCCTGCTTGACTAATACAAAACGTATATTATAAAAATGAAAGTGTTAATACTTCAGAGAAGAAACTTTGGGGAAAAACTTAAACCACTGTGGTATCCCACATCAAATTTTCTAATAGAAGTTTCAAGTTCTCATAAGAACTAGGAAATCTGTACCAAGTAATGAGGAAATCATTGTACAGGCTGCCAGTAGGCACTTGCTGGGTATATTTCACTTAAGATACATACAGCTTCCTGAGATGGAGAGATGGCTCAGTGGTTACAATAAAACCGCTGACTGTTCTTCCAAAGGACCTGGGTGTATTTCCTAGCCTCCACATGGCTACTCACTACTGTCTAATTTCAGTCCCAGGATTTCCAACGCCCTCTTCTGGTCTCTATGGGGACTGCATATACATGGTACACAGCCACATGCAGGCTATATAAAGTAAAAATAGGTCAATCACCAGATGTGGTGGCATATGCCTTTAATCCTAGCAATAGAGAGGCAGAAGCAGGTGTATCTCTGTGAGTTCAAGGCCAGCCTGGTCTATGTACAAGTTCTAGGCCAGGTGGAGCTACATAGTTAGACGCTCTCCCTCCCTGCTCCCATGCCCCAAATATGGTCATGCACACCTATTATAACCCTAACACTTGGGAGGTTGAGGGAAGAAATCACAAGTTCAAGGCCAGCCTAGACTGCATAGTGAGACATTGTCTCAAAAGGAAGATTCAGGCAATTCCTATTTGCCCAAGCTGGAGAATGCAAATGGGTTCACTTCCTCGAGGTCATGCTATGCTGCCTTCATCCTCCAGCTTCTCAGAATCCCCTGGAATTATGTTGTTTAGGAAATGAAGATAATGAGGAGTGTCAGGCTAGTCATAGGTAGAACTGTCTCTTCTAAGGGCCTACTGAATCACTGTTCAAATGGCTTGACCAATGGACTTGACCACTAGAGAAGCATGCCTCCCTCCATTTTTTTTTCCCAAAGTGCTGAGACCTTTCTAAATAGCACTTGAATTTCTTTGCTCAAAGTTACTGAAAAGTCAAAGTTGTCAAGAATATGATTTTCCCCCAAAATGTGTATTATATTTGGACATAGCTCAATACCTGTAATTTCTGTATTTTCTCCTTAGCCATTATTTGGTTCTTAGCTCCACCACAAAGACTGAAATATTCCTTGGAGATATCATCCAGTGTGGTGTTTAGGTCTGTGAGGCAAACCTGGTATGAACTGTGTTCTTGAACGTGACCCTCTAATTTTTGCACAGAATCCTAAAAAATAAAACCAGACAACTAAATATATTTAAGGTTTTTTTTCACTCACTCAGAAAGTAATTATATAATTCACACAGACTTACTTTACAAGATTTCATATTGAAACAAGAACATGCCCATAACTGACCCAGAATTGTTAGTCTTTAATATGTCACTACAAAGTCTCCATCTCCTGATAAAAATTACTTAATAAAACATTTGCTCTTCGCATCCTTCCTTACTTTAATTCTTTCCTAAATGGAATTTGTCAAGAGAATTATAAAACAAAATGACTACAAATTATATCACTAAATCACAAACATTAATAAGTAAGGTTTTATTTGTTGCTTTAAAACAAAGAGTATGCATCTCAAAAATGACACTATGAGAAAGCAACCTAACTCCAGGATCCTCTCCTAAGAAAAAAAAGCAAATTTGTGTTAGGAAGAAGTAGTCATAACTCAAAAGCAAACCATGTTCAGGTTATCTCCCTGGGCTACGGAAGGAAGAGGACCATACCTTATTAGACATCAGCAGAAGTGACCTAAAGACGATTCAATCACATAGACATCCAAACCTTTGCCTGCCTCCCAGAATTTGTATAATCTGGATTTCGTGATCAGGTAATCCTTATACTGAAGCTGGCTTTCAATGTTTAAGAAATTGAAATTAGTTTTACTGACAGAATGGACTCTTATGACAAGGGGACAATTTATCCCAACTCATTCAATTACAGATTGTATGGCAAGATCCAAGGGAGGAACATGACAATTTATATAAATTATTACTCTAGATGGATGAGTGGGTGGGTGAATGATATATGACTGAGCATATCAGTGGTTGGTGGGTAGGTGGATGAGTGGATGCATTTGCTTACAGATAAATTTGACAAGTGGGTGAGTGGATGAATAGATGCATGGATGGGGAAGTAGATGAGTGGATGGATAAATGATAGATAGGGAGATGAGTTAGTGGATGGATGGATGCATGGATGCATGGATGCACAGATGAAGGCATGGATGCATGGATGCATGGATGGATGGATGGATAGATGCATGTGTGTATGTATGGATAGATGCATGCATAGATGTATAGATAGATGCATGTATGTATGTATGTATGTATGGATGGATGGATGAATGGATGGGTGGATGAATGGATGGGTGGATGAATGGATAGGTAGATAGATGAGTAGATGGATAAATGGGTAGATAGGGGGATGAGTTAATGAATGGATGGATGGATGGATGGATGGATGGATGGATGGACACATGGATGGAAGCATGGATGGATGGATGGATGGATGGATGGATGGATGGATGGACAGATGGATAGATGCATGAACGCATGGATGGAAGCATGGATGGATGGATAGATGCATGTATGTATGTATGGATGGATGGATGGATGGATGGGAAGATAGATGAGTGGATGGATAAAGAGTAGATAAGGAGATGAGTTAGTGGATGGATGGATACATGGATGGATGCATGGATGGATGGAAGGATCGATGGATGCATGCATGCATGGGTACATGGATGGATGGATAGCTGGAGGGATCAGTGTATGTATGGATGTAAGGATGGATGTATGTATGAATGGATATATGAATGGATGGATGGATGTATGTATGGATGGATGAATGGATGGATGCATGGATGGATGCATGGATGGGTGAATAATACTCACATAGCCATCTTCATAGAGATGCCTAAGGAACTTGAAGCTATCTAACTACTGAAAAGGGGAATTTCAACAAGACGAAATACCATAATCAACACACAATGGCTTTCTCTATTAAAAGTAGTTGGGGGAGATTCCTCCCTTCTTGGGAGTTGGTATTTTCATGTACAACTGAAACCCATTGAAAGCCTTTGGTTCAGCAAAAGAACAACCTCCAAGCACTAGTTCTGCAAAAGAATCTCTTGTCTTGGCTGTCATGGGCACAGTCAAGGCCCAGTCCCTGTCGTACAGATTTCCTCTGCCCATGTGTCTCACCTGGAGCTGCTGGAGAAGGCTCTCATGCAGGTGCTTCACTTCCAGCCATGGCTCCTCGCTGAAGCTAGGATTTTTAGTGCACTCCAAGAGGTAATTCCCCTGAGATTTTAGCTCCTCTAGCAAGGATGTCAAATCTTGGGTTTTCTGGAGGAATTTCTTATAAATTTTTAACTGGGCTTGCTTCTCTGGCAACCCAGGCTGTAGAGCAAAGCCTGATTCTTGCTGCTTCTTCAGTTCTGTGAGCATCAGTCTCAGGTCCTCCTTACTCTGCAGATACTTCTCTCCTTCTAGTACAAGCTTTTCTTGATGGCTAAATGTTGCAAAAAGAGTTTACAAAAGGAACGTCACTAAGCAAAATGAAGGGGTACTTTGTATACTCTATTCAACATACATTATTTATAAGTGGCATTAAAGTGATATCAATGCATGTTATTTCCAAGGACCCTGGTTAACACTCCAACCCTTTAAACAGTACTAAATGTAACTCAGAAATTACTTGAGTATTACTTATAATTTTCGTTACATAATTAGTGTTTGTCATAAAACAATGTTTTACTTTCAAACTAGTCCAAGCAATGTTTATTATACTTCAATATACTATAACGCCCTACTTTACACTTATATAAAACTAAAACAAGTGGCCGGAGAGAGTGAGGGCAGGTCAAGTGCCTCCTTGGCAAGCACGAAGACCTGAATTCAATCCATAGGGCCTAATGTCTAAAAAGAGAGGGGAGAAGGGAAGGAAGGGGGTGAGAGAGAAAGAAAGAGGGGAGGAAAGAGGGAGGGAGGGAAGGAGGGAAGGAAGGAAAAAGGAAAGAAAGAAGGAGGGAGAGAGAGAGAAAGAAAGAGAGAGGGAGGAGGGATGGAGAGAAGGAGACAAGGAGGGAAGGAGGAAGGAAGGAAGAAGGAAAGAAAGAAGGAGAGAGAGAGAGAGAGAGAGAGAGAGAGAGAGAGAGAGAGAGAGAGAGAGAGAAACTCAAGTGTGGCAGCACAGACTTACAAGCACTGTGTGTGAGAGGAGGAAGCAGGTGGATGCCTCTGGCTCACTGGCCAGCCAGCCTACTTGACAATTCCAGGCCAGTGAGAAACCCTGTCTCAAAGACAAGGTAGATGTGCCCAAGCCCACCATCTGAAGTCTACCTCTGGCCTCCACACATATGCATGCATGCATAAACACACACACACATACACACACACACACACACACACACACACACAAGCATAAACAAACATGCACACACAAAGTGTTCAATTTGGATTCATTTCCAAATAAGAAATGCACTACATATGATATGCTAGTAACCAAAGGTTCAGGAACCATTACAGGAAAGGAAACAGAGTGTAAGAGCCAGTAGTCAAGTTGGGCCAAATGAAACAGCTTCTTCTGGACATGACAAGCCTCTGACACACTTGAGCTCATGGCAGCCATGGTTGCCAGCACAAGATCAAGTCAGGTCAGAGTCTAGCATAAAAAGTGGAGGGGCTTATGGGCCCCACCCCTAACTGAAGGGTATTGACAGCTAATGGTTGTTAGGAAGGGAGAGTCAGTTTTCTGCAGGGTGTAGTTCCTGATAGGTGTACCTCACTCCAGTGGATGACCTCAGATCTATGAGCATGTGGGTGGCACAAGAACTCTAGAGGTTACTTTTTTAAAAAAGAAAAAAAAAACCCACAAAATTGAGAGAAGATGTGCAGGTGAAGGGTAGATCTGGGAGGAATAGGTCAGTATAATTAAAATGCAATACATAAAACCCTCCAAGAACTAATAAAAACATGATATAGTGTTTTAAAAGATATGCTATGAAGAAGAATCTTCACAAGAGAAAATAGTTATACGGCTCAAAGGGTAAAGGGGCTTGCAGCCAAGCTTGATGACTCAAGTTCAATCTCCAGGATCCACAAGGTCGAAAGAGCGACTTGGCTACAAGGTATCCTCTAACTTCCACATGTGTGTTGTGGCACATACATCTCAGCACTCACACATACACATCACATACACACACACACACACACACACACACACACACACACACACCATTTTCAACAAAAAGAGAATCTTCACAGAAATATGTTTATAGAAGTCATCCTATATGTTTACACCTAAGGATTTCTTAGGCTAAGATTTAAAAGGATTCATTATTCCACAGTCTCCCTCGTGGATACTATCAAAGGACGGCATTAGCACAAGAGCAGGGAGGAAAGACAAAATGAGTCTGTTGCTAAGAGCCCCACGGGCTTCAGCCACCCTAAACAGGGCCACAGAGACTACCAAGCCATCTCTTGGCTCTTCTGGAGATCTACCCCACGGTGGCCACCCCTCATAGACTTCTCGCCTGTAGACATCTTATCCAAACACTTACTATGTTTTTAATGGGCAAGGAAAGCAGCCAGCTTTTACCTTAGGTATGTGTTGGCTAGATGGAGCGTGTTGTCCCACTGGTTGCCGAGGTCCGTCAGGGTCTCCTGAGCCAGCGGGGTCTCGCAGTGCTCTGCTTGTCTCATCACGATCTGGATTTTAGCATCCCCTTCCGGTTTCAGGGCAATGATTTCCTGGAATTAAGAAGGTTCTATAACTTCTGAATTACTCCCAGATATCAGATATTAAATCGCTTTTGTCTGACTTATACCATGATGCTATTTCATAATAATCCTTTCAATGATGAAGACACCTCCCCCTTCACAGTGTACACAGTTGATTCTTAATAAAGGAGTGTTGGTTTGAACTAACTGTATTCCTGCTCACCCTTGATTTTCAAAAATCCTGACAAACTCTCCTTCCTGGCCACTCTTAACATTGATACGTTTACATATCTAAAACGGTCATGTGTGGTCCTTCCTGTGAGCTCTGTTCCCCAGGGCTAGTTCCCAGCTCCCTTCCCTTCTTTGCTCTGTTAAAACTCAGCTCTTGTCTTGGAAGCAACCACTCAGGACTCACACTGTCTGGAGAAACCATGTCTGGAGACTTGTGGCAGTGATTCTGAACACTCATTCTTAGCAACCCTTGTAGCTCACTCCTCATCGACGCTTCCTGCCATGATCCCCAACAGATGGGATTCCAGTACACACCCTCATGCTATCCCTGCAGTTTTTAACAAGTCATGTTTAGTGATTCTCTCTTGGATGATGTCACAGCTCTAGAGAATCCCCTGCCTCACCCCATACACACTGTGCAGCCAGCAATGCTTCCTGAGCAGAGTTACCTACTCCCAAGATTCCTCTCTACCCCTGCCCTTCACGTTGTAAGTCTTCAGCTCTCCTGACAGAGATGATTTTGTACCCTCCCAGACTCCTGCTGTGAGGTAAGTAGGACCTTTATTTCTACCTGCCACAAGGGATGGTGAATAACTGGCCACTGCCCTCTTGGAAGAGAAGAACGTATTTTTTCTTTTTCATATGCATTAAATTAATTTTAGGCCATCACCACCCTTCTTTTTTGTAAGCTCAGCGATTTGAATTTCTTCAACCACCCCACACTGATCTTATTTTCTATTAAGAAAGAAATCTTTGCAGTTCTCCTCTGAAGATTTTCAAAATGAGAGTTCACTCTGACCTCTCAAATTTGGTTTCCACGGTTATACCTTTATTTTTTGGATTCTTTCTTCGAGTGGCATTTTGCCTTCTGATGAATTCAAAGCCATAAGGGACTCTTTAATCTCTTTTATCCAGTGAATTACATCATGGGCAAGATCATTAAAGCTCTGGTCTTCAGCAGTTGGTGGCTTCTCTTCCTCAATTTCATGTAATTGTCTCAATAAAGCCTGGTATCTATCAATCAGATGTGTGGATTCTTTGATAGTCTCCTCTTCCTCGGTGAGCCCATGCTCCTTCAGAGAGTCACTCAGCTGGGCCACAGTCTCAAACTGCTCCCTGTAATTTCCAAATACCATTGACAGTTTATTGGAGCCCAGTGAAGAAAGCACACTCCCAAATGCATTTCAGTGAAGAGTGCCATACCTCTTCCTAGTTAACACTGGAGAAAACAGATCCATTCTCTCGCCAGACGCTTCCATGTCTTTCCAATTCTCCTCTTGATTAGTCAACCACTTACTTAGGCTTCTGCAATCGTCTTCCAATCTACAAGGCCAGTTCCCAGATGAGAACACAATATAAGAAAAATGACTGGGCAGAAACCAGAGGGTGATACAAGCAACTAGATTTTTACTGCTTATTTAAAACAAACAAATACCTTAACTTGATACATATCCATACTTAAATAATTATTGCCTATATTCATGAAGGCAAAGAAGCAAACAAATGCAGGAAATTGACCAGCCAAGAAACAATGTTTGGACTCTCCTCTGAACCACTGCCACTTTAGATAGCTTGACGAACTCCCTAAAGTTTTGTATTTCCAGCACAGAACCTGGATTTAGAAGTTACAGTCAGTGTCTCAGCTCAAAGGTAGAATGCTTGTTGTGAGGCCTTAGCTGTTATACCAATGGGGGGGAGGCAAAGAGGGGCTGGAGATTTGGTACAACAGTTAAGAGCCCTTGCTTTTTCAAAGGAGCTGGGTTCAGTTCCCAGCATTCACGTGGCAGCTTATAAACATCTATAACTCCAGTTCCTGCAGAGCTGACACCCTCTTCAGACCTCACTGGGCACCAGGCACACACGTGGTGCACAAGCGTACATGTAGGCAAACATTCATATGCATAAAAATCAGTATTTTTAAATGTATACTTTTGTATGAGTGAGATCCAAATCCATGGATTACAATGACAAGAGATCAAAATCATTTGACAACAAAGTGTATCTGTACTGAAATATACATACAGCCTTTGTTCTTTCTTGTCCACAATCCTTAAATATACAGTACAACAACTATCTATATAGCATTTACATTGGCATCAGCTGTTATAAGAAATCTACAGATGGTTTAAAATAAAGTATATGGATGAATGTGCATCAAGTATTGTAAATATTATGCAATTTACAGAAAGGAACATCCACAGAACCCTCCAACCAGTTCCTAAAAGATAGCAAGGAACAACTGCATCTATTTCACTTGGGAAATTAGGACACATGGACTATCTCAGCATGGGTAGCCTATGTGTCGTGAACTGGAAAGCACTACAATAGCCCACCTCAGTAGCTGCTGAAAGGAGTTATTCAGTTCCTCTGCTCTGGCCTGGCATATGGATTCCATGTTTTCTAATTCCAGTTCTTGACTCCTGAGCCAGCCGTCAAGCTCTTTCACGTGAGCTTTGGGTAGGAGCATCTTCACGTGCTGTAGAACGGTCTCCACCTGCTGTATTTTACTATTTCCTCCTCCAAGAGTCAAGAAATCCTTAAGAAATACAAAACGTCAGTTACAGCTACAGTAAAGTCAAAATGTGTCTGCCACACCCTTGGCCTAGGACGACATGGCTGACTCCAGTGATAGATTATTTCCAATAGTTCCAGAAGGGAGGCGTTTGTGGGTGTGTGGGGTGTGTGTGTGTATGTATCTGTGTGGTGTGTGTGTGTGTTTATGTCTGTGTCTGTGTTTGCATCTGACTTTCTGAGGTCTACATCAAGCAAAAAATAATGCAATACCACTATGACACCACATGGGAACAAGATGGCGAGAGCTAACATCTCCTCTCCTGGTGATGCCTCAGTCCTCATAAATACTTTCTTCATTCTCCTTCTGGCAATCCACATGTGAAACCGAACAGATTATCTTTATTTACCTTTGCCCAGATCCCCCCATCCCAGTGTTCATGTTTCAAGGTCTGGGTATCAATTTCTGAGACCCATGAAATGAACAAATGTAAAAACGAGCAGAATTGATGCAATGCTATGTTCTGAAACCCAGTGCTGGTGACCAATTAAATACAGATAGCGATATGGTATGAGGCTTGCACAAGCGCCTTTCCAAGGACACAGGACATCACTAGAGGGAATTGGAGCCCCATCAAGTAATGCATGAAATAGGACAGCAATAGTCGCAAGGGAGAACGTGTACAAGATATATGGAAACATCATATATATATATATACACACACACATATATATGTATATACACATACACACATATATATGTATATATATGATATGGTATATGAATGATATATATATGATATATACATCATTGTATATAAAGGACCTGAGTATCCATGAACATTGCTATCCCTGAGGCTGGGGGAAAGGGGAAGTGCTTGGAGCTACCAATAACCTTAAGAACATAATGTACTATCTAAACAAAGTCAGAAGCCCCAGCTATTGGAGTCAGAGGTGAGAGAATCAATTAAATACAGGAACTCAGGGACAGCCCAGACAATGTAGTGAGACTTCTCATAATCATTTTAGTCTTGATAAGTTTTTGGCATCTGTGTCTTACAGAAAGTTTCTGCAGCTTTTGTTCCATGCTCAATTTTGTTTCCGGTGGTTCAAAACACTCCTTAAGATTCGTTTTGATGTTGCTGAACCAATCATTGAAGTTCTTACACTGCTCTGCAGAAGAAAAGAAAAAACTTCCATGTATCCAGACAGTAGTTCATATACTTGATACACGAGAGACTAGGAACTTGCTTCCCACAGTGGTGAGCAAAGCCACAACATGTTCTCAAACCCAGTGCTGAGGACCAGTGGAGAACAGAGAGTAATCTGGTGTACTGTTTATACAAACGCCTTTCTAAGCACACAGGACATCCAAAGACATCAGCAGAGGCAGCGTGCTCACAGACACACACACACACTGACCACATTGGTCCCAGTGACCACAAAATAAAGATTTAAGGCTTGAAAAAAGGGATATTAATTATATCAGACATTAACAGTGTTTCCCCTCAAGGGATTTATTCAAATATTATTCCTTTAAACACGGTCTGTGCAAGCTAGCTGGAAGTCGAGTTTAGACCAGCCTTTGGGCCCACAGCGCTATTTCCATATTCATATTTCAAGACTGTCAGAAACAAAGTTCGAGACACATCATGCTCACCATTCAAGAACGTGGCGAAGTGATCCTGCAGAGCGTTCCTTTTGGTATTAAATAAATTGCTGACACTTGCGTACTGTCTCTTGAGTTCGGAGAGCTCTGGAGTCAGGCATCCAATTTGATTTTCCAGGATCGTCATGCTGTGCTTCTGCTGGAAGATTTGCTGCTGGATTTCCTGTACACAGAATAAACCGGTCACTGCATCCTGAAACTGACTCACTTCCCCTAAAGCTCATGAGCTCCTAATTACATACATGTCTGTATGTACATGTATGTACTGGCTCATACATACATGTGTGTGCCAGTGCGTGTGGAAGCCAGAGGTCAACCTCAGATGCCTTCCTTGATTATTTTCCACATTATTATTATTATTAATTTACTTTTATTGAGATCACTGAACTTGTAGCTCACTGTAGCTGGCCAGTGACTCCCTTTCTCAGCCTCCCCTGTACTAAGGCTGCCATGTTTGGCTTTAAAAAAAAAAAAACTATGGATGCTAGGGATCTGGGATCTGAACCTGGGTCCTCCTGCTTACACAGCAAGGGCACTGACCACTGAGCCATCTCCCTGGCTACAGAGATTTTCACTATTTTTGTAAGCCCAAACAATGTTCAGTTGAGTAACTCTGCTTTCTACTTCATAGCCAACTTATAGTACAATACCATTTACGTTTTTACACTTATTTATCTGATACAGGTGTGTTGTTTGATGCGTGTGTGTTGTAGACATATGCAAAATGTCACATGGATTCAAGAGAGGACTGAACTCAGGCCATCAGGCTTGGGGCACTCCTGAGCTATCTCCCTTCTGAGCTATCTCACTGGCCCACAGTACTTACCCTCAGCTCCCTTTCCCTGATTTTCACTAACTACACAAGGCCAAAATCACCAAAAGTATGTGTTAGAGAAATCTCAGTGGTAGGAAGGAGCTCTTGCCTAACATGAAGTAGGTCTAATCACTAGTACCACCAATATATATTTTAAAGTAATAAAAAAAGAGTGTAAACATAGGTCTGAGCACAGGACGTGGGCAACTGGGTGGTACCTCAAGCTTCGTGAAGATCTCCAGGCTATCAGAGGGAGACAAGGCGTTGAGGAGGGACTCCGTCATCCCCATCTGGGTCTTGGCCTGGTCCAGATCGTCTCTTAGCTCAGCTGTGTTTCCACTGGGCACATAGCTATTAGATTCTCCTGTAACATGTGTTTTTACATTTTTCATCTTGCTCAGGACAGAGGACTCCATGACCTGAAATCACCAAATGTAGGACACAACACAAGCAGTAAGGAGCCTGTGTCGGCATACCTCAGACAATACTCCAGAATAAATTGCCAATGCTTCCTCTCAGGGTGAAGAAGATTCTTATCACATTGTTCTATATCGCTGCCTTAAAAGAAACAAGAACTAAGGCTGGATGTAGTGGCACACACATGTGACCCCTGCATTTGGGAGGCAGAGTTAAGCAGATCTTCAAATCTAGCCTGGTCTCCAGCAAGGTGTACACAGAGAAACCTTGTCTCAAAAAGGAAGAAAGAAAGGAAGGAAGGAAGGAAGGAAGGAAGGAAGGAAGGAAGGAAGGAAGGAAGGAAGAAAGAGAGAGAGAGAGAGAGAGAAAGAAGAGCTATATTTTAAAAAAACAGAAATTAACATTTTCTAAGACAGTAATTGGAATCCTTCTTCCCAAATAAATTGTATCTAGCGTGCAAATTGAAATATTATGGCGCTCATGAGAGAAACCTATTTCCAAACGCATAAATGAGATTACAATTCATAGGGAACATTAGTAGCCTTGTTTCGTTTAGAGACAGGATCTCACTAGTCTCCAACTCATGATCCTCCTGCCTCAGCCTCCCCAGTGTTGGGATTCCAGGCATGCACCACTTCACTGGCTAACACTGATGACTTTTTTTTAATGTGTTCAGTAGGAGGTATGAGCACTTCACATGCAGACTGAAGAAGTCTGAGTAACTTTCCCAGGATCACAAATCTAGTAAGTCATACAGATAAGGTGCCATCCAAGGGACCTGCCCAGGAGCTTGTGTATAAACACTACATCCCTTCATCCAGATGACATTGAGAGAAATCTCTGCATGTAGCAGAAAAAATTATCCTTGAGGCAATTTCAGTGACCTTACTCAAGACAGATTCTCCTCCCAACACACACATCGGAAACCACTGTGGCTTCATGTCACAGCCATGTGGCTTCAATCATAGCCAGCATCGATCCTCCACACGGCAGGCATGTAAGGAAGTACAGAGAGAAAAAGATACACACGCATAATATTATCACACTAAATGTGGTCCACACGACTGCCTATGCAGATTCTTAAATTTACAATTGAACACAAATAAGTAATCATTCTAATTTTACTTTCTACTTAAATTTAGAATGTGTGGATTATAGATGCCATTTTGGAGGGGATAGACAATCTTCCACTGAGACCTGAATCAAAATTTCCATACCTGCAGTTCAAGTGGTTTTTCATTACTCTGAAGGAGCAACTGTATGTCAGCCACTCTTCTAGAAAATTCTGCAGTTTGTTCTTCGTGGACTTTTAACTCTTCCTAAAATAGAAGGTTTTAAAGAGAAATATCTTTATTTCATCTTTCTTTGGGGGACCTATGATTATTTTTGTTGATATACAAAAACTTGAAGGTACCCTTGAATCCTTCCTAATACTTTGTTTTCCTAATGGTCTGAAGAATAATAAATCCAAATGCCTTAGAGGTAAGGCCAATGACAGCCAAGGGAAGAATCTCCTCTCAAGACTATAGGTCTTGAGGCTGCATGCATGGCTGAAAAACATGGCCAATGTCTTGGCTATGCAAATACAAATTCTAAATGAGCATGTGCACTCTTGGAATCTGGCCCATAGGCTGGCTGTTTATAGTTCTTGACTTCATATTTTTAAATAACCTATAATTTAAGATGCATCTAAAAGACCCTTAGAGATGACCGATTTTATACCCATCCTAATGGTCCAGGAAACTGGAAACCAACCATTTTAAAAACTTTTCCCAACATGTAGAAAAATACATTAATTAAAATTTGAATAAAATGCAATAAGTTGAGAGACAGTGAGATTGGAAGTTTTAGATAAATACATACCCATAGTTTTAGATTATACTGAGGCACATTTAACCGCCAGTATTTAGATGTTTTCTGATGTACAAAGGCCTTGCACAAATTGATGAAATTAAACAAATAATCGGCTAGAAAGAGTTCTCAATTGTTGCGTTGACATTGAACTCAGAGCCTCAGGCATGCTAAAGAGGCACTGTACCTCTGAACTTCACCCAGCTACAAGAGAAACAACTCTTTCTACATCAAAAGAGGGAACTCAGACTCTTTCCAAATGCCAAATTGAGAGCACTGTTTAAAAAAAAATCAGCTTTCTTCGTGTCGAAACCGTTCTTTACCCAAGGTCAGTGCACCCATAAAGCCCTTGGTTGTCTGTGAACCCCAAACAGCACATGAAAATATTTCCTGGATTTCACAGAGCGATCAATGGAGTTGAGAGCCCTCTCAGGGGAAAGCGAAAAATATACATTGTTTCATTGCAATTATCCTACCCTGATGCAAAAAGGCAAAGGCAATGTTAAGGTTGTTAACACTTTGGCTAAGCTGTAGCCAAGGCACCTTTCTTCTCAGGGTTGAGTTACCTTCAGCCTTTCTCTGTCCTCTTCAGTCAGCTCATGGGATTCTCCTTTTCCAAGGATCTTTTCAGTCCACTCGTCAACGTTGTTTTTTATGTTTAAAAGTTTGTCCCACAAGGCCAGTGCTCGCCCAAGATTTTCACCGTATTCTTCTGACTTCTCATTTACCTATAGCCAATTGTAAATAGAAAATAATAGACATGGGTCTGGAGAACAGTGTTTCATTCAATTGTTTTGAAATATTTTAATAGAAGTGAATTGTCTGATTCATCAACAAAAAAATTACTTTCGCATATCATGTTACCCTCTTAAAAAATAAATCTCAGCAGACTTGCTAGAGCATGTACATATTACAAAACAACTCTGGAAGATCACTGGGAGACCGAGGCCAGGCTGTATTATATAAGGCCTGTCTCAAGAAGGGCATGGTGGCGCATGCTCTAATCCAGGCACTGAGAATGAGGCAGGAGTCTCAATGCAAGTCTGGGGCCATCCTGGGCTTCGTAGTAAGTTAAAACCAGCCTGTGCTACATAGGAAGACCCTGTCTCAATAAATAAATATACAAATGAATCAAATGAATAAATAAATAAAATTATCTGATTAAAGAAAAAAATTCAGATAACTTAGTTTGTAACTCATATCAAATTAAACTACAAATGCATCAAATGTACAGTTATTAAGATCCTGCATAAAAGATCATGTTGACTAATTTATTTTCAATATATTGAATATAACTTTTTTTTGAGACAAAGACTCACTATGAAGCCTTGGCTGACCCTGAACTCACAGAGACCAATACGCCTTTTGACACCAAGCGCTTATATAACCAGCATATATCCTTGCCTGGCTATTTTTATTTTTTTGAGAAGGCTCTCGTGAAGTTCAGACTGGCCTTCAATTCATTATCTTTTCATTACTACTTTCCAAGTACTGAGATTATAGGTGCACACTACCATGCCTGGCCCATATATGCATACTCAAACACACACACACAAAATCTGGAAGACTAAGGTTTGTTAGTAATGTCTAGCTCTAAGATGAAATTAATTCCTAAGCTATTATATTACACTTTTTACAAAAAAAGTAAAAAAAGATTACTTTTCTTATAAAGAATAACAGCTTAAATTTTCAGTATCATAAGAATACTAAAAACATTCTCGCTAAATATCAATTTGCTATGAAGCATAATTTTTAGTTAATTAACTGGTCACATACATCAAGCCATCTATCCACAATAGCATTAGCCTCTTTTTCAAAAGGGGGGTCTTCAAAGGTTTTCATTTTATTTAGATGATATTGTAGGTTTTTACAAATCTGATTTATCTTGTCTACAACTTCTAAATGGTTGCTGAATTCTTCTTTGACAGTTTCAATCTGTTAAAAAAAAGCAAAAGATATATATTCAAAACATATAGAGAGGCAACTGAGAGAACGATTCTATTTTTTTTTATTATTCAACCCCCCCCCCCAAAAAATGATCATAAGGGCCAGCAGCATGAATGAGTGGAGATCTTTGCTGCCACGCCTCACAGCCGTGGGTTTAATCCCCAGGACCCCATAATGGAAGGACAAGTGACAGCCCTTCCACTAGTCATCCTACACGTGTGCTCTGTGGCATCTGCGTGCTCTCACTCTCTCTAAACAAATCTAAAACAAACAAAAAAAGCTCATAATGTGACTGTAGCTGTTCTGCTTTCTCAATGGATGACTGTTAGAATTCTATTATTTTAATGATAATCTTTGCTCAATTTCCCTTCTACTCTGCATTATAAAACATATAGTATCTGTTTCATATAAATCCTTGTTTCAGGGGGTTGGTACTGGAGTCAAACCCAAAGTGTCATGCATACCAGGCAAGTGTCCAACCTTCATGCCACCCTGGGTTACCTTTGGACAGACTCCTTACATATTTCAGGTTGGGCTTGAACTCATGATTGTCCTGGCGATTTTATCAGTAGAGAAACTGAGTAAAGGGTGTGAAGGGGCACTTCTTTAGGACATATGATTATATGTTAATGAAGAATTATCTCAATACAAGAAGCTTAAATTGTGAAATTGAAACCAGGCATAGTAGTACATGTTTAAATCCCAGCATTTGGGAGCCTGAGGTAAGAGGATTGCCAAGTTCAAATCTGAGCCTTACCCAGGAGAAAGTGACCATCCTTGTGAGACTCTGCTGAGTGACAAAGGGAGATCTTATCTCTAAAACCCCAAATCAAGGTGGTTAGAAAGATAGCTCAGTCAGTAGAAGTGCTCACCACATAGCCAGGAGGACCTGAGTTTGAATCCCCAGCTCCCATAATCTCAACACTGGGGAGGCAGAGACAGAGCCCTTGCTGGCCAGCTACCTCCAGAACAAATGGATCTATGGCTTCTTAAGTACATTGGAAATTAGGACAGACTCCTTATAGGTCTCAAGACCAGTGAACCTCAGAGCTGCCTCTACCAGATGGAACTAGGAAAACCGACTGACTGTAACGCCAGCTAATGGCCAACTTCATGATCGTGATAGCTTCCTTTAATTAAGTTTGATACAAAATCAGCCACACACAACTAGTCACCATTGTACAACTAATGTCACTCAGTGAGGTTGCTGTAGTATAGTCAGCTCTGTGAGACAGTCTGAGAAAATGGGTCTCAGACAAGAGCTATGACCCACAGTCTTGGTGTCGCTGAAGCACAGGGGCTGATAGCTCTGTGACTAAGTTGCTTATAAGAATCTGGTCGATTGGAGATAGGGAGATGGCTCAGTGGATAAGAGCACAGACTGCTCCTGCAGAGGACCCGGGTTCAGCTCCCAGCATCCACATGATGGTTCACAAACATCCAGTTCTAGGGGATCCAATGTCTCCTGACCTCCGTGGGCACCAGGCATGCATGTGGTACACACATATTCATGCAGAAAAAACACCCATACGAATGAAATAAGAACATCTTTAAAACTTTAAAATAAAGATTTAAAAACCTAATCTGCTTGATAGATACTTCCATTGAGTTAATCTCAAGGAATAGGAAGTTTAGGGTGTTGGAAAGTTGTCAGGATGTTGGTTTAAGTCTCAGCATCCACATGGGGATCACGACTGCTTGTAACTCTACGTCCAAGGGATCTAATGCCTCTTCTAGCCTCTACGGCAGTGGTTCTCAAGCTCCTTAACACTGTACGCCTTTAGCACAGTTCTGCATGCTGTGGTGACCCACAACTATAATTATTTTCGTTGCTACTTCCTAACTGCAATTTTGCTACTGCTATAAATCATACTGTGAATATCTGTGCTTTCTGATGGTAGTAGGTGAGCCCTGATAAAGGGTTGTTCAGTCTGCCCCCAGCCCCACCCCCACAGGGGGTTGCAACTCTCAGGTTAAGACCCACTGCTTTACAGGCACTAGGTATATAAGTGTGCACAGACATACATGTAGGCAAAGCACCCATGCACATAAAATGAACGATTAATTAAAAATCTACTTAAAGAGAAATAGGAAGTTTAATAAAACTACTTACTAATAATCAAATGCATCAAGAGGGCTACATGTCATACATGCTTGTGACAGTTTGACAGCCCTGTAGCTTAAAGCCGGTAGGAAAGGCATCATTCCGATATACAGTCATAGAGTAAATAGTACAGTGTATTCCTGTATAACCATGTAAATTCATAGAAAATAATGACATCTAGTGTCCAAACGATGTTGTTCTCCTTAGCATACAGAGCTGGGCTTAGTGAAGCCATCAACACAGTTGTCAACTGGGGGATCTGTCTGGCACATCATTACATGAAATAAATACTGGAACTGTAATGTCCTCCTTGTCTGTAAGCAACAGAGAGGGATTCCCTACCATCTCATCTCTCAGGCTTTCATGGGGGCCCATATTCCCTTTCAGTTAAAGCCCTGGGGCAAGTGTGCTTTATGGTCCTATAGATGAACAGTGGCTAACTGCAGGGCTGAAACACACAGTCCCAGTGCTAAAGCCCAAACCAAAGTAACCCACTACCAACTTGGAAACTGATCTCTTTCTGACTCTTGTGATAGATCTGATACATTCCCATATACCTAGAAAAATTGTCACTACTGAATCCTTTTAAACCAAATCCCAAGATGATTTCTTTCATAGCATCTCTTTACTGTTGGGCTCATCAGCAAGGTCACTACGCAGGATAGCTCTTCTAGGAGGGCTCACCTCGGCTAGCTTCTTCTTCAAGTTGTCCTTTCCCATGTAGGAAGCTTGCTGAGAGATGATGCCCTCTTCCTTCTGAATCAAAGCTGTCAAGTTGTTTTTAATATTCTGATATTGTCTTAACAGCTCCAGAACACTTTCACACTGTTCAAGGCTGTGTAGGAAGACAGGAGGGGAACAGCCTGAAATCACACTGCGTATGTTGTAACATCTACTCACACAGCACAAAGGGACGTTCCCCCTCCACGTGGCTTGATCACATTACCAATAATGATGATGTAGCAAATAGACTGCATAAATAAATAACCACCAGATTTATACCTTTAGTAATTGTGTTAACATGTTAACACATGTATGCTCTTGAAAGATATATGCTAACATGTGTAAGCTCTGGAGAGACACATAGGATTATATGTTAACATATGTAGGCTCTACAGGATTACATGTTAACACGTGTAAGCTCTGAAGAGCCATACAGGATTACATGTTAACACGTGTAAGCTCTGGAGAGTCATACAGGACTACATGTTGTCAAGAACAACAGTGACTCTGTGACTGGAACTCAAGTCTAAGAAGTCTTTGAGAGGCTGCCTGTGCTGTCTTCTCTCCAAAACATGTGAGCTCTGGAGAGAGATACAGGATTTACAACTCAACAGAAAAGCGTTTTCATTCATCAACTACAAGACCTGTTGAGAGACAGCCCTTCACTAGTATGATCAGAGGCTATTCTTTATTCCACTCGTTGTCAGCTCAGCCCTTTACAGAGAGTAAAATAATTCATTGAATGTGGCAGTGAACTTGGTTTCTAGTATAACCAGGTACTAATTAGTCCTAGGACTTAGAGAAGGCTCTATGGCCTATGAAGTTCGACTAGATCATGTGCCATAGACTGGCTTCAGGATGGCTTCTGTATATGCAGGTTCCATTCGAACACAGGACATGCTAAAGAGGGAGTGGAGAAAGGACCATGAGAGTCCAAAGACTTAGGGGAAGGCACATGGTGGCTCAGGATTTCCCACAAGGACCCAGCCACAGAGGTTGGCAATGTGAGGAAGTGACAGAATTGTGTGTGACAGCCGTTGGCCTGTGAGCACCAGTGTGAAGCCCTGTGTTTGCACCTGAGTGCAGGGGATAGGTTTCCGGTACAAACACTTCAGAATGTTAGCCACACAGACACATTCTCAGATTGAGAAGGGAGTTTTTTCTCTTACCTCTCTGTGACAGAGACTTTCGTACTCTCCCACAAGGCTGCTGTATCTTCACACTGTTGAATCACGATTTTCTCACTGTCCTCCTTGAATTGTGGGAGAGAACTAGCCATCTTTTGTATGAGCATCTTTTCTTCTTCAAGTCCATCTAGGTCCTTATCCAGCCTGAGTAATGACTTTTTCCTAGAGTATGGAATTATAAAAAGGTGTATTAGCCAAGCGTTAACCCAGTTGAGTCAACAAAACCTGGGGAATGTTGAGAGTGCTTTCATTTGCCCTCATGAGATTAATGGCAAAATCAAACACTCCTACTACAAAGGAATTCCTGGGTAATAAGCACAGGAGTGCATTCCTGCATCACTGAGACCACAGGGCTCCTTGCATTACCAGAATACTATTTGGCATTTTAATTAAGCATAATAAATATACAAAGCCATAAGCAATAACACATTATATTTCCCCCTTTGGTGAACATATGTGTGTATATATATATTTGAGAGAAAACAGAGAGAGAGAGAGAGAGAGAGAGAGAGAGAGAGAGAGAGAGAGAGAGAGGAACATGATATGAATAGATAGGTGGTTAAACAAAGCAAAGCCTCCAAGGATGAGAGAGAGGCCAAAGAGGAAGGACACAGTGGGACATCATATACATCGTATACAAAAAGCTCTCCCGATTCAAAAAGGAGTCATTCAACTAAGGGTTTACCCTGCAAAGTAAACTTGGAGAAAGAATCCTATCAACTGAAGATAAGCTGCAAGGGCTCAGGCCCCGCCTCCTTGCCTCCAATTCGCCCTGAAACCCACCCTCATGGCCTTCCCTCCGCTACTCCTTCACCTAAACTACAATTGAGACCCCCATCCCCTCACACTGTCTAGGTCTTCATCCTGTGAATATTTGCCTGTGTATAGCATCTTAATTCTTTTCCTTTCCTTCCTCTCAGGTTCACAAAGAGTTAACCAGTTTATCCAGAGAGGTTTCTGGCTGATTCACCAGAGAAATAAATCTTTTCACTTATCCCTTACCACTTACGATGAGGTGCTAAACAGTTTCTGGCCTCAGAGGAACTCAGACAGACAGGTCAGCTACCACAGCAAGTGATTTAAACTTTGATAGGAAAATGTTTTATCGTACAGCAACCAGAAATATCCCATAAGACCAAGTCTTAACCCTACCAATGCTCTTCCCCTTCCACTGCCTCCAGGAGAAGCAAGAACAGGAAGGAAACATCTGGGGCTGGCCCCCAGCGGAGAACCAGTGAAGGTTTAAACCACATCACTTTCTGCTACTTAGAACCCACAAAGGACATCAGGTCACTCAGAGAAAGCCAATATGACTTAAGCCCCGTGTCCAGGCCGTGACACCTCATCCCTCAGTGTTGTTCTTTCTCACCTCCTTCACAATTGGATTTGCAACTGCTGACCCCTCAGTCCAGAAGGTTCTTCCTCACAGTGATCACGAGGCTTGCTCTTGTACCTTATTTGATGCTCAGAACATGTCCTCAGTCTATCACTCACCCGGCCACCACAACCTCTTCCTCTTTGTCTTCTCAGGATTCTCACCACCAGGCATTTTACATACCTTAGCCCTCCCAGGGTAAGCTAAGCTCTAGAAAAGCCAAGAACTTTCTGTCTATTTTGTTAACTGCTGTATTCCCAATACCCCAAACTGTGTCTAGCACAGAATACCTATCTGTCCTATTTGTAGCTACATGAATACACAATTTTCATTTATAAACAATTAATAATTCATACATTAATATCCATCAATTTTTGGTGAAGATATAATTAAAATTTATTGAAGTAATAACTACACAGATGATTAGTTCCATACCTCATTACAAACACTTAGGCACTCTTAGGATGAGAGTCTCATTGGGCCTGAGCTGAAGTTTTGGAGGGAAGGGCATATTTAAATATACTAAGGGACTTGTGTCAGGTAAATCTCTAAAGAGACCACCAAGCCAGAGAAGCTATAGTGAGAGAGAATGGGAAAGATCTGGAAAGAAGAGGACGACTCTACATGAGCACATCCTGCTAGTACCTCAGCATTCACGAGCTGGTGGCCATATTGTGAATTCTGAATACTGCCAACCTCATTCAGTTTCCACGATGCCTCTTTAAACTCAGCAGTGCTCTAACCCTGCTGGGAGGGTCAAAGAACTAAGGAGACACGGGGACATGGGATGGCATATGGCCTTCTATTATCATTCTTTTCATTTTGCAGTGGCTGATATCATCAACTTGACAGGATCAAGAATTGCCTCACACCTGTGCTGGTGACCTAGACTAAAATAAATGAGACATGAGGACCCATACCAGTTGTGGGGACCATCATTCTGAGGGCTGGGGTTCCTGTACTGGATCAAAAGGAGACACTGAGCTGAACACTAATATCTATGGCTCTCTGCTTCCTGGCTGTGGTTGGCAGCTGCCTTGAACAGCCAAGATCAGGATTTCCCCCCATGACCTAGTTAACTCCCAAAAGGCAAGCCAATAATGGTTTCCCTGGAGCCCCTTCTGTCCATATTTTATCACAAGAAATGGAAAATGTAACTGAGATGAGCAACTGAGGCAAATATGAACTCTGCAAGACCAGCTAGGCTTTCACCCTTAAGGGAACGCCACAATGCATGCAAAGAATGCAGGACCTTGAAAATAACTTTTGACCTTTACCCATGTCTCACTCCACTGTCCCATGTCCATGACACATGGCAGAGGAAAATATGAACATTTGTAGAGGAACCTTATCAATAAAAAGTAGATTTGTGTGAAAGTCCACTAGAAGGCATATTAGAAGGCACGCTGAACACTGAATAGTTAGAAGGATGAAGAAACAGAAGATCCTGAAGGGTTGAAAGTACAGCCAGCAAGTGTCACTGTGGATGACAGAGAACAACCCTTCTTACCGATGTTTCACAGCTGGAGCTGTGGGATCCTTAAGACCAATTTTACTGATCTGATTCTGGATGTCTTGAATGTTTTTAAAGAGCTCATGATTTTTGGAACTACAAGCTTCCAGTAACTTCTTGTCCTCAGTAGGTTCTTCCTCTTTACTCTGGCCATGCATGGCTAATAAGTTTACTGACAACTCGCCAACAAGTCTCTCACAGGTGGTATTGTCCCCTCCCTCAGCATCCTTGATGTTTATACCGAGTGTCCTCAAGCGTTCATCCAGAGGCCTGGCCTTCTCTTTCAGCAGGAGAACGTCTTCCCGAGCACTTCTGACTTTCGGGGTATCTTCTGGTGCTTTCGAGGCAGGAGGGTCGGCAGGGAGCTCAGCAGAGAGCTTAGCTGCTCTCAGAGATGCCAAAAACCCTTCCAGAGCATCCAGGGCATCTTCTCTCATCTCTACCTTCTGGTTCATGGTCTCCAGCTGGAGTCTGCACTTCAGCACAATGTCCTGGATCGCACACTGATCTAGTGTGTGCAACTCCCTTGGTACAGAGTTACTAGGCTCTTCCAAACTGATACAGTTTCTGATCTGCTTTGCGATGGAATCTCGGATATCCTAAAACAAAATAAAATAAAACAAAACCAAAAAAAAAAAAAAAAAAAAAAAAAAAAAAAAAACAGTGAGAAGGAGAAGCCCTGGGTTGAATCTCGTGCACCCTGCACATGCATGAGCACCTGTGTACATGTGTGCGTGCTCATGTGCTCTTCCTCGCTCACCCTGTCTCTCTCTCTGTCTCTCTCTTACACATACACACGCACTCACGCACGCACCCACCCATGTGCAGGAAAAACTAATAGTGCTGACCATAAGTTACAAAACTCTTTCTGAGTTTAACCAAAGCTGAGTGTTTCAGAATCGGGAAGTATTTTAATGGCATATGAGCTGATGCTTACTGTTTCTTTACCTGACACCTTCTTCAGGCTTGAATTCCCCAAGGAAAACAAGTATGTGGATCTCCTACTTCAAAGGAAACAATTACAGACCAACATCGAAGGGCCCTGTCTGACAGCCGTGGCAGGGGTATTTAAATGGGATCCAAGATGAAGAATAAAGTGAAGAATATGCCAGCCTCAGCCTGAGTCAACTGTGATGTTTAGAAATTGTCACAAAAGACATTTGTAAGAAAGGCTTTATTCTGAATTGAAATAAAATATCTCTCTACTTACTCTTTGATGCCTACCTCTAAATTTCAAGGGATAGAAGAAAGGACACATGAATAACAAGTCTAAATCATTAAGGTATTTATATCACAGTTTATATTCTAAATCTACACTATGATTAAAAAATGTTTAAAAATCTTTGAACATAGCCGGGCGATGGTGGCACACGCCTTTAATCCCAGTACTTGGGAGGCAGAGGCAGGCGGAATTCTGAGTTCGAGGCCAGCCTGGTCTATACAGAGAAACCCTGTCTGGAAAAAACAAAAAACCAAACAAACAAACAAAAAATCTTTGAACATCTCTGAAGAATTGAAGGTCTTGTAAATACGGTATGAGAATGTATTCACCCGCAGGTTCTGATAGACACCATCAATCTCAGTAGGATGCAGGTCCTGGACAGCCACCGTGCAGAGGGGCAGGTCAGAGGCACACAGGAGAGAACACTCCTTCTCCAGAGGTAGAACTATCTGTAGCGCCGTAGCCAGTGACTCCATTCTGGGGTAAAAACAAACCAGAGGTGATAGAAAAATGGTAAAAGCTATCCTATAAAAACATGCTAACCCCGCCATTAGCCAAGGAAATGGCTACCCTGTAAGATATATATAATAACACATACAAACCATCACATTAAAACACAAACCCACAGATCTATAGTGGGCTGTGATAGCTGCCTAAGATATTACAGTGTAGTGACAGTCTTGCTTAAGAAAGCTTACACACTGAGCCATGCACCAAGTCCTTGGTTAGCAAACCTGAGGTGTACCTGGTGTTAAGAAGCACGTGAAGAACCTGTTCATTCCCCTTTAATAAGTCTCTCTCTTGGTCTAGCACGGGCTTCTCCGCGTCGCTCACCAGACTTTTTAAATTCAGTGAAGTGATTTCAAACTCATCCCAGTAAGTATTAGTGTCAGCCTGTAAAACCTAAATGAAATAAATGAGTCACTATCTCAAGTCATGGGTCAAGGGCTCAGTTACCCTTCTCTCATGAAATGAGACACTTGCCAGCCTATCCGAGCCTATAGGGATAGGACTTATCCTATAGGGAACAATGGTAAATAACTCTAACTCAGGGACCAGCAAGAAACAGACAGAGTACCTATCACCAAGTCTATTCCTCCAGGACTCACTGGAGGAAGGAGAGAATCAACCCAGGCAAATTATCCTCTGACCACCACATGAATGCTGTGACATGCACAACCTAAACACACACACACACCTCAAATACAGGAGCTGAGAAGATGCCTTAGTTGGTGAAGTGCCTGCAACATGCTGTGTTTGATCCTCATCACACAGGTAAAAAGCTAAGCACAGGGTGCATGCCTGCTCTCTCAGCACTGGCAGACAGAGACAGGAGAAGTTTCGGGAGGACTTTCTAGGAGCTCCAGAGAGAAGCCTGTCTCAAAATATAGTTAGAGAGGACTACCAATGCTGGCTTCTGGCTTCCATATGCATGGGCAAGCACATGTATATACATGAACACACAGACACAAACACACACAAATGAAGTAACAACTACTCTACTTTGAGTACTAAACTGTTACATTCTAAACTCAAAGAAAACCTGGTATGAAGCAAGTATTTCTATATGCTTGGTTTCTTTTTTCTTTTAAATTGTGTGTGTGTGTGTGTGTGTGTGTGTGTGTGTGTGTGTGTGTGTGTG